TCAGGCGATTCTCGACAATGACCCTAGCACCAGTGGTGGCTCTGGTCCGGGCGGCCAGTGGACTGACGATGACACGGTCAGCATTACTGTGGTGGATATTCCCAGACCTGCGCTAGGAAAAGCCGTGGCAGTTCGCAACGTATTCGATGACAATGCTGGTATTAATGCAGAGATGAAGGAGGATGGCGTCACTGTCCCTCCTGTGGGACATGCTATTGCAAACGATGTTTCCTCTGCGGTAGCCCAAGTCGAGGCGGACCTCGGGATCACCACGGGCTCTGCTTGGCACGAACGCGAGTATGAACTCGGCAAGAGGCAGGAAGTACTGGAGAAGGTTGGGCTGGAAGTCGACATGGACTCCTTCCTCCGAAAACTTTTGCTCCCTGTTGAAGCCGAAGGTATCACGGTTGGGAAGCGGGGCCGGTTTGATCTTCCGACCACGTTGGGAAGCAGCAGAGTCTGGCATCATATCTCCGTCCATCCGACTGACGATCTGCCCGAGACGCTCAGCACTTTCACGCCGACGGCCGCTTGGTCAGCTGGAGTCGTGTCCCGGCAATTGCGGGAATGGAGACTTGCCGAATGGGCCAACCGACGCCTCAGGCAGCTTGACTTTACGGCCGATTTCGACATGGACGAGTTTGTCGGCCGTTATTACCGCCTCGGATGCGCTGAGGGTCGGGATGGTGTTGAGAGCTGGCTGATGGAGAGGGGCTGGACCAATGGCGATGCCTTCGTGGGCCACCAGCGAATCTGGATGAGAGAAAGTGCATGGTGGGAAGCTGAAACGATGCTTGACATGAAACCAGAAGAGCCCGCGACGGCCAACCCTTTCCTGTACGGGAACACCATGCTCGATGCTGGAATGCCCCATTATGCAGGCACCCCTATGGCAGAGTCCACCAGCCTTCTGGGCAGTCGGGATGACCTTCTCAACCACCGCCAGAGCACTTTGGCACCCAGTTTCCATGGAGGCGCCAAATCAGTTGCTCCAAGTGTGCCCCAGACTCTAAACATGGGTGGCGATTATGGTCTCGGCTCCAAGGGTGACACTAGGAAGTGGGATAATCCGTATTCTGACGAATACGCCCACTATAATAACGGCGAGCTCGACCCTGAAGTCGGCGACCCCAAACACATTGAAAAGAAGCCCATCACTCAGGGCCGACGCATCTGGGTCGGCTTTGTTTGGGCATTGACTTTCTGGATTCCCTCATTCGCTCTGCGCTGGATCGGCCGGATGAAGCGTCCCGATGTCCGGATGGCCTGGCGCGAGAAGCTCGTTCTTATGCTTATCATTCTGCTATTCAACGGTGTGGTTTGCTTTTACATCATTGCCTTCGGTGATCTGCTGTGTCCGAACAAGGACAAAGCTTGGAATGAGAAGCAACTTAGTTGGCATGCTCTCGACAACGATTTTTATGTCAGTATCCACGGCAACGTCTACGACATCACCAAGTTCTGGAGACTTCAGCACAGTGATTCTTCAATCGAAACGACAACGAGCAACATGAAGCCATTTGCGGGTGAGATTCTGGATCAGTATTTCACCCCTCCGTTGACTCGCTTCTGTTCGCCATACGTGACGGAGCAGTCAGTCACCTTGCAATTTAACAACACCAATGCCCTCGAGTATCCCAACGCAGAGCACTACTGTGGACCTTATCACACGCCCAGTACGACCACCAAACTGCATAACATCACTTGGTATGAGGACATCTTTTTGCCCAAGATTAAGACTTATTACAAGGGTCCCCTTGTTTGGTCGAAGAGCACCGTGCAAAAGCAAGCAACAGATAGTTCACGGTATTGGGTCATTGTTCACGATAAGATTTATGACCTCACGGACTACTTCTATACCGCCGAATTGTTCGATAATGACGACACTTACGCCTTCCTACCGTCGTCTGTAACCGACTTGTTCAAGAATTATGCGGGCGAGGATGTTACCGACAAATGGCAGAACACAACAGACTTCCAGCAGTCACAGACCTGTCTTGACTATGTCTTCTATAAAGGCAAAGTGGATTTCCGCGACAGCCCCCGCTGTACGGTTAACAATTGGATTCTTCTCTCGTTCACGGTTCTTATCTGCGCTGTTATCCTCGTTAAGTTCGTTAGTGCCCTTCAACTTGGCTCCAAGCGTCGCCCTGCACCACAGGATAAGTTCGTTATCTGCCATGTGCCGGCGTACACAGAAGGTGAGGATGCGCTGCGTAAAGGTCTCGACTCCCTCACGGCTCTTCAGTATGACAACAAGAGGAAGCTCATCTTCGTCATTTGCGACGGTATGATTGTTGGTGGCGGAAATGATCGTCCTACGCCTAAGATCGTTCTCGATATTCTGGGAGTCGATCCTAAGGTTGATCCCCCAGCGTTGCCGTGCATGGCGATTGGCCAGGGAAGCGAGCAGCTGAACTACGGCAAAGTGTATTCTGGTCTTTATGAGTATGAGGGCAATGTGGTCCCGTATATTGTCGTTGTCAAGGTCGGCAAGGAGTCGGAGCAAAGTCGGCCCAAACCTGGAAACAGGGGTAAGCGTGACTCGCAGATCATGATGATGCGATTCCTCAATCGGGTACACCATCGTGCCCCCATGTCGCCCCTAGAGCTGGAGATATTCCACCAGATCAACAATGTCATCGGTGTAGATCCCGAATTGTACGAATACTGTCTGATGGTGGACGCCGATACCAGTGTCCGAGAGGATTCACTCAACCGTCTGGTTGCCGCTTGTGCCAATGATGCACGCATTGCTGGTATTTGTGGTGAGACTAGCCTGCAAAATGAAGAGCGGAGTTGGTGGACGATGATCCAGGTGTATGAGTACTATATTTCTCATCACCTGGCCAAGGCGTTCGAATCGCTTTTCGGCAGTGTCACGTGTCTTCCTGGATGGTAAGTTGATTTAGACTCCGACAAACTCATTGACTAACAGGAACAGTTTCTGCATGTACCGTTTGCGGACAGCCGACAAGGGCAAGCCTCTAATCATTTCGGACAAGGTCATCGAGGAGTATGCAGACAATGACGTTGATACCCTTCATAAAAAGAACCTCCTCTCGCTCGGTGAGGATCGTTTCCTGACTACGCTTATGACGAAGCACTTCCCGGAAATGTCCTACAAGTTCATACCCGATGCCTACGCCAGTACGGCCGCGCCAGAAACCTGGTCGGTGTTGCTGTCGCAGCGTCGGCGTTGGATCAACTCAACCATACACAACCTAGTGGAAGTGGCCGCGCTGAAAGATATGTGCGGATTCTGCTTGTTCAGTATGCGGTTTGTCGTGTTGGTCGATCTTCTTGGAACGGTTATCCTGCCTGCAACTTGTGTCTACCTGGGCTACCTGATCTACCGCGTTGCCAGTCATACTGGACCCTTCCCCATGATTTCGATCGTTATCTTGGCGGGTGTGTATGGTCTCCAGGCGATCATCTTCCTTCTGAAACGGCAGTGGCAGCACATTGGCTGGATGATCATCTACATCTGTGCCTATCCCATCTACAACTTCGTTCTGCCGCTCTATTCGTTCTGGAAGCAGGATGACTTCAGTTGGGGTAGCACGCGTATCGTTATTGGAGAACAGGGCAATAAGCGTGTTGTGGCAGTGGACGACGAGGGCTTCGACCCGCGCAGTGTACCGCTGCAGCGCTGGGATGACTATGCGCTGGCCAACAACCTGCCGGGACGGCGCGGTGACTTTGGTATGAGCCAGGAGAAGATGTACGGGGGACGGTACGATGATATGGCGCTGGAGATGGATGATATGCACTCGAACTATTCTTCAGTGAAGCCGGCGTCGACGATCCTGACGGGATTCCCGCATCACCAGGGCCGCCACGGCAGCCCGTACATGCCGCCACAGTCGCCAGCACCGTTTGCCAACACTCCGGGTAACCGCAACTCGCACATGTCGAGCCTCACGCGATACACGGACCAGCCGTTTGCCAGTGGACATATGGCGTCACGCTCCTTGGGCAACCTTAGTCAAGTGCCGGACGGAATGACGAACCGCCACAGCGTGGGTCTGATGCAGAGCACGGAGAACCTGCTTGGGCGGCCTAACTCGCGCAGCCCGGTAGGTGGGATATCGCGACCTGTGAGTGCATTCGACTTCCGGGGAAGTGGCGGGCCCGACGAGGGGGCAATCACCGAGGCGATCCGCGCCTGTTTGGCGGAGGTAGATTTGGACACGGTGACGAAGAAGCAGGGTGAGTTAACCTTCCATTGAGTCGACAGGACGAGATGCTAACAGAAACAGTGCGAGCATTGGTCGAACAGCGACTACAAACGACGTTGATGGGCGACAAGCGGACGTTCCTCGACCGACAAATTGACCACGAGCTGGCCAATATGTAAAAAGTCGACGCGAGGAAGAGATGGGATGTAATGGATGTAATTGATCTTTATTTCGAGTGTATACGCGAGCATACATAAGTATCATTTGGCAGTATATGAATTTCGGGCGGGCGTTAGCGAAGGGAACATTCATTGATGTAAAAATTGACTTTGCATTATCAGCGTTATGTATACAATGTTATCTTTGGTTGTATTTGTTTCAAGTAGGACAACAGACAGACAGACAGATGCAGCATTAGCGCGGCGATATGTGCTCATAGCAAACTTATGAAAGGAGGATCTAATCTTAACTATCTACTAACAGTGCCTGATATGGTGGCCGCAACTTTTGTCTGGACACCCCGTGAGCCTAGTGAGCGCTCCGGGTGACTCAATGACTGCTCTTTGAACACGCACCTACTACAATAACTAGGGCCAAACAACTTAGCGTAAAGAATATACTTGACCCTACAATTTTTTTGTATTTCTCAAGTGCATGCAATAGCGAGGCTCTTAAGCTTGCTCTATATACGGACATGCCATAATCTCTGACAATAACTCCACGATAGATTTATCCTGACAACGGCATCTTCAAAACACAAAGCGAAAAAAGAACTGTGATGGCTCAACGCATGCAACGATACCTAAAAGGTAAGTAAAGCTACGCCATACTCCGATACCAGCCCATCCCCACCTCCTGCTGCGCCCCCAGAACCCCCTCTGCCTTCAACGTCCCAGGATGCCAATACCCCCAGACAACCATCACAGCAGACATCGGCACCGCATCAAACACAAAAAGCGGCCACTCATGCGCCAAAAGATAGCCCTTCTGCCCCAACGCATACTCAAAAACCCGAAAGATAGAGCGGAGCATAATCAGCCAACTAACCGCATACAAAGGGTACAGATGATGCGTGTACGGCGCCTGACTCGTCGGCGCGCGCTTCATCCTCTTCTCAAAGACCGTAGCCACGACGATGAAGAATCCAAACATGATGATCTGGATCATCAATCCAATGATCACGATGGCTTTTGCTATGTTCTCTAGGCCGTCCGTGGCCATTAACCCTGAGCCTTGGCCCTGTACTAGGAATGAGAGGATGTCGCCGGTGACGAAGACTTTGGTTACTCGGGTGATGCGGATGAGGGAGTACTTTTCTGCGTTGACGCTGCGAATCAGACGGCCTAGGACCATGTAGACGCTTGCGGAGAAGAGAACGGGGCCGATTAGGATGAAGACGCTTTGCAGGATGTAGAGGATTAGGTTGGCGGTTGCGTTGGTGCACGCGGCGCGGACGGCGAAGCCGATTACTTCAACTGCGTGGATTGCATATGGTTAGGGGTCATGGTGAACGAGATGGCAGGGACAGGTAAAAAGAGGAAGGACGTACAGAATCCACCGATGATGAAGGGGATGCAGAAGCGTGCGCGGGTTATCCAGGCCTTCCAGACATGGAATAGAGTTAGGGCGAGGTAGATGAGGAAGAAGATGATCGAGGCGGCTATGGAAGGGACATAGTCCCATAGATAGTAGTCGCCGCTAAAAGGTTCGAGTTTTGCCATGACAGTGTTATGGTTAGTTTTCGAAAGTGATGCTTGGTAGCTGTATGCATAGTAAGATCTATTCGTCTTTATATCATCCAGTTCAGATCCGTGTCTATGAAAGTAGGGCTCGGGTTGGGTTAATAATAGAGAGTGGCCCGTGCACCCGCGGACTTTTCCCTCTCTCATTTGCTCCATCCTCCTCGACAGGACCCTGCGCCCCATCGCTATAGGGCGAGCCAAGGTTAATCTCACACGCGGCATATTAGCCTGGTAGGAAACCTTGAACGTTCGAAATGCCCCTGTTTCGGACAATAGGCGCCAGGATATCAACTGCTTAGTATTCGCCTACTTGTCGCCACCGACTCGGAATGCCACAGAGAGTCCACAAGAAATCTCGCAACGGATGTCTCGAGTGTAAGCGGCGCCACGTCAAGGTATTAGCTTACGCTCTGGTTATCCCTACGAACCGACTAACCTCTCCAGTGCGATGAGAGACATCCCATTTGCTCGAATTGCCATAGCGCCGAGCGAGTCTGTGAGTACGGAAGCCGCTCTTTGCTGAGAGCAGCAGCTCCACGGCCAGTAGTACATGCAGCCAGAGCAGCTTCACCGCCTATACCTCTCGGGAGTACACCGCGGGAGAGCCCTGAAAATGAACCCTCACAGGCACCCTTCCGCAGCCAGGCCGTGAACATACTCCATATCGAGCTCTTCCACAACTTGTACACCAAGATCCGCACCAGCTTCGACCCCAACAGATCTATATCATGGCTAGCAGATGGTGTGGACCCTACTACAGCCCCATATCTAGTCAACGAGCTGCTCGCATTTAGTGCCCTACACCTAAGTACGGCACGACCAGATCGCCGCGAATACTACCGCTACCACGCAGCCCAGCTACAAACCGACGCGTTGTCCATTTTCCAAGCGTCCTCCCCGCAAGTAACGCGAGAGAATTGCGTCCATCTCTTCGTCTTCGCCGCTACTCTGGGCATCCACATGCTCTGCGACACACTCATCTACCGCGAAGAAGGAGGCGGCGACTTTGATACCTTCCTCGACCGCTTCGTCCACTTCTTCCGTGTTTATCATGGTGTCCGTACCATTGTTAGCAAAGCCTCGCATATGATTCAGGATACGCCGCTCGGTTTAAGTTTCAACGTGGGCATAGATCTGTATAAATTCAATGGATGTCTCGGGCCCGGCTGTCAGCGCCTGATGGATCTGATCTATAGCGCGAAGCTCGGGAACGAACTCACGGGAATATATAGGGAGGCTGTGGAATCGTTACAGTCGTGTTTGAATGTTATAGAAGAGAATCGGGACGAGCTGCATGTGGGAATTAATGCGGTAACTACGTGGCCTATCCTGATGAAGATTGAGTTCGCGGAGTCTTTGGAGCAGAGACGGCCTGAGGCACTGGTAATTTTGGCTCATTATGCGTGTTTGTTGCACCGATTTCGGGAATTTTGGATGTTTGGGGATTCGGGGCAGTTTGTTATCCAGGAGGTTATGGGATGCTTGGGGGAGGAGTGGGAGGAGTGGTTAACGTGGCCGAAGGAGGTTTTAGATGATCTTAACTAGTACCACTAGTAGTAGTATATACATTCTCACACTAGGGGATGATCAGAGGATGGCTAGGAAGAGTTCGATCATAGATTCAACTAGTACTACTATAGTACTACTACACCAATCGCGCATAGTGCCTCGTGTATAAATCAATACTAGACGTGGACATAACATTCGTATAGTAATGGTCCAGTCCAGTAAATCGCAAACCTCTACATAAGTAGCCGTGCTACAAGTTGCTTACAGCCCATGAAAACCTAGATCTCAACAATGAATTCGAGTTCGAAAGAGTAGCAGACATTCTATTTACGGTCTCCACAATTAAAAAGGGTGCGCTATGAGTCCTATTCAGTTAACCAGCCATACGAAGCATGCTGTCCTTGGGGGTTGATAACGAAGTGCTCAGCACACGCACCCCCACCTTCACCACACGCCCCGGGCTCAAAATCACACCGAGCTAGTCCTATTTCACACAAGAACCATTCATAAGTAACCCGTGAAATCCCCCACCATTTCCCTCTTATCGATCTATCTACTACTATCAGATAAACAACCATCTCCACATCAACAACCAAGCACCACCACTACTTACTATACACACACTGACTTGAATCCCCCCTCAACACCGCCCCAAAATGCCCACTCAACCCACCCCCGAAAAAAGCAAAGAAACCCTCGAAGCCAAATCCGCCTTCAGCGCAACGCTGCTCAACATCGGCGGCACACATGCTTCCCCGCTCGTGGAGCGCGCGCACACCATCACAGAGAACGCCTCCGCGCTGGAGAAGCAGCAAGCGGAGCTAGAATCACATACAGCTGCACTGGCGAAGCAGAATGAGAGCTGGGATAAGTTGGCGGGGGAGGCGAGGGACGGGTTGAAGGAAATCGGGGACGTGCAGAATTGGGCGGAGGTGGTGGAGAGGGAGTTGTTGGTTTTGGAGCAGACGTTGCAGTATGTTGAGGGGGGGGATAATAGGGATCATGGTGGTGAGAATGATGATGATGAGGAAGTTAATGGTGGGGATGGGCTGAATGGTAGTATTACTAGGAATGGGACTGGGAAGGGGAAGGGGAGTACTAATAGTACTGATAGTACTTCTGCTGTTGAGGATGGAGGAGGTACTACTACCACTACCACTGGAAATGGAAGTGGAGGATCATCTTGGTTTAAGTGGTGGTAGCTATCTACTACTAGTAGTAGTGAGAGGAACTTTTCATGTGTTTACGACTCAGATGTTTACTTATTATTAGGACAGCGTGTGAAATCCTCTCCGCTTACAGAGTACTTGATACAGTCTTTATCGCCGGTCACTTGAGCTAGAACCACAGCCCAGACGGCTTTTACGAAGGACGAGATGGTGACCGCACGGGGTGGTGTGGGCGGAGGAATGATTCGACGGACATTGAGGGGAAGATCGCTGTCTGATCCTGAAAGGTTGAGACTGGTTATCGCAACGTCCTGCAAATACTGCTCCCAGAACCTGAATGTGCGCAGGTTTGCCTACATCTGGCGGTGCTGCACCTCTCTCCATACCGAGATATGATTCTGGATTATTAGAGGCATTGATTCCCCATCGAATTGAGCATGGCTACCGCGCACGACTAGAATTGAATTCGACGGTGATTTCGAGACAAGCAAAGCCTGGAAGTAAGGGGCTCCCTAGAGTTATCTGGTCACGATGAAAGTACACACAAGGAACCGATTTATGCAGCAGCAGCAGCAGCAGCAGCAGCAGCAGTAGTAGTAGTCGTAGTCGAGATGGTATGTGCATTCCGTCCGTGAAGAAAATGCTCCACATGGCCCTACGGATTCTTTTCCCCTTACCTTGCCTGCAGGTATGCCTGAAATGAGCCAAGCTTGATCTTTTTCTGCAAAACAATTTATCCGTCAGGGCTGCAAGAATGTGGGCCATGTCTTCTGTATATTAGTTGAAATTGCCATGGCAGTGGCAGGAAAAATCTTAGGGGCTCCCTCTGCAGTTCTGTATCTGCGTCATGCTTGTTTTGGAAGATTTATAAATTTTTCATACTATGTTCTGATTTATTAATTTGACAGCTACATAGAATAGTATTGCTGGTACTAATAGTATAGCATACTTGCCACGTTTAATTAGTATTTTGATAAATACATACTACTCATTGACATGCTCAGGAGCTTGATGAAAATTCATCTTCCTGTGATATTATATCTCGGTATAACCAACCCGTGGTATACAAACTTGCCAGAGCTTCCCAAATAATGCAGTACTACTACTGCTACTGCTACTACTACTAATCAGAATCATATGATAGAATCGAAGAAGGAGGATCGTAGTTTACGTTGATCTACTATCGACAAGCTGCAGCATCACACAACATTAGAAGGATACTCCACCTCCTCCAAGCTCCCAAACTCCTCCTTAATCGTCCTGACACTCACGAACCGCTGCAAATGCGCCATTGTGCCCGTCTTGTCATTCGTTCCGGAGTCTCGACTTCCTCCAAACGGCTGCTGCGCGACCGTCGACCCCGTACACTTCGTATTCAGATACAGCATGCCCGCCGCATGACGCAGCGCTGTCTGCGCCTGTCGCGACGCGTATGGGTCCTTCGCATAGATACTCCCCGTCAAGGCATAGCGCGATGTCCCGTCCACTAGCTTCAGCGTTTCCTCCCACTCATTGTCTGGGTACACGTATACGCCTAGAATGGGGCCGAACAGTTCCCGGGACATGATCTCATGCTTCGGGTTCGTTGTGCGGTATACAGTCGGGTGTACGTAGTATCCCTGACTCTTGTCGGCGATGCCACCAGCAACGAGTTCGAGTTCGGGATCGGTGCGCGCGGCATGAATGACCTCCGCAAGACGGTCGAAGGCGCGTTCGTGGATGACGGGGTTAATGAAGTGGGCGTATTCGTCGACCGGGCCGACAGACAGGCGGGAGAGCTGGTCCTTTAACGTTTGCTGGAAAGCAGGCCAGACGGATTCGGCGACGTAGATGCGGGAATTGGCGGAGCATTTCTGGCCCTGGTATTCGAACGCGCCGCGAATGGTGTTCAGGGCTGCGTTGGTGATGTCCGCTGAGGGGTGCACGAGACCCCAGTTCTTGCCGCCAGTTTCACCGATCACACGTGGGTAGGAGTTGTAGATTCCCTCGCCGATGGCATTACCGATCTTCTTCTGCAGGCCTTTGAAGACTTGCGTGGAGCCGATGAAGGTGAGGGCGCCGAATTCGGGGCGGTGGAGGATCGTGTTAGTTACTTGTTCGGCATCGCCGGGCAGGAATTGGATTACGTCTTTGGGGAGACCGGCTTCGAGGAGAATCTGGTGCAAAAGCCAGCTGGCGTGGAGGGCAGAGTCGGATGGTTTCCAGATAACGACGTTGCCTAGGAGGGCGGCTGGGCCGATGAGGGTCGCGCCTAGTGCAGTGAAGTTGAACGGGGCGATGGCGTAGACAAATCCTTCCAAAGGTCGGTATTCGAGCTTGTTCCAGGTGCCGGGCAGGTGGACTTTGGGCTGCTGCGCGAAGAGTGACCAGCACTCTTGGATGTAGTGGCGGAAGAAGTCGACTGTCTCGGCGGCGGCATCGATCTCGGCTTGCCAAATGTTCTTTCCCTGGCCTAACATGGTAGCAGCGACGATTTCAGAGCGGTATCTGCCTGCAATGAGCTCAGAGGCGCGCAGGAAGATGGCGGCGCGGTCCTCGAAGGGCATGGCCTCCCAGGCTGGTTTGGCCTTGAGGGCTGCGTCCACGGCGGTGTTGACCTGCTCGGGCGTTGCGGATGCATATTCGGCAACGACCTCGTTGTGGCGTGAGGGGTTCTTTTGGACTTGGGATTTGATGGTTTGTGTCTGGATTGTTAGCTGCGTGGGCTTATTTAGAAGTGAGGTGACTTACTGTGGAGCCATTGATGGTGAGTGGGATGTTGAAGGGCATCTCATTCTTCAATTTCTGTAGGGCTTGCGTCAACTCGGCCCTCTCAGGTGAGCCTTTTGCGTAGTTGAGCTGCAGTTGTTAGTGGTCATCTTAGCATCGAAGCATGCCAGGAGCTGTGATGCGTTTAAACTTAACACTTACTGGCTTCTCATTCTCGAACTTGGGAGGATGCCATAGACTCAGGGCTCGCAGCGGCTGACCTGGCCTCCGGCTTGTGTGCAGAATTGAGGCGCGCACGCGAGATGGAAAGGAGAGTGTCCGCATGACGGTCTATCGCTTTTGTATGTACTGATGGTATAGGCGAGATCAGTTCCAGGCAGGGTATTTGTAGAGCAGCTGTCGGGAGGAGTCCCGAGCGGGGATTGTGGCATCCCCGCAATCCCAATTGCAACTGCAAGGAGAGCTGCAGCTGCATCCAATCGTGACGTGTCGTGCTACTCGATAAGTGGCCAAGAGATGGCCATGATGCATCAGCCACTGAGATAGTTTCGGCGTAGGGACCGACTGTTATCGTGTGTCTATCCTTTCGGATGGCGATCCCGAGGGTCCCTCATTTATGCATCCGGGCGCTCGGATGGAGCAGCGATCTGGGTCGCGTGTTGCAATTTTATCTTATTGAATATGAGCTGGTAGCTAATTATCCAGTTATGATCAGTAATTGTCTTTGACCGAGCTTTAGTCGGAAGGTGAAGCGTTACTCAAAGAGTGATAAAGGCAATCGTAGATGATATGAGATGATGTGGGCCAATCCGTAAATATATCCAATGACTCCGTTGGTCTATCATGTTATCCAAAAGTAAATGAACCTGAGCAACCAGGCTTAGATCTACTCCTCTGCTTCCTCAGCCTCCTCCTCACTATGTGCAGCCATTTCCTGGTAGAACCCTCGCCATATATCCAAGGAATCTACCGGTTGGTCTTCCTCGTCATCCAGCTCATCCCATTCATTCCATTGCCCCAAACTCATCAAGTGTCTCATAGTCGGCCGGCCATGGGGACAGTTCCACGGCTTATCTATGGTGCCCATGTTCTGCACCACCTTCTGCATCTGCTTGACCGTCAAAGTCTTGCCAATCATGATGCTCGACCGACAGGCCCGCATGGCGAACATCTTCCGCACTTTGCTCGGACGCGGTATATACATCCCTGTCGCTGACCGTGCAGCGTTGGTAGGTGTCTCCGACAAAAGGACAATGAGCTCCTCCAGATCCCGAACCCCAAAGACCACTTCTTTACTCAAAGGCAGCGAGACTAACTTGCAGCGGCGCCCGATAGGCTCGTCTCCGCTTTCGTCCACTTCTACAATAAAGCCGTTCTTTTCCAGCGCGGCTTGGTTCTCAATGACAATTTCCTCCTCTACTGCGGTGAGATCGAGGCGCTTCGGTTGGACGAGGCGCTGATTCTGCACCACGGTTTCTGCCTGCAGTCGTTCGAAGTTGAACTTTTCATCAGATGCATGCTGGTCAATGATGAAGAGTTCGTCTTTTGCTGATGATCCAGGGCCCGAGTCATCGGTGGATGACCGCGTAGCCAGGATGAACCCTAGATTGAACTGCCCGACAATCCGCATGTTGGCAAAGTCGTCTTTGCTAACCGTTAGAGACAGTCTTTCCTCTGCCGTTTCTTGTGGCGCTGCTGTCTCATCTTCACTCTGGGAGGGACCGTGGTGCTCTTCCCAACGACGAAGGCTTTCCTGTAGCTGCCCTAGTTGTGAGCGTATCTTAGAAAGAGAGCCATCGATAGTACTCATTAGCTGCACAGTAGAGTCGCGGTGAGCAGCTCCCTTATTCATCTTGTTCGCACGATGGATATTGTTGCCCTGTGGCAATGCTGCTCTGTCCTCCGCTTCCTGGATGAGCCGTTGGACTTCGGCTTCTTCGTGGCGCTTTTTCTCTTCTTCGCTTATGTTGTGCTCCGAGGAGCCAAGTTGTTGTGAACTTTGAGGTTCATTACCATTGCTGGCTTCGTGGTGATGGTGTTCACTGCTAACATCTTCGGGAGGTTGATCATCTTCATGGTTTGACGGCGTATAAGATTGAGATTCATCATCTTCCTCTTCATCCTCGATTTCACTTTCTTGCTCTTCAGGCTCTTCTTCCTCTTCGCTTTCCTCAATTGCATCTTCTGCTTCCTCATCCAGGATTTCCTCGTCCTCACTCTCCGGCTCCAATTGCGAGCCTGGAGCAGCAAAATCTCTCATGTGCTTGCCGAATATGCTAGGGCGAGAAGGGGTGTGTATCCGTCTTCTACGTGTCGTAGGGCCAGTGGCATCACCGGCACCTACAGATCGCTTTCTGGGCAACCCACTTCCCACCATAGATGTAACGGTCCTGTTGCCGATAGTAATGGTAGCCATCTCAGGAGGCATTCGCCTTGGTCGCATGCGATCAAACGCATTTTGGATAGTATTTGGTGTCTCCTCCAAAGGGTCGACTACCTGCGTCGACACCGAGGGTTCTTTAGGAGCTGTGTCCTGTGACGAGTTATTATCTTCACGCTGTCGAGGAGCTTCTTCCGCGATTTCCCCTTGTGTGGGAGGCTGTGGCTCGGCAGGAGAGTCCTGTCTTACGAAGAGGTCATTGTCCTCTTCCATCGGTTCAGGATGATCCTGAGGTGACGAAGGCATAGGCTGGTCTCGTACGCTTGATGCACCCCGGCCTGCAGGGGAGGAGACAACTGGGCTGCTGCCACGGGCACCAAGACCGCTCAAGAAGCTCTTCATCCGATCCTGTGAGCTCGACTGTACTTCACCGGTCCCCTGGCTTCCCACAGGTTCCCGATCATCAGCCGCCGAGGAGTCCGCATCCTCCACTGCAGGCCGGTTCGGACTCTGAGTCTGAGTCTGCAAGCTTCCCAAGCGTTGTTTGAGGGTAGGGGCAGGCTTCGACCCCACAACCAACGACTGAGGCACCGTCTGATCCGACGACTCAAACAATTGCACAAGCGACTCCTTCAGCGAATCAATCAGCGCTCCCGCATCATGCAACAGAATGGTCCGCTTATCCGGCGACACATTAACGTCATAAGCGTTTGTATCCATATGAAAATCTGCAAACACAAACGGCGACTGAGACACGTTGAACGACTTATACACCTCATTAAACGCCTTTGCAATCTGCGGCAACCCGCACGGCCGTGAATTCACAAAGAACATCTGCCGATCCGGTGTCTGTCTCCCCTCCCCAAATACCGGTTTCGAGACATGTCCGCGAACTGTGAGCTTGTTCAACTCCCCAGACCCAGTGATTCTCCTCCCTGCCGCAGCAGACGGCTCAAACTCCAGTGCCAAGTCCAGCGGAATCAGCGCCAGAAGTGTCTTCGCCCCATACACATTGGCAATATTCTCCTTGGTCGTCTGATTTCCGTTCGTGCTAAACACGACCACATTCTTCGTTTTGCCCACCGAATTCCGGACGCTGAAGCGCACCCCTGTGCTGACGCACGCATACGCATGTAACAGGTTCAAGACCTTGCCATATTCGCGCTTGATATTCTTCTCCAGCTCCCGCCGTCGCACCGGCAATCCCTTGAAGATACTCTCCACCGAGGCCGTCGTGCCTTTCTGCCCCGCGACGATCTGCGTCTTTTTCAATTTCCCGGAGGGTTCGAAATCAAGTCGGGTGGCTTTGGGAGCTTGGTTCGCTTGCGCCGTGGTAATGCGGAAGTCGGATAATGCGCATAGGGAAGATAGCGCTTCGCCACGGAAACCGAAGGTGTGAAGCGTGGTGAGGTCTTCGTAGGAGGAGAGTTTGGAGGTGTAGTGCTTTAATGCGACGTTGGCGTAGTTATCGGGGGAGATTCCGCTGCCGTTGTCTTGGACTTCGATCAAGTCTAAGCCATTGTTTTTGAAGCGGATTTCTGGAATAATTTAGATCATAATCAGCGATGTCAATCTATGGCTTGCAACGTGTGCTAGAATTTGGCTGTTGTAGTACCTATCGAGGTTGCTCCGGCATCGAGACTGTTTTCGACCAGTTCCTTTGCAACGGAGCACAAGTCAACAATGACTTGACCGGATTGGATTTGATGGATCTGTAGTGTATGGATTAGAAGAGATCTCAGACTAAACATCAAGTAGACATACTGAGCGGGCCTCGATGGCCTTGATGGTCGCCATGTTCATGCCATGGTGAAATTGAAACTTGAGGGGGCAGAAAACGCGGTGACACGCGCTCGCCGGCCACTTTACGCGGAGGCTGCGATAAGCGGATCTCCGGGCGGCAGGAGTTTCTACATCTACAAGCACATACAACAACCAGTTCCAATAACATCAATATCATTCTTGTGCACTTGACAGACTGTACTATGATACATGAAGGTTCTTCAAAGACAATAACAGCTGAGTATGGTATGTTGCAGAATAATAATAGACGATTTCAGTTGCGGCATCGCAGCACCAACTATGACGCAGAACGGCAGGAAACTGTACAACTACGAGAAAAAAAGAAATATCGCTGTTCAACGCCCAACTCCCGGTTATACGTGATCTTTCTATTCACCCCCACGATCAGTAGGTGTCAAAGCGGTCCGGCAGAACCACCGGTGCAATCAGGGTCCACAGGTAAATTCCATAGCACACCCAGGCACTGATGATCTTCACCCAGCTAGCCCAGTAGGTGCGGCCAACAGGCGCAAAGTCGTCGACGGCCTCCGGGTCCAAGTTCTGGGTCAGCAAGGTAGCGACCCAGGTGGTCGCCAGGAAGAAGATGATATGGAACAAAGAGTAATTATACTGCGTCGATCCCTTTTCGTCGTCCTTGGTGTCATACTCGTCGGATTCGTCGTCGCTGTCATCCAGCGCACTGGCGGGCAAAGCGCCACTCTCAACAGCCGCCCGAAGAGCCTCGGCCCGCATCTCGCGGCGAGTGGTTGGCTGCTGGGTCACAAGACCATGCTCGTTGTCATCCGATCCCAGCTGCGAGTAGTTGTGCCCCCCTTGGGAGCCTAGCGCAATGCCCTGGGTGGCCGCGCGGGTGGTCGTATACGCGATGGTAGCCATGGTGACAATCGCGCCCAAAACGATACTAGCCGTTCTGGTGCCTCGCGCACGAATCAGAGGGTTACAGTGACGGTCATCTGGCTCCATGGACACCGCGGACATGGTGAGATAGGTGCAATAAACTGTAACCATGGCGGCCTGGGCCAATCCTGCTCTGGGGTTGGATTCCTGCACCATGGGCTGCACCGAGATGATCGAAATAATAAGGAAGACAACAAGATTAATCTATTGCGGAAAGTAAGCACGGGGCCAGAGATGGCAGATGACAGACTGTAGAGGACGCAGCAAACTTACAGTAATCGCAGCCTGGTTCATGGCGCATCCGCTGTGGGCAAAAAAGACATACATCAAGACCGTCATGACGAGAGATGCAACGTACATGCCCACAGTAGAGCCGATCAGAAGGCCACGCCACGTGCGTGAATCACTATCTTCAATCTTCTGCAGGCACAATTCCGCCCATGAATGCGCCAGATCCACCAAGAGAATTAGACCCAGCAGAAGGAACAGCATGGCGCAGATAAAGGCGATATAGTGACCGTAGACGAAGAAGAACGACTCGGGGATGAAGAATGATGCCACAACGAGCGCAAGCCACAGAATGATCTTGGGACCCCAGAACCCATTCTGAAGGACCGCACGGCCATCTTTGGAGGACCTGACTCCGAGCAGCATGAAGGCGAGGATCAAATGGAAGAGCCCAAGACCAAAATTGATTCGATGAACGGCCACCCAACCATAACATTCTTTCCCATCGCATCTGATTTCCATGTAATCTAACGTCATGTGTTGTAACTTTTTGAGCGCCCATGGCGTGAGCATTATCCAGGAGATGATCGAATTGAACAAGAGGATGAAGGCATAGGCGATTCTCGTAGCCATACTGTTAGTTGGTGCCTAATGTCAGCCAGGTCCATCATTATGGCGCGCGAGGCTTGTTTTCTGTTTGGATGTCGCTGACCTGTTCTGAAACTTCCCGCATGCACTACATACTGCCGAGCAGGTCGCTGCGCCGCAGCACGATGTCGCGAGGGTGATGAGCTACCTTGATGTCAGTGGGGGGATTAGATGGCGGTGATGGAGGCGCACGAACCGTGCTGGCGCTGGGAAGAGCCAGCAGAGGCAGAGATAAGAGGGCACCCATGCTGGATGAAGAAGAGTGTCACTCCCTCTCACTAAAGACTATATTTGATCCTGATGCAGGAGACGGGATGATAATAACTAGCCTGGAGGTACTGGAAGATGAAGACGGAATGGCAGGAGGAGAAGCCGCGGAGGTTCGCCGCCTTCGTCATGTGCCGGGAATCTAGCGGATGGTTGATTCTTACGCGCGTCCAGCAGAGTCGGCTACATTAACAGCACCATGAGGTGATTCTAAGGATATGACTATATTGCTTTACAGACTAGTAGTTGTTCAGAGAGAGGTCGTACCTGCCAAATGTAGTCTTAAGTATTATGCTTTCCCTCCACACAATGTCTGGGGATGTACTCCACGTGATGGGGATGCATAAAAGTCACGTGCCTATGTATCCGGGGCAAGTGTGCCGGTAATGATGACCTTATCGGCGATAAGCGACTGGCTGTGACACTCATCGGAGTGGTAATGCAGTTACCATACAGGAGGAGACAAGCCTCCGATCTCGTCCGGGGAGAGACTAGACTGCGTTGAGCTGACGAGTCCGACGGGACGCTTTTGGGGACACTTTGCTCTTTGATTGCGTGGGAGGTGGAGAGACTAAAATTCATTGCTGGAGGACATCCAAACACTACTCACGTCGCTCTTTTCTTTTTTTCTGTTTCGTCTCTGCTGCCGACTCTCCTTTTCTTCTTCTTCCTGCACTCTTTTCTGCTCTTCTTTTTCTTGTGTTGTTGTTGTTGTCCTCCTTTCTTTACTACTCCTACTACTACACACTACATATCCGTGGTGCGGTTATCTATGGTCGAGGTCTAGCCGGCTGTCCTTACTTCGCACCTCCTCCGGTTATCGTGACGTGATAACGATTATCCACTGCACCACCATCCCGGCCAACGAACTACAAATACTAGTCGTCCGGCCACTGCGACCCTCCCCCGCATATTTCGATGCGAAGAGTTTCCAACTGGCCTTCCCCCGGTGTCTTCGCCCTCCCGATCCCGCATCGCCATGGCCGCCTCGCCCCATAAATCGAAGCGGATCGTTTCCGTCGTAGCGGCCACCCTGGTTGCTCTCGCGTGTGGTACCAATGTGCGCTTCTTCCGTTCTCTAGGTCCAATATGAGGCTGGATGTTTGGCAAGAGTCTGATCTGTGTGACAGTATGCATACTCGGCATGGGCGCCCCAATTTGCGCAACAAATGAAGATTTCCTCTACCGAAAGCAACTTCATTGTAAGCCGCCCATTGCGCCCTTCTCCCAGAATTCAACAATTTGTTAATAACACTTCCAGGGCGCGGCTGGGAATTTGGGCATGTATGCATCGGGAATCCCATTGGGTCTGTTGACAGATGCTCGAGGTCCGCGTCTGACGACTTTCTTGGGTGCAATCACGCTGGGAATCGGCTACTATCCCATCTATCTGGGTATGTCCTATATTGAACCCTGAGAGGTTGCAGCTAGCTAATATCTGCATGTACAGCCTACGTCAAGGGCCCAGGGTCGATGGCCATTATCTTCCTGTCGTTTTTTGCTTTCTTGACAGGCTTCGGAAGTTGCTCGGCATTCTCAGCGTCAATCAAGACATGTGCGCCAAGCCTCTCTAATGAATACATTATCTGTCATGGCTAACAACACCGTTTAGCGGCTTCCAACTTCCCCGATCATCGTGGAACAGCGACTGCTTTCCCCTTGGCCGCTTTTGGGCTGAGTGCGTTCTTCTGGTCGACCGTCTCCTCGATTCTCTTCAAGGACGATACAGGCCGCTTCCTCCTTTTGCTGGCTCTGGGCACCTGTGCGCTAAACCTCGTTTCGATCCCGTTTCTTCGTATCATGCCTCCAAGTGAGCCATATATGCCACTCGGACGGGGCAGGTCCCCTGGCGTAGAATCTCAACGACTACGCACTACTAGATCTACAGAATTCCGGCACAGTCTGGAAGAATCTGATGAAGCAGGTACGCAGACCTCTATAACCTATGATTCCTGTCCCGCAGCGCGTGACAGATCGCACTCGGTCGTGTCGAGTCCCCATCACCCCGGCCACAGCCCCGATATTGACGAAACATCCTCCTTGGTGTCCAAAGTTCCTTCACGCTCTTCCCGAGAATACCTCACCCAACACGAGGAGGATGACGATGCTCTCTCCGATGTTGCTCTTGAATCCCCGCACCCGGACGTTCGCGGCTTGGCGATGCTTCCGAAGATTGAGTTCTGGCAACTCTTTTTGACGATGGCCCTTCTTTCTGGAATTGGTTTGATGACCATTAAGTCAGTACCCTTACCTTTAATTTTGCTTTTGTTCGATGCTAACAATTAAATAGTAATATTGGCAACAGCGTAAGGCGACTCCGTATGACCCCTTCCATATCAGCTGATCTAATTTTTCCCAGGCCAAGGCACTTTGGCAGTACTACGACGACAGTGCAAGCCCGAAGTTTATTCAACAGCGCCAGGTTATGCATGTCTCGATTCTGTCTTTTGGCAACTTCATTGGTCGGCTTTCTAGCGGTATGTCGGCACCCTCACTGTTCACAATTGGCTACTAATCTCCTATAGGTATTGGCTCCGACCTTTTGGTGAAGAAGCTGAACATGTCGCGATTCTGGTGTCTGTTCATCTCCGCCTTTGTCTTCACCATCACCCAGCTTGCAGGCTCCGCCATCTCCAACCCTCATCAACTAGCCATTGTATCCGGATTCACCGGTATCGCATACGGCTTCCTTTTTGGCGTCTTCCCATCGCTGGTCGCCCACACCTTCGGCATCGGCGGCCTCTCGCAGAACTGGGGTGTAATGACGCTTGCGCCCGTGCTGAGCGGCAACGTCTTCAACCTGCTCTACGGCAGCATCTACGACCGCCACTCGATTGTCGAACCCAACGGAGACCGCGACTGTCCGGATGGTCTGGCTTGCTACCAGGCTGCGTACTACACGACGTTCTTGTCCGGCGTAGCCGGTGTGGTCGTCTGCTTGTGGAGCATCCTTCACGAGAGACGTATCCACGGCGCGATGCACAAGAAGGTCGAGCATGACCGACTTGCTTAGGATGTCAGTAAATTTCGAGGCCTCCACGGAATAAGAGGCTGAAAGTGGTGACTTTTATTATATCTTGTCTTCCTCGTATATATACCCAGGGAATATGTGCCATTTAGTAGGCAATTTGGTTGGTATTTCATAGAGGGTTCACTATTCATATAGACATTCATTGGATCTGAAAGCGTTCCATCATACTCTTATCATATGGGCATTGGCTGTCACTTCCACTCCTCCGGGTTATTCATCCATCAGGGTACTCCGGTTCACTGGACCCTCTAAGAACACACTAAGCCAGTACATAAGTTTTCCAATTTTACACTGTTTCCCAGTGTGTAGGTTTCTTCTACCTTATTATCCCTTCTCTCTTCTAAACATACTACTACGTATGTAATCTTATACAGACTTCTATCCAGATAATAACTAAATAATACATCAGTAACTAGTAACCCTCAACCACTCACCCACTCATCCTCCATCAACAACTCCTTCGCACTCGGCCTCTCCCCACGAATCCAGCTCAAGGTCTTCCGCAAAAACCGCAGAAAAACCTCTTCCTATTGCCCTGGGGTCGCGTCTCGCGTTCTTCCAGTGATACTGTAGATCGCGACATAGTCAGACTGTGGATGAGGATCCAGAGCCTAGTTTGGTGATGACTTGGTATCGGGAGTTGGAGACTTCACCGATGTGGACGGGGTAGTATCGCTCCGCTCGGTAGTCAGGGAGAGACTCCTCTTCTGAGTTGGGAATATGATTGAGGAGTTCGTATCCTCTTGCTGGGAATGTGCGTGGTGGTGATGGAGGTGTAGATGAGAGGGAGCTTGTCTGTCTGCGTTGATATGGGTGAAGGGGGGGGGGGTGATATGCCATTGCGACGGTTTAAAGATGGCTGATAATGCGAATAGACGGGCTACAGAGACGCATTACTGTCCTCATAGCTGTGGAGCTTCCAGAGTAGTGATAATTGATGTGATAGACTCATACATGGGGAGAAACACGTGCTCCATAGTCATGTGTCCAGTCATATCGACATGCATCCCTTCCCTGTCTATTTGAGATTTATCCGATTATACTCCGTCCTCATCGTTGTCAATCTAAGTCTATCTCAGCCACGAACACCTTACAATGAAGTCTTCTTGATATCGGCATCATGGATTCATTTTTCTCACCCGAGTATACGATAGAAAGAGGCAGCCAGCTGCCTATCCATCTGTATCCGATCAGCCAACGAGCATTGCGCTCCAATATAGAGATAACCCCTACATGCACTAAGTCGCAACCAACACTACCCCCTCACCTACTACTCAATACAAATATTCTACTCCGTACGCATCTCATCATAAACCCAGATAACAATAGTCCCATAAACCCAAAAGGTTAGTATAACCGCATCCCTCGGCCTCAAAGCGGGGAAACCTCCAATCAGCACCCCCGACCGTCGGGAATCCGGACAGTAGGCAGCCCCCCAGGGCCAAAATTACCATTTATAGCGAGTAGATAGATCAGAGATAGGATAAATCTACCAACAATCTAAACAAGCAATTTGAAAAGACACTGTGTGTATGTCGATCAACGTCGTATCCCCGACGGACCAACAAATCAGGTTGCGCCAATAATGAAGGGAGTATTTGCGTGACGGGCATTGATAAGGGCGGATTTGAGAGTAAGTAGTAAGTGAGGAGGTCGGGTCGATTCCGGGTACTCCGGACTCGTGACCACTGCCCACATCGCGCTGATAAGGAAGGAATCGGATCGACGGGTGGAGTAATACCTATCTAGATCATGGTGAGATGAGATGGGATGCCCAGGTTGGGGGGTGTTATCCTTAAGAGTGGGATAATATAGGGTCGTTGATCCTAAGATTAGGGTGGGTTACAATGGTATGTGAAGTGTTTCCGCTCTCGGAAGTATAGTACTGGGTCACTCGGTACGTTGCATGGGATGATGTACTACGAACGCTTACAAACAGAAGGTGGGAAGAAGACAGTAGTTAGATTCAGGGAGTTAATAATAACACGAATTACTTTGAACACATGTAAAACCCTTTACAGGTCCTTTTCTTTTCTTTTTGAGGGGGATTCTTTTTCGTGCGGTCGGGCTGGGATGAGGGGAGCAGGTGCAGGCGCAGAATAATCTCTCCCCGACTCATATCGGAACAAATAGGATGAGTAGAAGAAGAGAATGGGGAAGAATGGCTCGAAGGAAGGTGTGATATAATTAGGTAGTTAATCCGATATACAGCCAGCCAATGACAAGACTCGTAAAGGGTATCAAAGAGACCGGGGAAGATCAGAGAACGCAGCACCGCAAACTATGTGCGCATTTGTTTACGTCGGTGCTGCCCGACGCACTCATGCGCGTCCATCGTCCGAACAAACCCCCCGCCCGTGAGAGTTAGACACTCTTGGGGGATTTTGTTGGCGACTCCGCAGGTTGCTCCACGACGTCGGACAGCCGCATCCGCTTGGCCAGCGGCTCGCTGGGACTGTCATTGCCCGCCGGGTTGGCAGAGGAGGTTTGGTCGGTAAGCTGTCGCTCCAGCTCAGATATCCTCCGTTTCAGATCGTCTTCGCGCCGTTGGGCCTCCTCCAGAGACCGCCGGAGCCGTACCTCCGAGTCCCGGACGATCATCTCCGATCGGCGCGCAGTCGCGCCGCTCTGCTCCAGTTCCGTCACCCGGCCCCGGAACAGTTCATTGATAAACTCCAATTCGCTCACGCGAGTCTTCAACGAGGTATTGGCTGCAAGCAGTCCATCGTATGTCTGTGGTGACTCGAGATGGCGGTCGACAGCCGCCGAGGTCGCCGTGGGCGACGGCTGGCGTGGCTGCACCGAGGGCAGCGCATTCGGCTGATTGAGCCCATGGTCGCCGATTGTGACGCTATCGAACATGTGCTGAGGCGCAATGTTGGCATTGTGTTGCGACTGAGGGTGTGGTTGTTGCATGGAAGGGATACCAGGCGTTTCGGTACGGGAGACGGGTGAGTTGGATCGGTCGGAATGGCCCGGTGATGCCTTCCGCGACGCGCGACGGTATCCTTGGGACCCCATGGGGGGCGTCCCAGCTTCGGACCTCGAGGTAGACAAGCCATTCGTATCGATAGCACCGCCGGACTGATAAGACATTGATAGGAATGTTAGCGATCGTTATCTCAGGTGTACAAAGACATAGGACAGCCAGGGAAAATTTTTCTAGACAACAGACTCACCTTACGCTTGGGGCCCTGACCAGCAGTCTTGACCCGGTTGCGACTTTTGATGACATCGGTCTTTAAGCTTATCGGACGGGGCCTGCCATGTAGTTTGAGGAACAAGCCACAGGCGTTGCAAAGGACGGAGCCGAGTTCGTCCCTGCGCCAGAGAGGTGTCGTAGAAGTGCCGCAATTCTGGCACACGGGCTGTAATTGAGGACGTTTGTGATCAGCCAATGTGGTCGCCATGGTTTTTGGAACAGTAGGATCACGCGAGGGAGAGGGGAGGGAGAGACAGAAGATGGGGAAGCGGACTGATAGTGGATGGAGGAGGAAGAGCGCTGGGTTGATAAGATCGGGAGAGATTTGATGGGCTGGCGCGATAAGGAGCAGGTGGTGCGGCGCCAAGCCCCCAGCGGCTGCTGATAACAGCAGATTGGCACAGAAAAAGAAACCCAGGAAATTAAGGGTCACCATGAACACCAGAGATTTCACCCCAGGCAAGAAGAGAAAAAAAGCAACAAAACCAGCGTAGCTCGATAAGAACCATCGCCTTCCAATGATAAGATCGTCTCAGAAACTTACAGGATTATTGCCTTGCCCACCAGTAGTGGCAGCCGGAGAAGATGTCGCGTATGTCATATTGGCCATACTGGGCTGCGCATTGCTACTCGAGGCTCTGCACACGTAAGACTCGTCAGCATAACCAGAGATACGGGCGCCTTGGGCGTGCAAGTATTCAAAATCATCTTATCTCCCTTCCAGACATGGCAGGGGAATCACACATGATCTTCCCTGCGACTCCCCTCTCATTCCATCACCTGGTCTCGTCTATGGAACATCGCATAGGGAAAGGTTCTTGCTAGATACACATACCGCAGATTGGAAGTGGGCGCAGATGCGACCGAGGCCAAAGCAGAGAGTCCAGGCAGAGATGGGCCCAGAGAGCTGGGGAAGGCACTACCGTTGCTGCTACTGCCTGGGCTATGGGTGTATTTATCTAGAGAACTCGCCTCGGGAAGCGTTCCAGAATACTGCGACGACGCTGACGATGCTCCCGCACCAGTATCCGTGGTCGATTGGCGCGATCCCGATTGACTGTCAGTCGAGGAGGAGGTATGTTTGTAGTTCGAGTCTTGAGACTGGGAATTCGACGGCGACGGCGGACGAAGGGCTGGGTCGATGGGCGACGCCCGGAAGAGGAGTGAAGCCACCGTGGAGGTTGTCGGAGGGAACTAGCTAGAAATCCGGCCACAAATGACCGAACTGTAGACGATTCGAGAGGAGGGATTCCGTCGTTCCGGGAGTGGTATACGACGGTTTAGGAGGAAAGATTCGTGCCGTTGGAGAGGACCAGCCACGTCTGAAAGGGAGGAATGATATGGAATGTCGTTCAACTTTTTTTGGGTTGCCCAGTTGTAATCAAACGATCATTAGACTTTTTCCAAGCCCAAAGTACTTTTTCTTTTGTTTTTGATAATTGCTTTTGTCCGGCCCCAAGGGACGTCAGAGATTATACTCCAGGAGTAAAAGATCTCAACACAAGGCTGTCTCGGGGACAAGTTGCTGCAAGTTGACCCAAGGAGCGATTGCTGAAGGAGCGACAAGAAGGTGAAAAATAAAAAGTTCCAAGCGGATTGACCGGAAAGGAAACATGCGAAAGTAGATGATGGGTCTGGGGAAGGGGATTTGAGGCAAATCTGGAGGGGAACAGGATGGTCGGGAGGGAGAAGGAAGATCGAGGGTTGATTATCGGGGCTGCTATCGCGCGTCGGAGGCTATCGATTATTTATCGAAATGGCTCTGCGGAACCGCCGCTTGGCTGGGCCCAGCCGAGTCTTGGATACTGAGATTAAATCTTGGATAGGGATCCGTCACCCGTGGGAATTCCTCCTTATCACCTCCCTCCCCAGTCTCGGGCTGTTGCTATGCTATGCTTCTGCTCTCCAAGGTTTATGCGCCTATCTAATAGTATGCGCGGGACGGGCCCGGAATGAATCTTCGCAATGTTGTTGTCGCGCCCCTGCATGCCCCTTTCCCACCAGCCTAGTATTTACTGTGGCCGCCCCTGTGTTCTTGTTCTTCCTTTCAAGTCTGTCCTTCAACGGCCAATGACCATGTTTGCTCGTGATGATTCTTCTTCTTCCGTGATGGAGGTTGAGGTGGAGCTGAGCGTCAATAGGAGACTATAACCGGCAGAGTGGCTGACCAGCACTCATGCTTGCTGTGATCGGAATCAGTCATGGTTTGCTGATTGGTGCGCAACCGTTCGACTGTTGATGTTCTCCATTATGGCAACTCTTCATACATCATGCTACTGCACCCCGTTTCACTCTATCGGTCCATGTCTTAGATCGTAGCACAATCTCGTTGGAGCGACAAAGCCATGGCGCGCATATCGCGTGGTGTGGAAGTGCTAGAAAACGGCTGCCAGTGTCTGCACGGGGTCAATGGCAGCAGCTGTTGTTGATTAACTGGACGACAAGTATGACTGACGAGACCCTGAATTATTTGGCATGATTGAGCAGAGCATGGCTGTTACTATTTGTAGAAACAGAGACTGCGGAGTGAAGTAGTTTGTGTGTTTTCACGCTCAACCCACTGATGCTCTTGATCAGAGGAGCATTGAGAGCTCCAACTGAGTAGCAACATTCGTAGTATCTTTCCCCTTCCCCAGAAAACGTCTTTACCTTCTCCGGGGAAAAGCATCGCGTCGAGAGCCAACATTAATTCAGGGGCTTCCGTGAAGCTCGAGTGGATCCCAGCGGCACGATACGACCAGCGGTGGCGGTGCGGTATGGTATGGTATCCGGGGTGTGGCTGTTCTGGACCCTGACTGCCATGTGCTTGACTAAGCCGCAGTAATTTGCGGTACGGTGACGGTACGAGTGGTAATTGCGGCGAGCAGCCACTTCTTCAAGATGACAGCGGCGCTGCCTCGAACTCTCTCTCTGGCTCTGGATTCTTGGAATCTGCTCTCTCTCTCTCTCTCTCTCTCCCTCTCTTCCTCCCTCTTTCGCTTTCCCTACCTCTCCGTGGTCGGGGACTATCGCTTGTACTTCGTCTTTACTCGTCTCTGATCCAGTAATGGCTTGAGTTTGTCATTCAATCATCCTTCCCTTCTCGCCGTTCATTATCCATCCTCCCTTAATTCTTTCCCTTGCCCGTCGCCTTCATATGATCCCAAAGTGGTTGCCTCCCGACTTCTCCCATTATCTCATAGACTATCCCACTTCCATTCACCATGCCTAAAAGTAATCGGCCAGCGACCTCGGGTTACGCCCGCTTGGCTCAAGAGGAGGAAGATAGAGCCAATGACTTGTACGATTATTCAGACGATGACGACCTACACGCCCCCAGCACGATTTCCCAATCCGCCCCCCGATATGCTCCCATCTCTTCCCGTGCCCAGATGCAGGCCGCCGGCCTGTCCACGCCTCCCGAACACCGACGACGACTGAGTGGCCACTATCGCCGAGGACGAAGGAATTCCGGGGTCGACATCAAGGCCATCAATGCCCGTCTGGAACGGTGGGCGGAGGAGATCGCCTCCAAGTTCAAGATCAACCGCGTCAAGGGCAAGACCTTCGAGGAAGAGAAGCTGGAGATTTATCACTCCGTCTTTCAGGCTCCCGATGGAGTTCGACCCATCTCTGCGGAAGCCCTTGAGTCGGATGAGATTGAGGGGGCTGCGCGCAGAGCCCGTGACGAATTCGAGGAAATCGTGGAGAGTGTCCGGATAGCCATTGAGATGGGTGTCCATCCGAGGATGATCTCCCAGGGAAGCTCGGGTAGTTACTTTGCGCGCAATGCCGAGGGTAAAGTTGTGGGAGTGTTCAAGCCCAAGGATGAGGAACCGTATGCATCCCGCAACCCCAAGTGGACCAAATGGATCCACCGAAACTTGTTCCCCTGCTTCTTTGGTCGGGCATGCCTGATTCCCAACCTGTCGTATGTCTCGGAAGCCGCGGCGTATGTTCTCGACTCGCGTCTTCACACGAACCTTGTCCCCTACACCGACATTGTTTGGCTATCTTCGAAATCCTTCTTCTACGATTTCTGGGACCGCAGGAAAGCTTGGATGGGCAAGAGGCCGCTTCCTCCCAAAGCAGGCAGTTTTCAGGTCTTTTTGAAGGGCTACAAGGATGCGAATCTCTTTCTGCGAGACCACCCATGGCCAGACCAGACTAACACTGGTTTCCGAGCCGAGGATGCTCCGAAGCGCAAGAAGCGGCCTTGGAGTGAAGCTTGCCGCCCCTCGGGCGTCCATTCTGACGACGAAGACGAAGAAGAATACGAGGACGGCCAAGCGCGCACGCCATCCCCGCGCGAGGAGAGCCGGGAACGGCGGTTCTACTGGACGGAAGGCTTGAAGCAGTCGTTCCGGGAAGAACTGGAGAAGCTTGTGATCCTCGACTATATCATGCGGAACACGGATCGTGGATTGGATAACTGGATGATCAAGATCGATTGGAAGACGGAAGAGGTGTCCATTGTTGCTGACCCGCCAAAGCCCAATGGAGTGCAAACACAGGAGGACGATGAAGACATGCCGCCTGCTCGTCCCGTTTCTGTCAACTCGGACGGAACGGCTTCAGCCCAGCATCCGTATCGGCGACGTGAAGCGATGGTAGCCGTCAGCCGTACTGGAACCCCATTGAACGCAACCGATCCCCAGGTAACCGTTCAGATCGGAGCGATCGACAACAGTTTGTCCTGGCCGTGGAAGCATCCCGATGCCGTAAGTCCAATGTCTTATTCCAAAGCGATGTCTCCCAGAACCCTTGCTAACTTGTCATAGTGGCGAAGCTTCCCGTTCGGCTGGCTCTTCCTTCCGGTTTCTCTGATCGGTCAGCCGTTCTCGCAGAAAACTCGCGACCATTTTCTGCCCCTTCTTACCTCGACGGCCTGGTGGAGCGGGACTCAAATGGCCCTCCGGCGGGTATTTTCGCAGGATTCCGATTTCAAGGAGAGCATGTTTGCTCGTCAGATTGCGGTTATGAAGGGACAGGCCTGGAACGTAGTGGAAACGCTGAAGCACCCCGACCATGGCCCGCTCGAGTTGACGCGACGGACGCGTGTGTGCGTCTGGGATGATCTGGTGGATGTTCCGGTCGCTATCCCCCTCCGCGGGCCGTCTACCGATGCGCAGAAACGAAAGGTGAAGAGCTACGAACATTACGATAAGCACGCCAGTTACGATCCCGACAACGAGGAGATGGACATTGGTGCCGCCATGTCCTTTGGTACTGGCCCTGATGTCGACCTGCTGGGCTTGAGTTCTCCTCCGAATGAGTTGCCCAACCCGAACCGATTCGAGCTCTCCCGCGGGCGCGGGTCCAGCTCGGGACATGTCCGGGCCCAATCCGGCAGCCCTGCTACGATGGGCGACTATCGGTTTGGGCGCGACAGTATCGACGAGCTGAGCCAGGGGCGAGGTTTGGACCGAAGCTGGGCGACACTCCCTCCCCGTCCGGGCAACCGGCACCAGAAGCACAGTTCGGTATCCAGTACGCGCGGGCAGGCGCATCTGATCTGGAGCAGCGACGACCTGGAAGGCGACCTGGGATATGCCGCCGCCGAGGGCATGGAAGGCAACCAGCGCAAGGTGATTGTCGAGCGACTCGAGGCAGTCAAGAGCAAGAACCCGGTCTTTACCTGGTGTTAATCCGGTTGTTGCTTGCTGATCAGTCAGGATCTGCTTCGTCGGCGCAGGTCCCCTCATCTTTCCATTCTTCTTCTCATTCTCCTTCTTTACTTCACATCTTCTTCTCTTCTTTTATTTAGCGTGTATCATGATAACCTGGCATGAGGAGTTCTTTTGCAGGGTCTGGTCCTTGTTGGAAAAAATCTTGATGGTTTTAGTCATAGAAATGGAAGTTGATCTTCGCGAGGGATTTTTGGGCGGTTGCCTCCTTGTCTACCTTATACATAATACACCAGTATATAGTTTTTTTGAAGTGCATTTAGAATCTAATACAAAGTCAGCGATGAAGTGAGAGTGCCTTGAGCGGTAGAAGTCAAACCTCGTATAGCCCAGATATCGATATCAATCGGATATCAGCAGGTGAAAAGTGGGCACTGAAACTGCGCCGACCGAGGAAGACCCGCAATCTTATCACGTATCGGTGGTTCCTCGTCACGGTCAAGCAACTAGATACTTCCTACAGTACCTCCAGTAATTATCGACTATCTCTTTCTTCTCTCTGTCATCCCTCACTCTGCCATCATCACTGGCTTGCTTCTTTCGGCACTTCCTCCTGTCCGGCCGATCATCTCATCCTGACCGTAAGATGGAAGAGATCTGAGCTCCCCCTCACACACACTCTCTCTCTCTCTTGACGCTCATCCCTACGCCGCCACCACCACCAAGGCTACCACCACCAACTAACCGGATTGCCGCCCTCCGAGTAACTCCCTCTCTGTTGGATGCTCAGCCCAGCCTTTCTCTCCACCCGCAGCAGGCAATCCAGGCCTTCTTTCGAACCGATCTAGATGTCCCTCTCATCTTCCCCGCCACCGTCTCATCCGATCCGTGATCAGTCACTGGGCCTAACACTCTACGTCGCACGCGTGTCTCGGGCACCTGCATCGAGTACCGAATCATGGCTTCCCACGCCGCCATGCTCCTGGACCCGCGGGCCTACAAGAAGCAACTTCAACAACAGCAGCAGAAAAACAATGGTAACTCCCCGGTTCCCACTCGAACCCCATCGGATCGCTGGAGCGATGGACCCGGTGATCCTTACCAAGAGGACCATCACCAACACCGTCCATATTCCTTGCCTGCTTCACTGCGTTGCCCCTCCCCTCCAGATGACCCCATCGACTCAGACCCCAACGAAAACTCACATATTTTCCCAGTAGGAACAAGCGCCCAACAGGATCCGTCGTCCTCGCCTCAGCGCACTGTCGTTGCGCCGCCCGCGGGAACCGCCTCCGCTGCCCAGCGGCTTTTGAGTCCCCGGCGCCGTCTGCCGTCGCAGCGGGCGAGTCCCAGGTCAAAGTCCAGATCGCAGTCACTATCTACGAGGTCGCCGAGTACTCGCGATACGGGGAGTTCGTCGCCGCAGCAGCAGGAGACGAGTGTGGAACCTGCGCTTGATGTGGAGTTTGCTAGTGCTCAGTTCGAGGACCGGACGGACGGCAAACGGCCTTCGGAACAGATGGACGAGACACGCCATGGGAGCTTAATTGAAAATATGTACGGGGTGGAGGGGCGTTCTAGCCAGCTATATAAGAGGGTCAAAGTAGAAGAGGAGGGGCCAAGGTCTGTAAACCGCAAGTTCACAGGCGTGGGAAATACGGGCTTGGGTGATTGGATGAAGGATGGCCGTTCAAATTCGAATTCCCCGGCCGTGCTGCCTGATATTGTTGACTTGACTACTGGTAGGATGATGGATATGTGGGTTGTAATGATATGCTGACTCTCTATCAGATGTGTCAGGACCAGCGACTGATGATGACGATGTGCAGGTCACCGGCTCGAATGACCTCAGTCTTCAGCGGGTCTGTTACGGGAAAATTGAGAATGCCACGATCCAGGCGCAGTTGGTTCCTAAGCCTTCGTCACAGACTATCTTTGGCGACTCCACGCATGACTGGCCTTCCATGAAGCTAGGCGTGCATCGGCAGCCGGGCCAGAACAACCGGATCGAGGTGTCCGATCCTAACGGTAAGATATTTGGGATGGTCGACGCGAAGACGGCGTCGGTGATCGTTCCGCTTCTAGACTCGCCGGCTCTGAAGGTGAATATTACCGCCCGGTTGGACGTCCGGAGAAGAAAGGACGACGAGTGGCCCTGGGCGCCTTGCTCATATGCATACCGAGCCTCCGTCAATTTGTATGGCCTGAGAAAGGATGCGGAGCTTGTGGGGAAGCATCTGGGTCAGCATAATGTCTGGCTGGGGACGCCATTTTCTGTGGAACAGGGCGTTCCTGTGCACAACCCCCATGCAGAGAGGCGACGGGCTCAAGCGGCGATGCTGCCTGCGGCAGCTGCGAGGGGCCGGGTGGGAGTCAACTATGAAGTGCGTACAGCCGAAGAAGTAAACGACGCGGTGATGAAAATGTTCGATCAGCTGCAGAGCGCCGAAAATCTGCCCGAGATGGACCCTCCGCCTTCTTTGATCACACCATTGCTTCGGCATCAGAAGCAGGCACTTTGGTTCATGACGGAGAAGGAGAAGCCGCGCAAGTTTGGGCCCAAGGAGGCGGACAATAACTCTCTCTGGCGGATGGTTTATCGCTCTAATGGAAAGAGGCGGTACCGAGAGATCATCAGCGGGATGGTGCTAGATGAAGAGCCTCCACAGAGTCTGGGAGGACTGCTGGCGGATATGATGGGGCTGGGTAAGACCTTGAGTATTCTCTCCTTGGTTCTTTCTTCTTTGGAGGAGGCCAGCCAGTGGGCGGATTCAATCCCAGATCCCGAGCTAGTCCGCAGCTCGCCGGGCATCCGCAATACCAAGACGACGCTTCTGGTGGCGCCCCTCAGCGCGGTCAACAACTGGACCAACCAGATCAAGGAGCATCTGCGGGAAAATGCGCTTTCGTTCTATGTTTTCCATGGACCGACGCGGACGAATGACGTGGAAGAATTGTCCAGGTATGACCTAGTGATCACCACGTACAGCATCGTCCTCAGCGAGCTGTCTGGACGAGGCGCAAAGCGTGGCGTAAGCCCTTTGACCAAGATGAACATGTTCCGCATTGTTCTGGATGAAGCGCACACAATCCGCGAACAGAGTGCAGCACAGACCCAGGCCATTTTCAAGCTCAACTCCCAGCGACGATGGTCCGTGACCGGAACGCCCATCCAGAATCGTCTCGAAGACCTCCTCTCGGTCACCAAGTTCCTGGGGCTCTTTCCTTATGACGACCGAGGGCGGTTCGGAATGCACATCCTCAGTCGCTTCAAAACGGGCGATGCATCAGTGCTGGCCAGCTTGCGAGTGCTGGTGGACTCTTTCACCCTCCGCCGGGTAAAGGACAAGATAGATCTTCCGGCACGGCACGATAAGATCATCATGCTCACCTTTACGGAGAAGGAACAGCAATTGCATGAGTTCTTCCGCAAGGAGTCCAACGTCATGATGCGGGTAATTGCCGGTGAGGAACAGTCCAAGATGAAAGGTCGCATGTACCACCACATCCTCAAGGCCATGATGATCCTCCGACAGATCAGTGCGCACGGCAAGGAACTCCTCGAGCCAGACGACCGCAAGCGTATCAAGGGGATGAGCGTGCACGACGCAATCGATCTCGAAGAGGGCGCAGGCGACGCTGCCGGAGCCACTGACAAAAAGGCTTACGAAATGTTCACACTCATGCAGGAGACTTCCGCAGACACATGCGCTGTATGCGGGAAGCGCCTGGAGGAGCCAAGTTCCGATAATGGTCCGACCGACAAGCAAACAGCCATGGCGATCCTGCTGCCGTGCTTTGATGTCCTGTGTCCAGACTGTTTCTCGGGGTGGAAACACGCTTTCGACCGTCCAGTGGGCTCCGTACACGATATCAAATGCCAAGTTTGTGATGGCTGGATGCCCGCCTCGTATTCCACCATCACGGTAGGCGGACTGCAGGACTACCTGGTGGATCAAGCGCAAGCCAAACAGAGTCGACGACACGGCAAGACGCTAGGGGAGTACGAGGGGCCACACACGAAGACCAAGGCGCTGGTGACACAGCTCTTGGAAACAGCCGACGAGAGTAAGAACCAGGGGCCTGAGGAGCGGCCGATCAAAAGCGTGGTGTTCTCGGCGTGGACGTCGCACCTGGACTTGATCGAAATTGCGCTGCGCGACCACGACATCACCGGGTTCACGCGGCTCGACGGGACGATGAGTCTGGCAGCGCGAAGCAAGGCGCTGGAGGAGTTTCACAACAACCCAGATATCACGGTGCTCCTGGCGACAATTGGGGCCGGCGGCGTGGGTCTGAACCTGACAGCGGCGTCGAAGGTGTATATAATGGAGCCCCAGTACAATCCGGCGGCAGTGGCACAGGCCGTGGATCGGGTTCATCGCATTGGACAGACGCGCGAAGTGACGACAGTTCAGTTCTTGATGAAGGGCAGTATCGAGGAGAAGATCTTCGAGCTTGCGAAGAAGAAGCAGCAATTGGCAGATCTGAGTCTGAACCGGGGGAAGCTGGATAAGAAGGAGGTGCAGGAGCATCGCATGCGCGAATACCGGAGTTTATTCAAGTGATGGCGATATACCGATGATTCCTTTATTTCCTAGTGAAGCGCCATGTTCACTAGAAGGAGATGCGCATACTGATAATACTGGTTTGATACCCGAGAGGCGTTTGGTTGATTTATTGCATTCCTGGATTCTCTCTGCATTGACTCATATGGATTTCTTTTACCCCATTCATTTGATCTCATTGACATGGTTGAACTATCTCCTTTTTGCTATGTGATTAATTCCGCAGTACACGATAGAGGAGAAAGGAGGAAAGGAAGAAAGACAAAGACAGAAAGCTAATTAGAAGACGCAAGTCAAACTCCATACTCCATACATCATCCCACATACATGAAACACATCCATTATCCACCAACAATATAAACTACTCCCTAGAATAAATCCCCCTCTCCACCACCCCCAAAACACCCTCCAACCTCCTCCTCAACACCCCCAACTCGCGTCTCCTCTCCTCCCTCACCCCCTCCACAACCCTCAACTCCCCCTCCAGCTCCCGGATCCGCCTCTCCTGCTCCGCCTCACTACTATCTATCCCCGGCAACACACTAATTAAGTACTCGATCTGCTGCTCCTTAATGACGAGATCGCGCGCTAGTTCCCGTTGTCTGGCTGCAAATGTAGCGGGGCTGTCCGGCGCAGGTAGACCTTCACCATCTGGGCTTTGTTGCTGTTGATCTGCATTTTGCCCTCCGGTTTGGGGATTTGTGGTGTCGGGTGGTGGTGGCGACGCTTGCGATTGGGATTGTGCTGCTTGGGGCGCGGACGCTGGGACCGGGGGGGTAGATGCGTTCTTGGGGATTTTTGCCAGTAGGGGCGCAGCGCTGGGGGTTGTGCTTGTGGGAGGCGGCGTCGCGGGGATGTTGTCGTGGTAGGTCGTTAGGTAGCATAGAGTCGCGTAGAATTGGGTTGCGAGCTGTGGTTTTAGAGTTAGTTGGGTGTGGCTGGTGTTGGTGTTGAGGGTGAGGGTAATGGGATGGGGGATGTACCTGGTCGAGGCAGGTTTGAAGTTGGGTTAAGATGTCTGCCATGTTGGGTTCCTTTCTCCCTTTTTGTGTTCCAAATTGTGATTGAAAGGTGGTGGCGGGGTTGTAGTGTAGGCGTGGGGTGTAGGCGTAGGTGTATAGGGTAGTTGTGAGAACAGTTGTAGAGGTGATGGTGATGGTGATGGTAATGGTGGAGAGTGAAGAAGTGGAAGAGCTAAGCTAATCTCCGCTCCGATAAGTGATTGGGTTTTGATTCCGCCGATAACCCCAAATAAAGTATTTCTCCAACTTCTTACTTTCTCTCCTCATGTATGTCTATTTCTGTTTCCGCCACATAACTTCTACGAAACACTAACATTCAATTAAACCATAGTATACACACAAACCCAATGCATCACACCAGCAGCCTCTCATAATAAGAACAATGACAACACTATCCCCCCTAACCCGCCGCCTCTACAAACTCCCCCACCCCCCAACCCCCCCATCTTCTTCTTCCCACACCACTCTCCCCTCCTTTCTCGCCCACGCCTCACGCACCTCCCTTCCCCCTACAAGCACAACCTACATCGGCACCCACTACGAATACACCATCCAATCTACCCTCCGCTCCTCTGCCCTCCTCCTCCACCGCACCGGCGGCCGCTCCGACGCCGGCACAGACCTCGTCGGAACCTGGCATCTCCCCGCACACGAGCATCCGCCGCGCGTCCTTGTGCAATGCAAGGCGCTCAAGACGAAGCTCGGGCCCAATATCGTCCGTGAGCTCGAAGGCACGTTCTCGTCGGCGCCGGTGGGGTGGCGCGGGACAGGCGTCATCGGGATGCTGGTTAGTCCCAGGGAGGCGACGAGGGGCGTGCGGGAGGCGTTGACTAGGAGTCGGTTTCCGTTGGTTTGGTGTCTTGTTGGGTTGGAGGGGAGAGTTAGGCAGGTGCTTTGGAACGAGAGCGTCGAGGGGGTCGTCGGGGGTGGGTTGGGGATTGGGGTTGTTTATTGTGCGAATGAGCAGGGGGATAACAGGGATGCGGAGGCGAGGGTGACGTGGGATGGGGAAGAAGTGCCTGGCATAGATGATGTGGTGGAGAGGATGGAGGTTATGCAGAGGAGGTGGTTTGAGTTGTGGGATGTTGGGGAGGAGAGGTGGGAGGAGGTGCTGGGGGTCGTGGAACGGTTATTTCCGTTTGAGAAGCCATTGCTGTATGCTAGGGACGGGAGGGTGAGTGGGTTGAGTGAGGAGGAGAGGGAGCTTGTGAGGAGAGAGTTGAAGAGTAGGTCTACTTCAATATAGAGCAAATCGTATAGAATGTAATAATAGTATAGTATTGTCATATCAAGCCAGGGTATATCCGTAAACGCCATCCGAACCATCCATCTCATCAAACACATCTACCCCTGCATCGTCGACCAGAAGTAGTTCGAATAGAAGAACCGCGAGAACTTCGGGTCAATGTTCACCACATGCACATCGCCCTTGCGACTATTGCGGATCACCGCCTTGGTGAAGTTGCCTGCATCGTCCGCCTCGATATCCACGCCCAAGGACCGGTAGATTTTCAATCGCAGCCTACCAAATAGTCAGCCTCCCGGTACTACATGTCAAACAAATGAGAAGTACTCACAGCGTCGCATCATCCATCTCGCGCTCGCGGCGCGTCGGTTCATCGCCCTCCAACCCCTGCGCCTCCAGATCGGCCAGTCGCTCCTTCAGCATCTCCAGCTCGCCTTCTAAGCGCTCGCTTTCAATCTCCAGCTCGGTAGCCGACTTGGCAATACGGAATTTCTTCGTGTCCAGCTCGACCATCTCCGCCGCGTGCTTGCCAGAGTCATGCGCCGCCACGGCCTCCTCATGCTGGGCCGTCAGCGCGGACAGGTGCCGCGAGAGCTTGCGCAGGGCCGATTCGGCTTCGCGTGTACGCAATTCGCGCGATTGTTGTAGTGCGGCGAGCGAGTCATTGATGCGGGTGACGGCTTGTTTATCGGGGTGGATGTTGAAGTTACCGATGGTGTGGTTGATGAGCTGGAGAGTCAGCAGTGGGCATGATGAAGGGGCAAAAGTAACATACACCAGCGGGATTCTCGTCGAGAAGCATGATGACGGTAGATTCAGGGATATATACGTAGTGTGTTAGATATCTACCTTGTAGTTCCGATAGCAATGGCAGCAAATACACTCCGGAAGTGGAGAGATGTTTGTTGTTGGAGCAACCGCCACCGCCGCACGCACCGCCACAGCGCGTGACGCCAGGCAGACCGGCGATGATTCCGAATCTTCTCTTGTCGCTGCCGGCCAAAGTCTTCGTCTTCCCACCAGATTCATCGCTATTTCTTCATAATGGGTTCTAATCTTCCTTGTGAGTATTTCTATTCTTGTTGGCGCTGGTTCCCCCCGCTAACTGCATGCCTGCAGATGCTGCCGATGCTGAGAGGTCAGCGCTTCCCCCATCGGATACTCTACCAATACCCCAGATCCCAGCGAAGCTAACCGGTGCACAGTCCGCTAAAGCCAGCGGAACTTCAGGTGCTCCGCGCCCAGTATGAGAAGGAAGGTGACTACGTGGGGATTCAGACCAAGTTCAACTACGCCTGGGTAGGTGCCGGCAGATATCCCGATGCAGGCCCGTTTGGCTGACAGCATGTATAGGGCCTGATTAAATCCAACGCCCGAGTCGAACAACAAGAGGGTGTCCGTCTGCTGTCGGAGATCTTCCGCGCGGCACCCGAACGACGTCGCGAATGCCTGTACTACCTCGCGTTGGGCAACTACAAGCTCGGTAACTACGGCGAAGCCCGTCGGTACAACGATCTGCTGCGTGATAAGGAACCCGGGAACTTGCAGGCAGCTAGTCTGGGCCAACTCATCGACGAAAAGGTGTCGAAGGAGGGCCTGATGGGTATTGCCATCGTGGGTGGGCTGGCGCTGGCGGCCGGCGTGGTGGGTGGATTGGTGATGCGGGGGGCAAAGAGACGCTGAAGGGACTGTGAAATGATTGTTCTGGGTGCATGAGTGTAAATAGGGCTGCTTGGTGTTTTTATTCTAGCATTGGGGCGTTCTGACAGCAAGATTGGATGCGTGATTAATGTTAATGGATGCTATCACTATCAATATGGGAATGTCTTCAGCTGCGCCACAGGTGGCTAACGTCATCCCGAGTCGTTTCTTCTTTCCTGCTTTTCTCTTTCTTTCCTCCATCTTCTCTTATCTCCATCTTCTCTTATCTCCATCTCCTTGCTGTCATCTGATGTTGGTTTCTTTTTGATATCTAGCATATATTCCCGTCGGATGAATCCCATGCTTTAAGTCTTTGTCCCCGTCACGCCCGTGGCCACATTGGATGAACGAATGCGTGCCCAACGAGCCATGAATGACGCTGCATTGCGCTGCTGCTCTCGAACTCTCAACCACCACCACCTCGACATCCCTTCTGCCTGATTGATTCGTCAGATCTCGTCTCCTGCACAACCATCTGACTAGTGTCTACGGTGACAACCTTCCACCCCACCTTTTCATCGTCCCCCTCTCATCCACGCTTCGTTTCGCCGTTGGATTCCGGATCGCCATGGCCGACGTGGGGGATCGCATGTTCTGCCATGCTTGTGGCGGCGTCTGGCTGCGCGAAGCCCACGGCATGATCTGTCCGCACTGCGAGTCAGACTTTACTGAGATTGTATGATCTCTTCCTCTATCAGTTCCTTCATTCCTATCTGACCATTCCAGATCGAAATCCCGCCAGATCCCGACGCCGAACCCCCGCCCTCATTCCACCGCCCCCCCTCGCCCCCCGCCGCGGACAACGCCCGCTCCCCGAACCCATGGGCAGACCATAATCCCTGGGCACACCAGGAGGAAGATGATGATATCGATCATGGTTGGGGACCGGGACATGGAAATGGATTCACCCATCGCACATATCGGTCCCCGGACGGCCGCTTCACCTTTTCCACCACAACCTATACCCACGGTCTCCGAGGGGGGTCACCCCCAACCCAACAGCGACAAGCGAACCCCGACCCACTGATGCCGATGGTGCAGGGTCTAGACAGCATCTTCCATGGTCTCGCAAGCACCTACAGACAGCAAAATCGCCCAGGCGGCCAAGCTCAGGCTCCAGGCTCGGATCGCGACCGCGGGAGGACACTGGGATCTTTTGCGTTCGACATCGAGGCGGAGGGCCGGACCGGCACGCAGGCCGGCGGTCTGCACCCGCGAGATGCGGATGGTCCGCAACCGGTGAATAATCCTCTGCGGACTCTGGGCGAGTAGGTGCTGCTGATGACATTGCTGCACGTTGCAGGGCTAACGAATATCAGTATCTTGGAGCTGTTCCGCTCGGATTTCGGTACAAATACACAGGCGGGCGGCACTGGCGGCGTGCGGGTGATGACGGGGCCGAATCCCCTCGCCATGCTGTCCACGCTGCTAAACTTTGATCGTCATGGGGACGCAGTATACTCGCAAGAGGAGCTGGACCGCGTGATCTCGCAGCTGATGGAACAGAACGCCAACCGGGGAGCGCCACCACCAGCCCCACCCAGTGCGATCCAATCGCTGCCGAAGAAGAAGGTCGATGAGGAGATGCTGGGGAGCGAAGGTCGAGCGGAATGCTCGATTTGCATGGACGCGGTGGAACTAGGGACGGAGGTCACGGTGCTACCTTGCAGCCACTGGTTTCACTACAGCTGCATCGAGCTGTGGCTGAACCAGCACAACACGTGTCCGCACTGTCGGCGAAGCATTGATGCGCCCCAGTGAGTTCCCTATTCTATGTTTGCTTCGTTACGCAGACCCTCTCTAACGACATGCAGATCCGAAAGCGCCAACAGTCCTCCCGGAAACCGGCCAGCAGCAGAAGGCACAAGCGGCAACCCAGTAGTTATTCCCGACAGTCCGGAGCGCGAACGGAGCCAGCCATCAGCAACGCGAGACGCTGCATCCCCATCAGGCTGGAGCTCACAGTCATTCTCCTCGTGGTCATCGCCATGGTCAGGCTCAGAGGGCCCAGAACAACAACAACAACAACGCCGGAGTAGTCGAGGAGAAGGGTCCGGAGGGTTTACGGGATGGGTGCGCAGCCGACTCGGCGGAGGGAGCAGCTGATGACGACATGGAAGCATACAATTATATTGGGAGATTGATGATTGACGAGGTGTATTTAGTAATGACTTGCTTGGGAGTTTGCTTTATAATGACATGACACGACACGATAAAGATAACTATGCACACGCCCGCATGCACACACAGACAGCATTGATACCTTATCTATACTATCTATCCATCTAAGGCTTTATTTACGATTACCACCGTACATTAAGAACTAAATCATTACGTTCGTAACAATCTAAATGCATTACCCTGGACGCCAAAATTACTGTACCGTACTATACTATAACTTTACCATAACATTGGAAAAGTGAAGTAGCATACTCGAAGAAGAACCCCAATAGCATTCGATACTGGTATATGTACTATAAACTCTCTAGATCAAGCCAAAAAGATAAAACTGAAACGATGAACCGAAATCACCTCAACCGAAAGTAGTAAAAGTGAGTACCGAAAGATGACAATGAAATGAACTTGAAACCGAGCACAGAACCGAGAAGACTTTTTCCTTTTCCTTTTTTGCTTATCACTTTTGGGTGCAGGATTCCTTCATCGCTCTGAAAATCGTAAGAGGAAAATGCAAGGGGGTTGTAGAGAGTCTAGGCGGAATGAATCTACAGTATAATAGATGAAGAGGGATAGAAATAGAATAGGTAGTAGATGTCAAGAGGTATGAGGGAGGAAGAAAGATGAGGAGGGAGGAGGGGTGGTGATTTAGAAGCGCAAGTCCCAGCCGATCTTAGGACCCAGACGAGGCAGCTCATCAGCCACACTCTGGACATCCTTGTCACCTCTTCCACTGAGGTTAAGGACGATGTTGTCACCCTTCTTCATGGACTTGGCGAGCTCCATGGCACCAAAGACGGCGTGGGAAGACTCCAGAGCGGGGATGATACCCTCGGTCTGAGCGAGAGCACGGAAGCCGGTGAGGGCTTCGGCGTCGGTGGCAGCAATGAACTTGGCGCGGTCGCTGTCCTTCCAGTTGGAGAGCTCGGGCCCGACACCGGGGTAGTCGAGACCGGCGGAGATGGAGTGGGTTTCGGAGATCTGGCCGTGCTTGTCCTGGAGAACGTAGGTGCGGACACCGTGGAAGACACCCTTGCTGCCGCCGGAAAGGGTGGCGGAGTGGCGGTCGGTGTCGACACCGTCACCACCGGCTTCAACACCCAGGAGCTTGACGCTGGGGTCGTTCGAGAAGGGGTAGAACATACCCACGGCGTTACTGCCACCACCGACGCAGGCGACGACAGCATCGGGCAGCTTGCCGATGAGGGTCTTCATCTGTTCCTTGGTTTCATCACCAATGACAGACTGGAAGGTACGCACGATGGTCGGGAAGGGGTGAGGCCCGATGGCGGAACCGATGATGTAGTGGGTAGTGTCGAGGTGGACAACCCAGGCGCGGAGGGCCTCGTTGACAGCATCACGGAGGGTGCGGCTGCCGGCGTCGACGGCAACGACGGAAGCACCAAGAAGTCTCATACGGAAGACATTGAGAGCCTGACGACGGACATCCTCGGCACCCATGTACACGACACACTCCATGCCGAACTTGGCGCAAACGGTAGCCGTGGCGACACCGTGCTGGCCAGCACCAGTCTCGGCAATGATTCTCTTCTTGCCCAGACGGCGGGCAAGCAGGATCTGACCGAGAGCGTTGTTGATCTTGTGACTTCCAGTGTGGTTAAGATCCTCACGCTTCAACCAGATGTTGGCACCGCCGACATGCTCCGTCAAGCGGTCAGCAAGATGAAGGCTGCTGGGACGGCCCATGTAGGGGTAGTAGGAGCGGTATTCCTCCCAGAACTTAGGGTCGTTGCGCGCCTCATCAAAGCCACGCTCGAGCTCGGCCAAGCAGTCCATCAGGGATTCGGGCACGTACTGGCCACCGAACTCACCGAAACGGGAGGGAATGAGAGCAGGGTCACCAGAGCCGTTCAGAGCTTCAATCTGGTCGACCAGGCCCGGGCCAGCCGGGGTGTCGTCGTTGGTAATGACATCAGTGGGCTGAGAGAGGGCAGGAGGAGCCTCCTTCAGGACGGGGTCAAGCACGTTGACGGAGCCAGTCACCTTGCCCTGAGCGTCTCTCTCGAGGCGACGACCGGTCACGCTGGTAAGGTAGTCCTGGGCATGCTTAGCCGCCTGGCCGGCAGGGGCGTCACCCAAAACGGTGATGATCTGGCTACCAATAACAACACCCTCAGAGATGTTCTGGACGGACAGGAAGTGCTCGCGGGTGCTGACACCGAATCCTAGTGCCGTAGGCACGTTTCCGGACCAAGTGTGAACGCGAGACAGGAGTTCGGGCAGGTTCGAGCTGAGCTTTCCGGTGGCACCGGTGACACCCATTCTGGAGACGACGTAGATGAAGGAATCGGCAATCTTGCAAAGAAGCTTCATACGGGACTCGGAGGTGGCGGGAGCAATGAGGGGAACGTAAGAGAGACTACAGAAAATGTTAGACCAGCTACCCATTTTGCGCACACGATGCATTCAAAACGTACCCAGCGCTGGCGCAAAGATCTCTGAAGCGAACAGCCTCCTCCGGGGGCAGATCGACCATGATGAAACCATTGACGCCGGCTTCCTTGCAGTGTTGGAGCATGAGCTCCTCACCATACTGCATCAGAGGGTTGTAGTAGCCCATCAGAAGAACGGGTGCCCTCAGACCGCGGCTTCTGGCGGCGCGGACCTGGTCCAGGACCATGGGGATCGTGACACCATTGGCCAAAGCCTGAGTGTTGGCCTTCTGAATAGTCGGTCCGTCTGCGATGGGGTCGGTGAAAGGGACACCCATTTCGATAATGTCTGTTGCAGGTCACCAGCATCGATTAGTTCCCCTCCATCTTGAAATGTTGCAGAAGGCGGGGGTCGACAACATACCAGCACCACCATTTTCCAGGCCCATCAGAACATCTACGGTCTCCTCGACAGTAGGATATCCTGCAGTGAAGTAGGCGACCAGAGCAGCACGCTTCTCCTGCTTAGCTCTGGCGAATGCATTCTTGATTCCGTCCATGGTGGCGGGAGGTGGGGTGACACCCGACGAGTGGTGGTTAAGGGAGTAAGAACGGGGGAAAGGGAAGCGGAGGAAAAGGAAGTAGAAGCAAAAGGTAAGAGACGAGAAGAAAGAAAAAGAGACCAAGAACGGTCAATTGGGGAAATACGTGGAGGGAAAGCTGGGGGAGGGAAGAGTCGAGAAGGAGGAGAAGCGGAAGAAAGTGGGTTTGAGTCACCGAGGATTACTGAGTAATTACGGTGAGTGACGCCTGCTGGTATTTTCCCCGCCCCGGTCAGGTGATGGTGGCGATAAGATAAAAAAGAGGAAGAAAAAATACGGACAGGTACCGCTGGGTATGAAATTATCGGATTTACGGATTTGCATGTTTTACACAACGACATCTGTCTGTCTGTCTGTCTGTCTGGGTTGGGGATCGATTATTAGATTACTTATGTAGTTGTCAACACTTCCTCCAAATGTCAAAAGGGAAGAAAACAAGTCAGAAGGTGTAAGAAATAAACAGCACTATTCACAGACGCCGCAAGCTATGCATATATAGATCTGCCCTGACCGAGCAAGACCCCAGTCGCCACGAGGCAATAGGGACTTAATGCCAGGGACCATCTCCTCCAAGAGACGCGCAATGACAGAGACTGGAGCAGAGGGGACCCAGCAGCGGACGACAACAGTGATAACAACAACACAATAACACAAGGAGCACAAATCTGATCCCAAATCCCATTTCACACTTTTGATCCTTCGCCAACCCAGATGTCTGGTACATCAATCCCAAGTGTTATCCCAAACCTGCAACCTAGAAGGAACGACGGCAGCGCCATGCTATGCCAGATAGTTGTACAGCTTCGTAAAGGAGCGAAAGCCTCATGCCCACATGAAAATGCAACATTAACCACAAAAAATAAAAACATGGTGTAAATGGTGAAGAACAGTAACAGTTCGTCTATAATGCGTCAAAGAAAAAAAAGGATATCGGGCATTAAGGCATGAAGAAGGGCGATGGTATAAGGAGAGACATGAGATCATTCACAGTGATCATGAAAAATAAACGGTAAAGTCCGTGAGGGCCCGTGACTGAGTCATCCTGTGCGAGAAAATCCACAGGGCTCAGCGCCAAAATCTCGCGGTTAAGGAGTGACGATAATCAAAGAGGTATCAAAAATTATGCAAGAAATCACAACGCAGTAAAGCGGGAAAGCCAAACGCCAGTCGATGCAGATTACCATGGAGGAACCAAAACGCGTAGGTATTTCAAGACCCGTGGGCCTGGCCATGCACAGAATACGGCATGGGAGCAAGGTAGTTGTAGCACGCGCTGCTGCTGGGGTTGCCAGTGGCTGCAGCAGAGTTGAGAAGAGGATTCAAGTCCCAATTTCTGCTGTTCACAGTGGCTGTGAGCCCGAGTTGGCTCTGCTGCTGACAGACAGAAGGGTACGAGTAGGGTGCGGCCAAGGCGGAAGAATAGGGCTGGTTGACACTAGCCAGTCCGCCTCGCATCTCTGAGCCGCCCGTCATGGGAGGGGGTGTATATGCCGAAGCAGCTAGGCTGGCACCGTAATTGGTCGGAGCAGCAGTATCTGAGACGGACTGAGGCGACGCTGCATTCTGAGGTTCGGTTCCGGAATCAGAGGCAGCGCCGTTGCTGGTGTAGTTCGAACCGATCGGAGTGGCCAGGGTTCCAGAAATCGAAGAGTAACTAGCAGACTGGATCACCAACGGTTAGCCTTGTTTAGATGGCTATGAAACGAACAAGTCACTTACGTATTTACCGATGATTTTCTTGAGGGCATGGCTGAGGATTTTCCAGGGGAAGACCTTCACGTCTTTCTCGATATTCCTGGGCTTCGGTGCGGGAAACCCCATGATGACTTTGAAGAAGTCCTCACTGTCAGCCTTGGCCTTGGACACTGTAAGTGGTCGGAAGCCTTCCAAGTTTCTGCGTATGCGGTTCTTCTCCTCCACCGTGAATCGAACTCCCACCAAGGATTCTAGTAAGTAGATGGTGTCAACACTGGTAACAAAGCATTCGTCTTTCCCATCCCAGTAGATGCAGCTGATGCAGATGCTATTGGGAGCACGGTCTTCAGGCGCCACAGGCTTGAAATCTGCGTGGATAGTACTGCCGCTTTGCATCCGTGTGAATTGGACCAACCGACGCTTCGCCTCCCGCTCTTCTCTGGACCAGCCTTCCGTCATTGAATCAAGATCACCACTCAACTTCAACACTGCCTTGGTCGGGCACATGGCATAGGGGTTGAACGACTGCGTTTGGCCATATGCGCCCGACTGCTGCAACGTCGACGTTCGAATGAGCGTTGGATTTCCGAACCTGCTTGGGGATGCTTGGTTTTGCTGACGCAGAGGATGGCCGATGGTATAAGTAGTGCTTCGGGCATCGTTGCTGACAGCAAGGAAGGACGGGCTGTATGATGGAGTCATAGGCGACGGCGCCCGGATAGAGGCTTGAGATGCGGTGGATAGGCCGGGATACTGCGTCGAAGGAACTCTCGGCGATGCCGCCGTATGATGTGGGCTGACGAAACTATTCACTGCGGGCAAAGACTGCAGGTACGGCGAATAGGTCGCCGAGGATACGCTGGATGGTTCCTTTGCATGCATCGGTGGGCCGGTGACTCGTTTGGGTGCCCTAGACAGAGGTTCATCCGCGTATGAAGGCACCCTCCGCTTGCGGGACTCATCTGAAGGCGACTGCATCGAGGCATGTTCATAGGTATAAACACCCACTTGTAGCGTGACTGCATGGCAGTCATTGTGATCCATGGACACTTGCAAGGGAACTGCGAACGATGGAGAGCCCGTGGAGCTGAAAGGGGGCGTGTCGACGGAAAGCGCATACTGGAATGAAGCACCCTGGAAGCCGAGGAAGTGGGGAACGCATTCACACTTCTTCGAGCCGAAGACAAGGTAAAGAGTCGCATAGGAGGATGTATGGAGATCATAGGGCGATTGAATCTGAACGAAGACTCTGGTACCTTCGGATCCTCTTTGGGGGGAATAAGAGACAACTTCCGGGATCTGGCGGTTCTCGGCGGCGAGCATTGGTGAACGACCCTCTTCGTAGGAACTCGCATACTCTCCGTTCGCCATGTAAGGCACACAGTCCGATATCTGGCTTGCGTGATCGGGCATGGGAGAAGGAACCAGCGATGTGGCCGTCACATAGGGTGTCTGGCCATAGCCTTGGTAAGGAATACCATCATGCAAAGATCGAGCAGAGTCGTAGTCTATTCAGGTAAAGTTGAGCGTCAGCGTCTCACAGAGTTCAAACGGAGTGCGTTTTCCCTAGGGACCCCTGGCCCAGCCATGCTGTGCACGAGGAAGGGGGAGGGGGGAGGGGGTGTATCAGTGCTTACCGATCAACGCCGCGTGCGGGGGCTTCTGGAAAGTAGACATAGACAAGATGGGCTCAGACTTGGCCAGAAGGCCGTCTGAAAAAGCACCGAGAAACTGTGACTCTTCAGGATCCGAAAAATCCAACGACTCGTCTAGAAGTAACGGTGTTTGTAACTCGGAATTGAACTGTAAAACGCCCCCGGGTCAGTTCAGTGTTCGGCGGGTGAGAAGGTGGGTGTGACTGCAGGAAAAACAAGGCTGGGGCACTCGGCGAGACAGTGGATGAATCAGATATTCTGATCCAGTCGAAAAGCAAAATGGAATGGGAAGGGACCAAAAGGCAACTATTAGGCAGCGAGCAGGAAGACCCGGACTCACCAAAACACCGTGCGTCTTCGAGTAAGCCAGTTTGAAGGTGTTGCAGAAACTGCAACGAAGCACAACAGCTTTAAAAAAGCGAATGACAGCGAATTTATCCTGGAAAACGATAGGATGTCGGAAAGTTACTAGCGAGCTCTCCGAGACAAAACGAATGACGACACGAAGTGGCTGTCAGCCCGGACGAGGAAGATGCCACGAAATGCTTCGAATCAGCGATCAGGATCCAACGCCTCAGGGTGAAACCACGAAAGGTTGGCTGCAGGATAGAGACCAGAGGTGAGCCACACTGTCGATGAATGCTTCTGACAACCTATAGGAAACCAGCTTCCATCTGAAGGCGCTGTTTTAACCTCACGCGGCGGATAGGTTGGATGGCAGATATCCGTAACAGGCACTGGATAAGAGCGAGCGAGAAGAGCCGGTCGAAGTGAGAAGAAGACCTTTACGCTTTTCTGGCGTTCCTGGAAGCGAAATTGTCTCAAGTTTTCCTCAGGATGATGAGGACTAGGTCGGGGCACGAACTATTCAACTAGTGAGTAAGAACCCTCCCGAAAGGCGAGGAACCGGCTCGCTGCATAGACCAGCAAGACTTACCAGGTGAGATGAGAAGACAAGAGATGCGTCTCTGAGGTCTTTTGAAATCTAATATGCAAAAAAGGTCACGGTCCCTAAGCGACTAAACGAGGTAGTCTACACCTTGACGGGGGCGGGTTAACAACAAACATCCGGAAGTTTAGTGACGGAAACCATACAAGGGGAGGTGACAAGCGCACGGAACCCATCGTGGACCCTAATTTTCCTTGGGATCTTGTGCGGCAAAGGCACGACCTTGGAGAAGCAAGGAGTACAGAGGGAAGGGGACACGAAGGAGAGTGATGCAAGGCACCAACAGAGTCTGTGGCAAAGGGCGAGGGAGGGGGGGTTGGCACCAACCTTAACAGACCAATGACTTCAGCACAGGGAGAGGCTTCGTTAGTAAACGCAGCCTATTTGAGATATTTCCCTGCTAGTTCGTAATAAGGTGGTGTCCTCAGCCGAGACAAAGATCCACGATGGTTTGAGTCCAGGTCCGACCTCGTGTGAAGGACTACAGAGAGACAAGGTTGGCAAGATGGCTAGCTGACGATCCACTCTCGTTTTCTGTTCGGGGGAGGGTAAAATTGAGACAGATGAGCGAATCCGGACACTGCAAATAAAGGTGATTTTGCTGAAACGAGGAGGGTTGTTGGACGTGACAAAAGACGGTGGTTCGATGATCGTCCTTGGGGGTACCTTCCGCTCAACAAACGGAGATCGCTCTATAGATCCGGCGTATAAGGGACCAGGCAAACGAACAGCTGGGTAGGAGACCACACGACACGGAAAGAAGATGGCGTCCAGTCAATCAGCGGCTCTCCCGTGGATTTTCGGTTGCTTCGGAAATATTAAAGACACTATTGTCGAAAATAAAATAAGAAAAAGATCCTCCCCCTTCTGGTCGGATGGACACGGAGCCAAGCTTCGAGGCAATTAAACAGAGAATATAGCGACGGGTGTCGAACAATCAGCGAGCGCGTAAAGTCCGTGAGGATTGAATAATAGGATATTCAATAAGTCCGATCAGTTCCCAATTTGGCTTGCCAATAAATGCTTCTCTCCTTCGTTAATTTTTTTTTTTTTTCTCAATTCGGTCCTTCTCTTAATTCTTTTCCTTCTTCGTTGATCAACACAAACGTAGCGAACGTAATGATACTTCCGATACCAAACAAAGCGAGTGTAAGGCGAACGTGGGACGAGCGAGAGGAAGTGTAAATAAGAAAAAAGAGAAATACAAGGGATACCTTCACTGTGCCATCACAGGAAAAGTGAAAGGGGAAAAGGTGGGGAGGGGAGGAGGAGGAGGAGGGGGGGGAGAAGAAGAGAAGTAGTAGGAGGCGGAGGAGCAGTAGTAGTGGAGGGAATAAAAAAAGAACAAGAGTGACCGTCAAGTACGAGATGACGAGAGATATATTACTTTTCCCTTCCAAAGCAATCCGCTTTGAGCCGAGGATGCGGTGGTAAGAAACGAAAGAGCACTGGGCGACAATAGCCTTAGTGTGGCGGGGATGCGCTGGTGGGAGGATGGGAAGGGAAAATAGTTAGATAAGTAGTAAGTAGTAGGGATCAGGTTTGCAGGACCGGGGGTATTGTTTGGAAAACAATTCACTTTGATCCCTCGAGGTTAATGGATCCCGGAATGATATAAATAAATTGACGATTGATAATAATAATAAGGATGGATAAGGATAATAATAATAATAATCTTTCTCTTGAAGGAACTCGGTCACCGAGGAAGATCAAACGGCGTCTTTTCCTCTTTCTCGCGTGAGTGTGTGTTGTTATAATTATACCTGAGGTTGTTTGGGGAATCATAACACCCTGAAATCTGAAGACAGACCAAAATGGCTGGTTGGCCTAAATGGATCTTTTTTTTTTCTCCATCGTAAAAGTCCCTGGGCTGGTGGTGGTCCTCCACATCTCTACCGCTAGACTACCAGTCCCATGGAGACCTTAGTACCGTCCCATAACCCTCTGAGATGGTTTTCTTTTACGAACCTTCTCCGATCCTCCTTTGACCAGGAACCACTCAGCATCGGATCGGGTCACGGGGAAAGCTTCAAGGAAGGAAGGATGGGAAGGGCGTAAGAAGACAATCCCCGCTCTTCAAGGGTAGGAAAATTAAAAATGGAAAAATTCTAAAATTCTCTTCTTTTGAGGGAGACCCTTCACTAGTATATTCCCTTTTTTTTTATTTTTCTCGTCTTTATTTTGTAATTTTTCTTTTTTTTTTTCAATATTATTTTTTTTTACTCTCTCCTATCCTCTCTCTTTGCTAGGAAAAGCGGCCCTTCACTTAGAGGGGAAATCCTAAGTGGAGAGAGTAGGGAAGTGCTTAGTCCAGATAGGTTTAGTTAGCTTCAGGGCTAAAAAGTCATGAAGCCCAAGAAACGTTATGATTATTTTTATTCTCGGCATAGGTGATTCTTATTTGGTGAGAGGAATCCCACCATTGGGTATTGGGTGAATAATCATCCAACTTTCCCCCCAAATAAATCCAGGGAAAAGGCGCTAATCTGGCTAGCAAGGGTGTTAGCAAAGAATAGCAGCAGGCACCGTTCAAGCGGTCCATGCCGCCTTGACCGGTGGATCCACCCCCAAGGGAAAAATGATCAGGGCTGCAGAAGCCAGTGGAAGGAGGAGGAGGAGAGAGAGAGAGAGAGGAGGAGGGGGGGTGGGAAAAGGCAAAAAAGAGAACTGGTTTCTGGTTACGGTTATTTTTACCTCCGTAGTAACTTCGGTTCTACTGGAGATACCTCCGGCCCTATGGGATTCAGATTGGTAACAGATGTTCTCCATCTTCTCTACAAAGTATGACCTGCGGCGACTGTACCATGCTTTTCCAGTCATTGTCCATTCTTTCTGAGATCCTCGTTGGTGGGGGATGGGGGCGATGTTCACTTTTTTCCGTTCTTTCCTTGGCCTTTCGGGAGAGGCCCTGATACACTGGTTGATACGGGACCTAAGAATAATACTGGATCCCCCCGAGCAGCCACCCAGCCTACCATCATAACTTGTTCCGCAGAAAGTTTGGACTAAACAACCTCGTACATCTGGCAGGATGAGCTGCCCTGTCACTGACCTCTGCATCTAGTAAAAGGGTCAATTTAGATGGTGGTTAGTTCTGTGCTAACTCAGTAAGTAACATATTGTACCAGCAGTAGCAAACTTTAACCGTCACGGTCATGTCCTCGTTGTTCTTGCCGTTTTCTGCGTTGTTTCCATATTGCTTTGCCCCGTCTCATGCATCACTCGACGTCTCGTTCTCATGACTACTCTCACTACTACTAGTACTGTTTAGTAGTCCCTCCTATGACATGGTTCTTGATGTCTAGTTTCTCTAGGCCTACCATAGATAATTGTTGCGGTTTGAGACTTAGGCCAACCGGATCACCTTCTCGAAAGAGTAGATAACCGGAATCAAAGGATACTACTACTAGAGAGCAACTCCCACTGAGAGTCCTTCCAATCAAAGTTGGAAATAACCGACCTAGAAGAAGGACCCTTCGCGATCCGCGGAGGCCAGCGGTAGAGATAATAGTAGTACCGAATTCTCTACGGTCCAAGCTGTCTACCGAGGTAAGCAAATCAATTGAGTAAAGAGTGAAAATGATTCGAGGGGAGGAAGCAAAGAGGAATCGGAGCGATCGTGAGTTCGTGACATATTATTAGCTCTCACAAGGTCCCCCACCCCTGCCCCCTTTCCCAAACAGGAAGTAATGTTGAGCGCTTCGCTGCCAACTCAAGGAACCTTTGCCCGATTTGGAATTTTCTTAATTTGGAGCCCTCAGGCAGCAGTGACCCGCCGAACGAAGACCGTTTTAGTTTATTGGCTGCCCCCTCCATCAATATCCCGTTTGGGAATGCTCCGTTCTGGGTCTGGAGATAAAGCCTGATTCAGCCTCGCAGTTCCAGTGATCGGGTCCAAGTTCTGACCGATGTTCCGAAAATTACTGTGTACTAGTCTATCTTCCGTATGTACCTCCGTACTGGGTTGAGTATCAAAGTTATGTCCTAATGTCCTAAGTTCCTAACTAACTTCACAAGACATACTACGACTATCTCGTATCTACTATCTATCTCTCTTATGCGAGTTAGACCTGCTTAGCAAACTTGGTGCTCAATCTTGCTCTTCATCGGTGGCCCCGGGAACAAGCCTTCCTCCCTTCTACTTTCCCCGCCCACGGCTTGGCGTCTATCCTAGACTTCCGGCTGTTCAGTACTTTGTAGTGAAACTAAGTAGCCAGTACTTGGTAGACTCAGTATGTTCATAGTGATCTCGTTGGTTAATTTCACACGCCGCCATCATCTCATGACACCAAGGCTCAAACATCACAGACTCTCTCGCATGGTTCGCCAAGGTTTTCTGGAAAAGTTTATTGCTGATTCGTCTACGGAGTGCCGTGGTGTGTCTTTCCCACATGTTTGATCAGTCGGGGAAGAAAGAGCAGGAGTCATAAGAAATGGGGTCAGGCCAACTGCGAGCCCGCCCGAGCGTGCAGGAAACACTTCCAGAGCCAGTCAGAGTCAACGATTCCGTTGTTCCGTGCCTTCCTCCCATCATCACTCCACATTGTGGCAGCGCAGCGGCTGACCTTTTGGGATCAACTATGCTTAGTTTGGTCTACCGAGATCATCCACTTTCAACGGCCTTTGTGTGTCCATGGATTCCCAGCCTTCTATCTTTTGTTCTCGTTGATAAGCAAGGCGGACAATTTGCCTTTCCAAAGATTATTTGGCCACTCGGTTGAAGCGGTTAGCGATCAAGCAAGGTGTGAGTTAAATGTACAGCAAGGTACATGCACAGCAGATAGCACTCTCTTTGCACTCTTGTCGACAGCCAGTGGGATCGTGGAATCCTCGAACACGGCCGTGCAGCCAACACCACCATGATCACACACTACAAAGTAGCTATCTAGCGGCCGATCAACCTGAGGGAAGCGGTACTTTGAGATGCTAAACATAGCAGGCCTTGCATTGGCTTCCAGTGGAAGTCATGCAAGGGCCGGACATGGCCGTTTCATTGGTGCCAGAAGAGGGCGGTGTGGAGCCCCTCCCCTCCACTGCCACTCGATTTCACTTTCCTTTTGGTTTAGCGCATAAGAGAAAAGAGAAGAAGGAAGTAAAAAAAGGTTCCGCTTCTTCCTCCTAAATCCTCCGTCTAAAATAATGTCGGCACTTGATTCGCCCACAATTAAGTCCGGTGAGTGGCACGATGGGAAGCACCGAAAGGCTATTCCCCTGAGAGGAGGTGGTGGTGGTAAGGTAGCAGCATGGTAGTACTACTTACCTTTGCTACCATCTCCACTCGCAGCAGAGCGACCCTGCATTGTCACCACACTGTGAGCCGTCAGTGGACGCTTCTCGCGGCTGAGCTGCTGAGACCTGGCCAACCGCCATGAGCTGATCATCCCGGCCGTCATCGTGGCCTTGGGCGTTCAGCTGGAAACTGCCCATCCTGGTTGCTTGCCCTTTCTCAAGAACAGGGATGGAACTATTGATGTTTAATCAAACCCCGTAGCAACCCCCTCCAACCACGGACCAATGCTTAGGTACAGCTTATTGCTTAGGATCTAATCGTCGTAAGGCCGGCCAGTGTGATCATGCTGACGGTCCCGGACCAAAGATGAGGTCATGGCGGTGTTCCACGGTGGTCAGGTCATCAACGCTACTCAGATCGACGGGAGTCAAGAAGAAACAAGCCCGGGCAAGCTGCGCCCTAGTTTCCCATGAGGTCATGCTGTCCAAAAAAGCCGAGCGTCGTCGATCTTACTCTGTTAAGGACGGCACATCGTGGCTCAGTCTCCCTCGGTCCTGTTGCGGAGGTTCTCCGTACTCCGCGTTTGGTAAGAAATAGTCTTCAAACCTAGATGATACTGCTTCAATAGTCTTCAAGGGCTTCGGAACGACTACCAGAACCGATTGACTCCGGAAGATACTGTCAATTGTGTCATTCCGAATTCCGAGTCATGGGCATTGGACCCTGCGCTACTTGCTCAACTACGGGTGCTATCTAAATGTACCGCATAGTAGTGGTCGTTGTAGGTATGTATATACTACTAATAGCCTAGCATTGTCCGTCACAAACATACTGTCGGTCAGCCATAATTCGGCATAGTTTATATCGTACGATGTGACGACAGCACCTCCAACGCAGGAGTCGCTTCAATCTCAAGAAATTAACCGAAGGCGCCAAATAAAGTTCGTCGTAAAGATCGACCCAAAGGCAAAAATTTGGCGGATCATCGTTCGGAGCACGTTGAGAAGCACGCCCCGTCGCCGTCTTACAGCAACTAGTGTATCCGTACCTACCTTAGTCACCTTGCAATTGGGGGAGAGAAAGATTCTGAGCAGGCATTGAGACTAATTACTGGCTCCTATCCAGATATGCCAAAAGGAAGCTGTGGGCCTCGACAAAGATAGCACGATTAGCCCCATGGAGATAATTCGTTCCCCTAAGCTACATCCAGGGATGATCAGCAGTCCTTGTGCACGATAGTGCATGGCTTGTCTCCTTTTGGGATGGGCGACCGAAGTAGTTTCCTTGAGCTCATGTTCGAGAAGAAAGAGGAAAAGTGGTCTGTAGGACCATGGTTCCATTGCCACGAGGGATGGTTTGTCCCCTCAACTTGACATGCGTTTGCATGGGGTCGAGGTGAGGCAGACAATACTACTACCCCTGTGAATGTCAAACAAGGACATGAGTGCAAACTACTACTCCTACTAATTTTGTCATGGTCTATTTGAAAAATATATATCCCAAACACCGGCATATGAGCTATCTATTACTACAAACCTTCTTCAATCAACCCGACGCCAATTCAATTTACAGTGTCTTGCATGTTGACCCCCCGAATCTACTCCAGCATTTCTACGAAGCGCTCCGAATGGGTACTTTGTACTTTGTACCAACTGCCTTACACGTCGGAGGGAGGCCCGGCATTCCTTGAATGGTTTTCCTACAGGCCCAAAAAGGACACTAGGACAGAGGTCGGCCAATGCTCGGGGAAACCCGACCGCCCGACCGAGTGACCGACCAAAGTTTCAACAAGCGGACGGACCACAACCTCAAGGGACAAAACAAATTGGCTACTGCCTAGGAAGGATGGCAGAGTTTCTGCCCTTCATCGTTCAAACTTCAGGCTAACCCAGTCGATCAAGGCATGGAAAATCCCGCAGTCCATCATGGCTCTTAGTCCACTGACCATGCCAACCCGGGCTGCGCGCTAGCCGTCCTTTAGTCTGCATGGAATTCGGCCGGTGTAGTGAGTTGTGCCGTTGATGGGCAGCAGGAACCGACGGGTAGACTAGATATTTCATGTGTGCTAAGACAAAGGATTCTCTCTTGTGTGCGAGGAGTATGATCGTCACCTCTTTGCATCCGAGATTCGTTTCAAGATTGTGAAGAATGTGGAAAGCCCCGGGCTGGGCAACGCCTATCTACACCGGCGGCGTCCTCCGCCTAAGGATTATCATTAACAATCATTATTCAGTCACGGTTCATTATTGATCCCTGAACTCCGGAAATCATTCAATTGGCGAATCCACCACCACCGGAACATCACCGGGGTCGACCGGAGAAATCCTACGAAGCTCCACTTTCCCCCATCGACTCACGCCTAGTGCGAGCCAGTCAATCCTAGCGGCTCCGAACCTCAACCCAAGGAACCAACCAGCGGCCGGTCAACAAGGAGGTGAATCTTCCGGAAGCATGATGGAAGTGGAACGGTTAGCAGCGACGGACCCATGGGTCCCAGCGCGTGGAAATCTGCTCTCTACCGAGGAAGCGTGTTTGTCGTACCTAACATCGTATTTCGGATCCGGAACGTCGTCCCTCTGTGGGATGGGATAAATTTTTAGACCAGCTAGTATATACGGTTCTGCGGTGATCATTGATCATACGATGGCGCCGTAATGATGCTCGTTGTCTCGAGCAAAGAAAGGAAGGTGGTATCGACCATTGTGATCAAGTTAAGTTGCATCTGTCACAATTTAGCAGCACCCCAGTCCCCAAGCAGCCGAAGCACAAGAACCGCAATTAAGCATTCAGGGTCTTTTAATTGCGGTGGGCAGGTAACCCCGGCTCGGCGTGTCAGCTAAAGTGATGAATAGCTGGAAGGCGTCCAATTCCCGGCCGGCTCTTGGCATCCACCGGGCACCACGACAAATGGCAGTCTACGCTTTCTCAGAGCAGTCAAATTAAACGTGCTCTAGCTGATTCTAGTCGCGCCTTAGTTGTCCCTGATATATGTTATGCTGCCAATCTAACGGCCAGCATGCCGTCATTGGTACTTCTCGAGTGGATGATGCTCCATCCATAGCACACCACTGTCATCACAGGATCTCAAGACCCCAGTACGGAGCCCCGAAGGAACACACACACACACACACACGACCTGCCACCCTCTCACGAGGCAACAAGCAAAGACGCATGGAGTTTAAATTTTCATCTGCAAGAGACAGCCTTGGATTGGATCGTCCTTGCATCCTCCCGTCTAGTCTAAACCTTGGTTTCCTGTGTGTCGATAATCAATCTACCCGGAGAATCATGACTTGACGTAGACCGGTCCAGGTACACCAGTCGAGAGTTTACAACCCTTACTCGGACATGGCTATCATCCATCCACCCATCGCCCCTTGATACAGATAATCAAAAAAGAAAGAAAAATAAAAAAACCTCACATTGATGCTAGGGTTATCCCACAAACCCTGATATCGGAAATTAAAATGCGCCAGTAAGTACTTCATTGAATGCTGGCATACCCACCAGAACCACCCGGATCATTTCTTTCATCCGACTTCATTTCAAGCTGCACGGGATACGCCATATGGGAGGTTAGGAGTAGCAGACAGGAAGAAAGGTAGCACAGAACGAGGGACGTCAAAATTTGCATGCAATAACAGGTCTTAGACTATTCGCGCCGTGCATACACAGCAAGTAAGTAGAGTACGGCCCACCCAGAGCGGACGGACAGATAGACGGTAAGAAGGTTTTTTTTTGATCGGCACGTTTTGGTTGGGGACGAGCGGGATGTTGATCATGGTGGCTGGTTATGGTTATCTACACAAAGACAAACACAGCAAACTGAATACCAGTACGGAGTACAACGTAGTAACTAGATATATCTAATTTTAATATTGCTTTGATTTATTTTACTTTATATTTTCCCACTTGTTTCACCTGTCTTATTTCTTTATCCGCAAGTTTACGAAGTAGTGCACTAGCTAAGCAATTAGACAAGTAAATCAGGCAGGGAGGAGACCATTTCCCTTAGTAGTCAAGTCTCTACCCATCTAGATAGATACTTACTAGTCAGTTCACTTGTCACCTTACTTGACTTTCCAGCTAGTCAATCAGTTAGCAAGGATTGGCTTGGCCTGTTTGTCTGTTTCTCCTCAGCCAGCCGCACTTTTATCCTCCCTCCATGATCCATCCAAATCCAGCCAAGATAGTCATTAAGCTAGTTATAGTATAGTAGCGCGGTAGTTGTCTCATCCAAAATAAAAAAGAAAAAATAAAAATTAGAACTAACTAAAAACCAAGCAAATATTACCCAAGAGTTTAAGACTTAGATAGTGAGGAGTAAAAGAAATGCCGACCCAAGCCCCCACAACAAACACAACTAAACAAAACCGCCCGCCCGTCAATCCATTTCCCATCCAGGCGCAACCCGAACCCTAATTGCAAACCGTAGTATGTCTCACCTGTAGTCAGGTCAGGCTCACTCTAGTTGGCTGGTTGGGTTGGGTGTCGGTCTGCGTTAGTTTTTTTTTTATTTTGCCCGGTTATTTTTATTTCTCACTTAGTTGGTTTTTTGGGTCGACTTTTTTTCTCACTTCAATTCTTGTTTAGTTTTTTGGGGCTTCTTTCTGGATGCTAAATTAAGCATGTGCTATTATAGTCAGTCGGTACCGAAGTAACTAACTACTAAGTGAGTAGACCGCTTTTACGGGTTTTGGCGGGGTTTGGAGAGTTACTATGTATGAGTATTCTGCTAATAGCTGCTGCTGCTGGATATCCAGTGTAAGATTTTACTATTGCCAGACAAATATTCCCCAGTTAGTAACTTCAATTGGGTATAATTATGGACAATAACATCACATCATATCACATGTGATTTTACTATCCAATTGCCCATCCCAGCTTCAAACCAATAAGCCACACATCTAATCATCCTATTATCTCCCATCTATACCATCTATTAATCAAGCTATCTACTATGCTCGTTATTCTTCACGACCTATGCATAAACTCCCTAACCAAGCAAGTACAGCCGTTGCCCCATTGTGGCTGTGCACTGCCCTACCAAGCTAACTTCTCCCACATCAACCAGTAAAGACCACCACCAACCATCTATCACAAAAGTAAATCAGGGGCTCGTTAAAAAGCGGGAGAGATGTGAAACAAGTCAACCTAAAAGTAGCCTGAATAGACCAGACACCAGGACTGGATTTGAACTTTACTCAACTAGGTCAATACCATAGTTATGTGTGGTATGTAGAGAAGAGACCCAAAGCCTCGGGACGAGCAGTGTGGAACTAACTCCATCGTAGATGGACAGAGCGTCAACGGCGTTCTCCGTACATACCCAGTAATAATCTCGTGGGAATTGTATAGATGGTCTATAAGGGGTGAGTGATGTGCATGGTTTGCGAGTAAGTAGGGTGGATAGTATGGATATACCGTAGTAAGTTGCTATGTCTGATACGGAGTATACTATACCAACCAGACCAAACCATGGAAGATACTAAACTTAGTCGACTATACCATTCAGCAACTATGGTATGTGCTGAGTTAAAAGAAAAGTGGCGTATGCCTCAGCTTGAAACATCTGCGCCACTTCACTCACCCCGTTATCGGAAGTTACTATTATGTTATGGGATGGGGATGGGGGGTTTCCGTGCCCGTTATTCCATCGTGCACCGAGACGGGATTCTTACTCCTAGAGGAAGGGCCGACAGGGCTGCTTTGTTAGTAGCGTTGCAAAGTCTCCATCCATGTCTGGGGCTGTTTGTCTGTGTCACACGAGGCTCAGTCGGGACGGATGCGGTGCACGGGCGAGATAGTAGCCATTTAAGTGGTTGGACTTTAGTTGACAGGTTTGGGTATTAAGGTGGTTAGTAAGGTTTGGATAGGTAAATTTCACTTCCTCGTGGGATTGTACTATGTTTGAGGGTAAATCCTGGGTGGCGTTTAGCTCTACTAGTAGTACTATATCCATGTTCATTGTGGGTTCAAAATATATATCATGCTCTGTCGGGGAAATGCAAATGCCGCTTAGTAAACTCTCAGACCATGAATGAAATCAGTATATTTCGCGCTGGGCTATTTTCTGGTACATATTTCTACCTACTTGATTCTAGATCCCTATCACATAGTCTGGTGGTGGTGCTGGTGGCGGCTATTCTGCCCCATAGTGCAGCCTCTATCGTATATAGCCTTTATTATCAGGCTGTATGGTGAGACATGTGATCCATTTGGGAGATTGCTCATTTTCTTTCATCACGAACTTACCATCGAGCTGAACATCTCAACAGAAGTGGGATACATCCCACATACCCAGTTTCGTAAAGCACGCTGCAGCTCATCCATACTCCAGCGTATAACCCCCCTAAGACCAGAGGATCACCAATCCCCATAGACCCATAACTCCCTGTTAGCAGACTAGTACTTAGGTATGTGCACTACAGGCAGTAGGCACGCCCTACCCTGAAACTATGCCATAGAGTCAATCATGTTTATCCCCCTATTCACCACCCCACTATCAACTGAACAAATTTCTGGAATTTACTCGGAACCAGAGTGACGACGACTACACCTACAGCACCACCTCTAAGGATTAGCCACCAATCGTGTGCCTCTCCATTTCCGACCTGGCACCATCACTAGCGAGTGATGATCACCGAAGGATGGATGGGCATGGGGATGGGGAGATCCAAACGAGGCCCCGATCCCGTGTCCAATCGACACGATCATCCTGTAGGAAAGGAGGGCGGGGAGGGGGAAGAGAAAATCTTGAGAAAAATCCTAGTCCAGCATCAATGCGCTAGTTCGCACCTGACTGACTCGGTCAGCTGATCCCGGTCATCTTTGCTTTGCTAGTTTTTGCTGGGCTTCTAGTCATCCCCGTCTCAGCCCATCCTTCGACGTCAGTCAGTCAGTCAGTGATTTGTGCTCACGCACAAGCGTATAGCCCACAGTCATTCTATCTACTACATGGTCGCCGTTATGAATGGAGGGGAGGAGGGGTCATGCATTGTGACGCAGGTGTGTGTCTTATCAGCCTAATGGTGAGATAGCTGGGGGTCATCCTTAACCCTGTTTCTTCGGATCCGGGAGCTAACAACGTGCAATGGTGGCGCTTTCGCAGTGATATACGGTCTAGTGGACATCGTCCTGGAATTTCCGACGTCGCGCTGCATGGTCGAAGCCTATCCTGCATCCGCACGGCGTACGCAATCCAACCAACCCATAGCCTATGCAGGTCCTCTCCGTGGTCGAAAATACCAGAAACATGGCCAGTCAGAGTCGCAGCCGGGCCTTTCATGCTGGGACGGCGGATTTACTGGCTTTGAGAACTAGCCAGGGAATGATTGGATTGTCTATGGGTCGTTGCCAGAAATAGGATCGGTAGCAACACCAGATGGTCATCCCGGTTTTGGTAGCATGTCTCACTCAACCCGCTACGGCTGCTGCAAGCCTGTGGGACTTGACCGAGCTTTCATTCAGTGCTATCTACTCGGAGATGACTACCAGAAAGCAAGACAGTCCCTGAAATGAGAAATCTCTTTCGTTCGCCCACGGGAACAATATCAGAATATTTCGGCGCTCTCCTCCACAGACCGACTATAGCATAGGGGAAACAGCGCCCCCCAAAATCGATACATGCCCCAATGATTCTCCTTTTCTGAAACTAGTCTTCGAGCAAATGTGCATTCCGTCCGAAAAGCATTCGTACTGCGCAGGTGGACAATCTGCTGACATCAGAGCCCGGTCTGCTAAATCCCGACGGGATTGACCACTCACCTCGTCGTATCTCTGTAGAGCCGAGTAGTACTGCACCGAGAGCCCAAAATTCTTTCTCAGTATCGGCTTTCTGATCCTCCTCGCAGCCGTGGCCAATATGCGTGACTGTCTCTCGCGGCTCAAATGGATGTGATCACCGACAGCAACCCCTCCTGGTAACTTCCAATTCTGTCGCTCGTAGACAACTTCAACCAACCGGGTCAGCGTGTCAGCCTGCCATGTGGTCAGAAGCTCATTATGAAACGCCTTAACGTGGCGCTGAAGCTTCGACAAGTCGGACTTGAGTCGGAATACATTGGAGCGTAGCGTGCTCATTTTATAGTCCAGGTTCTGATTGCTGGCCTTCAACGACTCAAGAGCCGAGGTGTATCTCTGGGTAGACGTTAGCACTGGTGCCTGCAGACACGTTCTATACCCCTGCTGCCTGTTATGTGAACGTTCTAGAGCTGACACACCGAAAGTGACGACAGTTTTGCCCTTCCTAGTATACCATTCTCTTTCGAAGACGACAACTGAATCTGCGACCGATAAAAGGACATCCCAGGTCCGTATAGGGTGAGAATGTCGACATCCATATCGCCGAGTCAAGTTTGATGCGCTATCTAAACAAACAATGAGGGTTCAACTATCCTTGAATATAAAACGATAAACGTGCAGGTGGCCTAAAGGCTAGGGAGGGATTGTGATGAATTTCAGAGGCTTCTGGAGTCAACTCAGAGGGCTGCGACATGGAGGCAAACGGATCACCTGGCGCAGGGAAGGTGCGACTACACGCTCAGGCTGCTATGGCAAGTACTGCTTTATCGTGTCCATTTATTCCTTCGGAACACACACACACCAGCATGGAAGAAAGCTAACATCGGCATTGATATCTACATCACAGCTTGCTTCCAGAGGTCTTGCCGAACTCAATAACTAGCTTCCCGAATTGCTTCCCGTCCTTCATATCCTGGAAAATCTCATCGATCGCAGGAATGTCCTCCAGATCAGTCTGCAGAATCCGCGAGATGACTGGATGGATCTTGTGCGTCTTGATGAACTCGACCATCTCCCTGAACTCCCTGCGCGAGCCCATCGTACAGCCCCGGACATCAATATTCTTCAGAACAGCCTTCATGGAGAACGGCATCTGCGGTGCGACCGTCATGCCATACACACAAAGAGCACCACCAGGCTATTCCAGTTAGATCATCCACACTACTCATATAGCAAAAGAGGGGAAAGGTTTGCTCACCTTAAGCAACTTGACGGCCTTATCCACCGAATCTCCTCCAGCCCCGTCAATAATCGCATCGAAAGCCACTTTCCCTGTAGGCAATAACTCCAACAATTTCTGCTCCCACTTCTCCTGCTTGTAATTCACACCTCCCTTAGCCCCCAGCTCAATTGCTTTCCGGATTTTCTCCTCACTCGAGCTCGTCACATAGACATCCACGCCCCTAGCTACGGCAAGCTTGAGCGCCATCAATGCCACGCCACCTCCAATCCCGGTCACCAGGACTGCAGCTCCCTTGCTCGAGTTCCTCTCTCCAGCCTTGACCACCAGCGCTCTCCACGCCGTCAAGCCAGTGAGCGGAAATGACGCTGCCTCTGCATCCGATAAATGGTCGGGTACCTCCTCCAGCTCCCCCTCATCGACGGCGAGATACTCCTGCATCGTCCCCTTGTTGTACGACTTTGTCCCGCCCAGGATTCTGTACCCTTTAGGATCCTCCGGTCCATCCGGAGAATCCTTCCACCCTACTCCTGGGTTGATGACCACCCGCTTCCCGATCCAGCGTTGCGGATCGCGCACTCCTTCACCGGCGGCTATCACGGTTCCCGTACCGTCGGCACCCATGGGAACGTCGAAGGTGACGCCCGGATAGAGGTGTTGGCGAAGGAACACATCGCGATGGTTTAGTGATGTAGCTGTGAGCTTTACTAGAACCTCGCTGCCTTGAGGTACAGGCTGGGGAAGGGTCTTCACAGCGAGGGGGTAGTAGACTTGACCCGGCTTGCCGGGTTTACCATCAATGGGGTTGAGGAAGATGGCTTTTGACATGCTGGGGTAGTTTCTTGAGTTATGTACTAAATAATATGTGTATTAGATACGAAGACGGAGATCATAAGGTGAGTAAAGGTAAATTGAGATGAAGAAAAGATGATGGAGCATGCATGCACTTATCGGTTCGGTTCGGCGTGCGGGGATGAGGTGAGCTGTCTGGGCCGTTATCGGTTGCCGAGGATGTGCGTCGCAGGAGACAAAGTTGCTTGCGGTGAAGATCTACGCAGCATATGATATTGACCAGATTTATCTTTAGGATAGGAACACTTAGGTTTGAGTTAGACTTTGTTGGTTCTTACATAGTACAACTCAATTGTTACTTGTAATTGACGTTCCAAAACGATATTCAACAGTAATATTACTATATATTTGAGCCTCGGCTGAGGGGACTGAAATACTACCAGCATTGAACAATGATTATAATATATATCTACTTGGCACCAGAACACAAGTAGTAAACAACAACGACCATTGCAAAAAGTATCAATCTTCACAAGCATTGGCAATAGATTTCATCACAATTTGCATCTACCACGCAATTCAACTACCTTCAAACCAACTGGAGATTTGCTACCCCTACGTGATGCCATGATCCCACTCTACCATACACAAGCCTAGCTTTGCCGGCAATGTCATATGCAATTACTGATTACAAGTTAGATTGAGAATGCATCCAAATGCATTAAATCTACTATAAATAGGCCATAGTACTTTCCGTGACTATAATATGAGGTGTGTATATTGCTGTGTTGCCTCCGAGGAGGGTGAAGAGGGGGCAGAGCCATTGATCATTATGCATGGGGTTCCGGGAGTAAAGGAAATATACCTATCGCTAAAAGGCCATTCAAGTAGGATAGACATACTCGCTATGAAAGACGAGAAGGTATTGCAGATGGTCTGCTGCGAGCTGCTGTTGCCCTGTTAGATCCGTGTTCAGACTGAGCGGAGACGATGGTATAGAGACTGTGTCTGAACTTATATTTTCAGATTTGTTAGATTTGTGAGGTGTAGTCCTTCTAGAATTATGGAGAGATAGATGAGCGCGAGATGCTTGTCTGTGTATCTTGGCAAGGGGGGCCATTGTGGGATATATTGGATGCTGTCTTGTCAAGGGTAGTCGATGGCAGCTAGGTCATGCATAGATGCATGGATCTGAAGCTCCTTCTTTGGCCTTGACATAAAAGCATTGCTAATGAATAGCCAATTATACTATAACTTGTTAGGTCAATAACGGAACGGTGCGGCTCTGTGCCCGCCGATCTTATTGGGTTTTCTGTTTGCAACCGTGTGATTCTGACCGCAGGGCTGCTACTTTTTGGATATTATATCCTTGCTCTGTGAGAGCGCCGTGAATGGCAGTTGACAGATCAGCATTCTGTCTGGAGGAATGGTAAACTGCGGGAGATTGTTCGCGTTCGTCTGGAATGCGCAACGGCTCTACCCCTACAGAGTATGTGTTCGCGCGACTGCAGTTCACCTGACTTCTGCATTGATCACCCTCAATGTTAATAATGAAGGCATCCTTGATCGAGCATCAAGCAGTCAATAGATTGTGAGGGCAATGGATGGCACGGGAATAGAACCAAACCACAGGCATCATCCATGTAGATCCCGGATGGAAGGTGGTACGAGAAGCCGATAGCCGCGCAAACATGTCTGTATCCAGCACTGCAAGCAAATCAGATTGTTGCAGATCGAGGATTGTATTGTTGTGTTGATGTTGAGTAAAGGTGCGATGGGATACATGCCTCAGGCTGCGGCGTGGAGGTTGGGGTACGGTACGGATGGAAGTCACTGGTAAGTCACTGGCAACCTACTTTAGTATGTGGGTGTACCTGGCATGTACGTCGGCTGTATGGTATGTATGGAGCTGGTATGGAAGGTTGTTCTTCAGAGTGACGACACTGACTTTCTCCCACACAATTCATTGATGGTGCCTTACATTTTGCAGAGTTGAATTACCTGTCTTTCTGCAATGGTATACGAAGGAAAGAGAAGGCAGGGGAGTGGAAGCTGGCTAACCACACTAAATAGCCCGACCTCCAAAAAATTTTGACATTCTAAAAATACCCGGGGGGGAGAGCTTCCTCTCCATCCTAATGAAATTTCTCTGACGTTGAGTTGAAGCGACACGTCGAGAGAAACCAAAGCGTTTGCGGCCAAACCACCAGTGACGGTCTCGGCGTGGCAGTAGCCCGTCGTAGGTTTGTCTGGGGATGTTATGGCCACGCACCGTCCCGGAAATGCACCATCAAACTCCAGGTTTGGGGGAATCTTGGGATAACTGGAGATAGTCGGGTCAAATCTGACCTGTCACCTGTAGACTGAAATTAATTGCGATGGGCAGCTTACACCACATGTAAGGCTGAGGATGAGCTATCTATCTATACCCGACCTCTCTGGAAGCTTTCCTGCGAAAAAAAGAGAACAGAAACCAGGCCTCAATTTGTGCGGCAGTTTCACAACCAGTGTGGGCTGAGGTAATAATAATAATAAACCAATTGCGGTCGCACAAGGCGATCTGGCGGTACGACCAAAAAGCGCGAAAACGAAGTCTAGTACGGAAAAAAAAAACAACGAAAACAGTCACTTCGTGACGTTCGTCACGACCCGTACGGTGGTAATTCCACGGCCACCAGCTAATTCGCCGCAAGCCTCTTCATTTTTCTTGACCTGCCAGGAACTCTCGATCCTTTCGATCTTCTGATCTCGACTCTGGATCGTCTAGCGTTCTTGTTTTCGACCTCGACTCTCAATCCGCCCCCGGCTTCTTTCCAGATCTCTATCTCAAAGACACAAAGGTGCGTTCTACTGTTCCCCCACGAATAGTCTGCTTTCCTCCACCTTGCTGTCTGCCTCTCTCCCCCTCGCTGATCCGTTCTCCTCACCAGCTCTACGGACTGCTGCTGTCTCCAACCCACCCTTCCACATCTCCCCCAGAAAAATGTTCGCATCGCTCCTTTTAGTTTTGCAATCCACGAACTTACCTTAACTTTTTCTAGATTCTCGTCTCCCCCGAACTTCTTCTTCTTTCGTAACTGGACCGGCATTCTTATCGTCCGTCGCCCAGCTACCGACCTTCATAATGCCCACGCCACTTCCGTCTAGTTTTGCCTCGGCCGCCGCTGGCAACACCCACGACTCCTCGAACAGGAGAGGGGATGGTTCTGCCGGTGGAGAATGGTACGCAATGCTCTTTTGACTGGTTCTATGCGGTACACTCGCTGCTTTGGCCGCCGTCCTCTTAGTCTTTTCCAGCGGTTTTGCGTGGTGGAGTTGAACTGACAACTCATCCTCAACGGGGGACATGCAGGTCTCGAACTCGCATGAATGGAGCAACACAGACTTTCCGCCGTCCGTCCGTTGCGACAAACCCTTCTCATAACCGGGATGCCAGCCAACCCACGTCGGCTACCACTCCCACCGTGGGCACCTACACTCCTCCGCATATGTCCTCGACCTACCAGTCCAGTGCACTCCGCAACGGAGCAGCTACCGACACGCGTTATTCAAAGGATCAGCTACTTAGTCTCTACAAAACCCAACGAGAGTCGGGCGTACTGGGGAAGAACGTTGCAGATTACTTCGTAGCTGACTGGAATCCCCACGAGACGTCACCCGTCAACGGCGCCTGGGGGAAACGGGAAGACTCGAAGGATAACCCCTCCGGCCCGGAAGTGTGCTGGGATCATGGGGGCCAGGTCGAGCCGTTGGGCCTGGTAGATATGACGGATGATGAGAAAGAGGTTTGTCTCTTTGCTTACCCCGCCTTGCTTGTTGCTTGAGCGTGTTTCTGCTTTAAAACTTTTTTTCTTTCTTGGGAGCCGTGCTGAAGGAGCGCAGTTATTTACTCTCTCCGTCAACTCCCCCCTTAAGCCGCCACCGACGAACGCTTCGAAAGAGAACGCTGGCACCGGTACTGGTGGACGCAAGCTGTCTATCTCCCAAGGCCATATGAATAATTTCAACACCGCATCTCCCAGTGCTGGGCGCCCCGGCCCCAGACGCCGGGAGACGGGCGACTCGACCGGAAATCCCATGTCTCCCACCACCAGCGGCTCTCGCTTTTTCCGTGACGAACCGAACACCTCCACCCCGCCCCCATCCCTTTTGCGCCGCAAGACCGATTTCCGAGATACCTCTTCCGCCGCCCGATGGGAGGAGAAAGAGAAAGAAAACGTGGCTCGAGACGCAAACGCCGAAACTGCCTCTCCTTTTGGTTCTTTGAAGCGGAGTTCGACCAATCCTTTGAGCGCGGCACCGGGCGCCTCGAATTCTCCTTGGGGATCTGCGTCGCAAAGTGCCAACTTTTCACCCATGGGAGCGTTTGGTGCGTTTTCTCTGGGCACGGCTACTACCCCGACAACCGAAAAGAAGGCTGGGTTTGGTAGTCTCCGCGGAGAGAGCCGTTTGAAGGGGCTGTTTTCGAAGGATAGCTCTGAGGACATTTCGGCCTCTATCAAGGAGAAGTCGTCCCTTAGTAGCTTGGAACGCCTGGGCGAGACGGAGGGCGAGAAGCGCGCTCAGTCGCCTTGGGGAGAGCCCGTGAAGACGCGTACTGGCCGCAGCGAGACCAACCCCTTCTCGGAGGAGCCTCGCAGTGGAAGTGCCGCGCTTGGCGGGTCTCAGGAAATCAGCACTCCCTCTCAGCCTGCGGACCAGCTTGGGTTCTCGGCTTTCGGCATGACCTCTAGCATCCCTGGATTCAGGGAATTGATGCAGAGCCATGAGAACTCTCGTAACCCTACTCCGAGTCTGTTGCAGGGACATGAACCCACCAGCCCGACCAACACGAACCCATATCAGAGCCCTCACGGCGACCGGGGTGGTGGCGACGATGACGTGGAGACTGATGGCTCCGACATTCAGAACTCCACGCATCCCGGCATCACTGGTCTTCGTGATACCTCGTCCGCGTTTGGTTCTATCCGACGGGTAGGATCGGGCATCGACTTGCCTTCCATCGATCGCAGCCAGACGTCTAGTGCCGCCGGCAACCGCAGCTTCTCCAGCCTGGGTGGGCTGGGAGGTCTGTCGTCGCTGGGTGGTGCGGCCGGATGGCCTACCAGCGCTGCTGTGGGTACTCCTACGCGGGAACGCTCGGCCTTTGCTGGTGGATTTGGTGATCCCATCTTCGGCACGATGGGTGATTTGCAGTCCCCAAGCCTGTCGACCCTGGGCGGCAGCGGTTTGTTCAGCCCCCATGCCGGCATTTCTGGCACGGGCAGTCTGGGCCGCTCCAGCAAGTTGGGTTCTCTGTTCCCAGCCGCGATGCAGGAGCAAATGCAAGGTGAGCAGGGACGGTCGGATCTGGCCGCTCTGGACGAGGCCGCTCGCCAACCTGGTAAGAACACCGACGTGCCTGAGTATGAGCAGGTCCTAATGCACCAATTAGACGCCCAACAGGATAAGCCGGGCCAGACGAGCCAACCCGCAACTACCTCGGCTTCGCAAACCCCCGTGTCTGCGGTGGGCTCCATTCCTACGTCGATGGCACCCGATGCACCCCCAACCAGCCAGACGCCTGGCCAAGCTGGAGCTCCTGGCTCTGTGCCTCCTGCCCAACAGCGGACCATGGTGATGCCGGATCGGATGCGTTGGATCTACCGCGACCCGCAAGGCAACATCCAGGGTCCCTGGACTGGACTGGAGATGCACGACTGGTTCAAGGCAGGTTTCTTTAGTCCTGACCTGCAGATCAAGAAGCTCGAGGACCCCGAATTTGAACCCCTTGCCCAGCTGGTGCGACGCATCGGCAACTCGCGCGAACCCTTCCTGGTGCCTCAGATCGGCATTCCCCACGGTCCCGACCCCAGCCCTGGTCCCTGGACTGGGAACACTACCGGCACGGCTCAGCCTCCGTTCCCCGGCAGCTTCCCCAGCTTTGGTACCACCTTGACCGCTGAACAGCAGAATGCGTTGGAACGTCGGAAGCAGGAGGAGCAGTATTTGATGGCACGTCAGAAGGAACACCTCGCTCAGCAGCAAGCGCTGATGAAGCAAATGCAGTTCCAGGGTGTCCCCCACACGATGCACCCGCACCAGCTGCAGCATCACTCCAGTGCCCACAGCCTCCACAGCCAACCCAGTTTTGGCAGCATCGCCTCGCCAGTCGGCTTCCAGCCCTCTCCCATCCAAGCCCCGATGCAGCAACCCCAGTCTGTTGCGGGCTTCTTCGATGCCGCAGGACCGGTGAGAGCAAACCCACTGCCCAACATTGGTCCCCAGATGCTCGGCACTGAACTGGGCACTCCCCAGGATCAGCTTCCCGCCCTCCTCGACCGCTTGAACGTGAACCGTCCAGACCCTTTCGCATTCGGCACCCCCGGCTCTTTTGCGGCTCGCCAGCCTGACAGTCTGTTTCATCAGCAGCAGGTTGCCAGCATGCTCCAGGACCGTGCTCGTTTGCAACAGGAACAGGAACAGTTTGACAGCGCCCAGGGTGACAACCTCTTCGACCAGCAGGCACGGGAAGAGCGCCTCCGCCAATTCCACGCTCTGAGAGCTCAGGAGGGTGAGTTGGGCCTTCGGACTGCCGAGGGTCTGCCCACGCACCCGGCCACAGTTCCCCAGCCGACTGAGCCCGAGGAAGTCGAGCCGGTGGCTGAGGCTGAGGAGCCTGCCCTGACGTTGTCGCAGCAGGTGCAAAAGGCCGCGTCTGCTCAGCGCAAGCAGCAGGAACAGTTGGAGCAACAAGAACAGCTTGAGCGCGAGCAGCAGGAGCAGCAAACTTCCGATGTCGGTGAGGCCGCCTGGACTGCCAAGGGAGACAGTGCCATGCCCCAGCCCTTCCCTCCGCCGCCCTCTGCCTCGCCGCTCCCGGCCCCGGCTGCTCAGCGCAACCGTCAGAATGTTGCTGAGTCTCTGGCTGCCAACTCGCGTTCCCAGACCCAGACTCCCGTGGAGGCGCCGACCACTTCGATCGCGCCTTGGGCAAAGGAAGCCAATGAGGTGCCCAAGGGTCCTTCTCTGAAGGAGATCCAGGAGGCCGAGGCCCGCAGCGCTGCGCAAAAGGAGGAGTTGGCGGCTGCTGCACGCCGTGCCCAGCTGCTGGCCGAGCAGGAGCGTCTCAGCCAAGTCCAGGCCCAGGCACCTGGCCTCCCGTCGACGGCTAACTGGGCCAGCGCTGGTTCTCCCGCTACACCTACATCTTCAGGCTCAGTTTGGAACAACAAGGGTCAGGCTGCTCCCTCTGGCGCCGCTAAGAAGACTCTTGCACAGATTCAGAAGGAAGAGGAGGCCCGTAAGCAGCGTCTGGCCGCTGCCGCCGCTGCTGCTCAGAGTGCGGCTGCCAGCCCCCCGACCGCACCATCCTCAACTGGAAAGCGGTATGCGGATCTTGCCAGCAAGGCTCCAGCGGCGTCTCCGGTCCCTGCCAGCGCCAGCACGTCGGGTGCCTGGACGACTGTCGGAGCGGGCGGCAAGCCCAAGCCCCCGCCGGCTGCTCCCGCCGGGCCTCGCTCGACCAGCAGCGCAACTCCGGTGGCAGTTTCTCCCGTGAAGCCGAAACCGGCGACTGTCGCGACTCCCCGGGCGGTTGCTGTCGCTACGCCTCCGGCCAACCCTAACCGCGCCGTGGAGGAGTTCACCAAGTGGGCCAAGCTTGCTTTGGGCAAGGGGCTGAACAGCAACATCAATGGTAAGTACCAGCAAATGGTAGAGGCTTGAATACAGCTAATGCATAGTAGTGGACGACTTTGTACAGCAGCTGCTTTTCCTGCCTGCGGAGGCGGAGATCATCTCGGACTCGGTGTACGCCAACTCGCAGACGCTGGACGGCCGGCGATTCGCGGAGGAGTTCATCCGCCGGCGTAAGCTTGCCGACAAGGGCATCGTGGACCCCGTGGCGGCGAGTGCTTTTGCAGAGAAGAACGCGGGCGGATGGAGTGAAGTGGCCAAGAAGGGATCTTCGAACGCGCATCGCGAGGAGGACAACGGAAACGCAGCGTTCAAGGTGGTTGCGCCCCGCAAGAAGGGCAAGCGGTAGATGCATTGCAGTGGGACGATTGCAGTAGATGATGATTGCAGATGAACGATGATGGCAGACGACTAAGATGTTTGGATTTAGAAGCGGAGCCACACATTGGCTATTGTGTATGTCAAATCGTTGATGTAACATAACAGCGTTTCTGGCAGAGTCAGATTTAACTTATCTTGTGTATCTTATCGGAGCTCCTACGGACGTAAGATTAAAACGGGATATAGTTCTAATTATAACCAGTAACTTTGTACTCCGTAGTTATTGTGACTCATGAGGGGTAACAACATACTTCCTCCTCTTTAAATAGTGCTTATCTTCACTTGTTCCTCGATCTCTCCCTTTCTCTCTCAATTTACATCCATCTACTTCATACATCCAACTCATCAACAACACCACCATCATGGCCACCCCAATTCCCTACGGCGCTCCCATGCGCCAACACTTCTGCCTCGACCCCAACTGGAAGAACCTCAACCACGGCAAGCACCCCCCATGTCCCATTCCCATCCCCTCAAACCCTCAAGCCTCCTATTAATGATACCCCAGGATCCTTCGGCACCTACCCCCTCCGGGTCCAAACCGCCCTCCGCGCCCACCAAAGCACCGCAGAATCGCACCCGGACCTCTTCATCCGGCGCCTCTGCCCCTCCCAAACCCAACACTCCCTCAAGTTACTCTCCACCCTCCTGCACGCGCCAGAATCCTCTCTCGCGTTCGTCAAAAACGCCACCACGGGCGTTAACACCGTCCTGCACAACATCCCCTTCACATCCAACGATGTGATCATCTACTTCGACACCATCTACGGAGCAATCGAGTACGGGCTTCTTGCCCTGCAGGAACGGACCGGCGTGAAACTCAGGAAGGTGGAGTATACGCTTCCGATATCTCATGGGGAGATAGTGAAGCGGTTTAGGGATGTAGTGGAGAAGGTGAGGGAAGAGGAAGGGGGAGGGTTGAACGTTAAGGCAGCGGTGTTTGATATGGTGGTTAGTGTTCCTGCGATCCGGTTCCCGTTTGAGGCGTTGGTGAGGGAATGTAAGGAGTTGGGGGTGTTGAGTGTGGTTGATGGTGCGCATGGGGTGGGTATGTTGGATTTGGATTTGGAAGCCTTGGGGGTCGATTTTTTGACGAGTAATTTGCATAAGTATGCCCCCCTTCCCCCCCTTTTTCCTTCTTTTGTCTCATCCCATTTGGATGTATATGTGTGTGTATGTGTGTGTGTGGTATTGATATGTGGTGTTGTTGCAGGTGGCTCTACATCCCCCGCGGCTGCGCCGTGCTCTACGTCGCGCCTCAACATCAACATCTCATGCGCACGACGTCGCCCACTTCCTGGGGATATATATCCTCCGCTGCGGCGGAGGAAGCGCGTACAAATGGCATTACTGCGTCTGCGTTCAGGAATCTGTTTCAGTCGACGGCTACGAATGACGACACGCCGTATTTGTGTGTGCCTGAGGCGTTGAAGTTCCGGGAGGAGGTGTGTGGTGGGGAGAAGGCGATTTATGAGTACTTGGAGAGGTTGGCGAATGAGGCGGCGGATGTGGTGGCGGGGGTGCTGGGGACGGAGGTGTTGAGGGATGAGGAGGGGTTGTTGACCAGGTGTGCGATGACGAATGTGAGGTTGCCGTTGAAGGTTGGTGATGGTGGTGATGGTGATGGGCGTACGGTGGTGGAGAAGGAGGCGGTGGGGAAGGTGACGGAGTGGTTTCGTAATGTTCTCATGGATGACTATAAGACGTTTGTGCCGGTGTTTGAGTACAAGGGGTGGTTGTGGATGAGGTTGTCGGCACAGGTGTATTTGGATAAGAGTGATTTTGAGTGGTTGGGAGGTGTGTTGAAGGAGTGTTGTGAGAGGGTGGGGAGGGAGGTTCTTCAGAAGTAGTAGATAGGAGAACATGGATTGGTCGAGCTAAGCTTGAGAAAGTATGTTGTGACTGCTAAGAATGGAATTTATAGATATACAACTACGGACATGTATATGCAGCATCTGGCAAGCAATAACCACAGGAAATAAGTTGCTGGCTCACTCGGTATGAACATGACTAAACCCAAATACACGGCTCCATAGCTTATGTCTCGATCAGATCGGCCGTCTCGCCCTGGGTCTGCTCCGAAACCGTGTTGTCCCGGGTGTCCTTGTTGGCAATCTTGCGCGCCGACCGCGCATAGAACTCGTCCAACACCCGCTTGGGGATACGGTTCAGCAGATCCTTGGGGTAGATGCGCAGCAGGTTCCAGGCAATGTCCAGCGACTCGAAGATGGTGCGCGACTCGTACGGCGACTGGCTGATGAAAGTGCGTTCGAACTTGTCGAGGAACTCCAGGGACAGCTTGTCCTCGGAAGACAGAGCCTCCTCACCAACGACAGCTTTCATGGCGGCTGTTTCAAGTTAGTATGTGCGAATGCTGATACGAGAAGGGGACTGACCGGCATCACGTCCAATGGCGTACTTGGCGTACAGCTGGTTGGACACTTCAGAGTGATCCTTACGAGTACGTCCAGTACCAATGGCAGACTTCATCAGACGAGACAGGGAAGGAAGCACGTTAATCGGGGGGTAGACACCCTTGTTGTGCAGCTGACGGTCGATGAAGATCTGTCCCTCCGTAATGTAACCCGTCAGATCGGGAATGGGGTGGGTGATATCTATATTCGTTAGCTGACGGACCAACCCTCTAAGGAAGAGTCATACCATCGTTGGGCATGGTCAGAATGGGAATCTGAGTGATGGATCCGTTACGGCCCTCCACACGTCCGGCACGCTCGTAGATGGTCGACAAGTCAGTGTACATGTAACCGGGGTAACCACGACGACCTGGCACTTCTTCACGAGCGGCAGAGACCTCACGAAGAGCATCACAGTAGGCGGACAGATCAGTCATGATGACCAGGACGTGCTTCTCCAGCTGGTAGGCGTAGTACTCTGCGGTAGTCAAGGCAAGACGGGGGGTAATGATACGTTCGATCCTAAGGAAAATCAGTCACTCCCTTCATCCAAATGGCGTAGCACATACGTAGGGTCGTTGGCCAAGTTCAGGAACAGTGTGACACGCTCCATACTGCCGTTCTCCTCAAAGTCGCGAGTGAAGAAACGGGCCGTTTCCATGTTCACACCCATGGCAGCGAAGACGATGGAGAAGTTCTCTTCGTGTCCGTCGTGGACGTCCTTGGTAGGACGCTTCACCAGACCAGCCTGACGACAAATCTGGGCGGCAATTTCGTTGTGAGGGAGACCGGCAGCGGAGAAGATGGGGATCTTCTGTCCACGAGCAATGGAGTTCATGGTATCGATGGCAGAGATACCGGTGGAGATCATCTCCTCAGGGTACACCTTCGATCTTATCAGCACAGCCGCATCCAGCGCAGTCACCATATACATACACGAGAGTAGGGGTTGATAGGTTGACCGTTGATATCCAGGTAATCCTCCGCCAGGACCTTGGGGCCCTTGTCGATTGCGCGACCGGAACCGTCGAAGACACGACCCAGCATGTCTTCGGATACACCCAGCTTCAAGCTGTGACCGGTGAACTCAACTTTCGTCTGGCAAGGTCAGCTGCCGTATCCATAAGTGACCAGAGTTCCTGAATAAATACCTTCTTGACATCGATACCCGAAGTTCCTTCGAAGACCTAGTATGATCGCATCCAATGTTAACGCTCCGTACGATAAGCCATATCACTAGCACACCATAGCTGCTATGTAACTCGTACCTGAACGATCGCCCTGTTTCCTGTACCAGAGATATTATATTAGCTATCTGAACGAAGCCGCTGTCGCATGCGATGCTGGGACATACCGCGAGCTTCGAGGACCTGACCCGACCGCTCGGTTCCATCGGGGAGAGTGAGGGACACGATTTCATTGTAACGGGGGAATTTGACCTAAAAGGGATCCTTGTAAGCTGGCTATTTGTATGTAGGCTGGTCCGTTGTTGGGAACAGCGGCGCAACAATGCAGGTTGACGTACGTTATCGAGGAAGACCAGTGGGCCGTTGATACCTCCGATGGTGTTGTAACGGATGCGAGGCTTGACGCTGGTCATCCGGGGATCAACAAAGTCGGCCATGGTGAAAGATGCAGCAGCAGCAGAAGCAGCAAGCGCGCACAGAAAGAGACCGAGGAGACGGGGGGAGGAGGTTGAGGGGAGAGACAGGGCAGCAGCAGCAGCAGCTCCTTAGTCGAGGCCGAGTGTCGACGTATGCTTTGGCTGCTCCACGCCGCCGCACGGGCGGTGACCAGCCACGTGATGCTACACTAGAGTAGTCCACCTCCTGCCGAGCTAGTTACAAAGCATTATCAACTCTTTGAGGCAGAGGGGCTTATGCTACTTTATAGACCTATAGTTAGTTATGTTGATTTTATACCTCGGATAAACTGTGGATATGTTATCCCTGCTATATTGATGATATTATACTCCTCTAACTGCACATGAGATGGACACTGAGCTGGGGACAGCTAAAAGAGCCATTACATATCAGTATTTTGGCTTGCTCCCTATTTCCTTACATATACTAAGGACTGAAAATGTGATCCCAGTTGAGTGCCTTTGAATGTTGAATCGTCAATGACTACACGCACAGCTGTTGATATGCTGCATCTTACCCCATACTTGGATCTCCAGCGTCCACCGTCTTTCCTGTTCCTTATCTTATCGCATGTACTGCCGTTGAATTACATAATCACTTACACCGGCCATTCTGACGTGGCACAAATACGGTATCAGTATGTATCCTTCGGAGATACCATTATCGTAAGATTGATAGTTAAAATACATAATGTCTGGATATTGTTTAGAAGGCTTTTTAACGTATGATCTACATTAATGGTAACAGGGTCTATACTAAATGTAAGTTTAGGAACAATTCCGAGCCTATTCCGAGCCAGTCTTTCAAACCGCCGGAAGAACAGTTGATCCCGGGCTAAGTTTGACAGTTTTGATTGAATTATCGCCCGGCGATTTGACTCACCAGGAACAGTTTATACCCCGCCTCCGAGATTCAACCCCTCTCCTTTACATTCTTTCCAATCCTCACAAAAACATGACCAACTTGACCGCGGACGAGAGGCTTGCCCTCATCACCGAGAACCTCCAGGAGGTTCTCAACAAGGACATCATTGAGACCATCCTGGCCGAGGGACGGAGCCCAAAGATCTACTGGGGTACTTAACTTTTTTTTTCTCCCCTCCCGCACGAGATCCCTCTCATTAAAGCGGTACAACTAACATGATGATCTTCACAATGCGACAGGTACTAGCCCGACTGGAAAGCCTCACTGCGGATACCTGGGTACGAATTTCCCCCCCGAAAACAAACGTGGCCAATTATCACAACTTACTAACGGTAATGCTCGATAGTGCCCGCCGTAAAGATCGCCCAGTTCCTCGCCGCCGGCGCGGAGATGACCATTCTGATCGCCGATCTGCACGCCAACCTGGATTCCCTGAAGTCGACCTTCGAGATCGTCGAGCACCGCGCGAAATACTATGAATACACCATTACCGCTCTGCTGCAGGCCGTCGGTGTCTCGACCGAAAAACTGCGCTTCGTTCGCGGCAGCTCTTACCAGAAGAACGCTGACTACGTGATGGACGTCTACCGACTGTCCTCCGTGGTTTCGGAGCACGATGCGAAGCGCGCCGGTGCTGAGATTGTCAAGCAGTCCAACAATGGTCCCCTGAGTGGTCTCTTGTACCCCCTCCTGCAGGTCCTCGACGAGCAGTACCTGGATGTGGACGCTCAGTTCGGTGGTCTTGACCAGCGCAAGCTGTTCGCCGCGTCGACCGAGTGGCACCCCAAGCTTGGCTACAAGAAGGTAAGCATTACCATAGTCATTGCTAAGACACGAACTCAGACTTACACACTTCTCAGCGCGCGCATCTCTGCAACGCCATGGTCCCCGGTCTCTCCGGTGGCAAGATGAGCTCCAGTGAAGAAGGTAACATCCCACACACCCTCTTCCCTATACCCTAACGGACTCGACTAACAACCACCAGACAGCAAGATCGACCTCCTCGAATCTGTCGACAGCATCAAGAAGAAGATCCGCAAAGCGCAGGCCGCTCCCAAGGAGATCGACAACAACGGTATCCTCGCCTTCGTCCAGTACGTCCTGTTGCCGGTGTCCGCCCTGAAGACTGGCAAGCCGGAGTTCCGCGTCCCCCGTGATCGCGACGGCCTGGAGCCTCTGGTGTACACCGACATCGAGAAGATGCACGAAGACTACAAGAACGACATTGTACGATAGCCCCCTCCCCATCGCCCATAGTATCCACATTAATACTAATATACTCTGTACAGCTCTCCCCCCAAATCCTCAAGCCCGCCGTCGCCGACGCCATCGTCGAGCTTACCGCCCCCATCCGCGCCGCCTTCGACGCCAACCCCGACTGGCAGGAAGTCACGCTGAAGGCTTACCCGCCTCCGGCCCCGAAGCAGAAGAAGGAGAAGAAGCAGAAGGACAAGGGGTCTCGTCACCCTGGTGCCGCTAAGGAGGAGACTCCCAAGGAGGAGACCCCTAAGCCGGCTGAGCAATAGACGTTAAACTGCATCGTTTTAAGACTACCTAAATAGTTATGGACTTTTTTCTCTTTGCGTGTCTGATATACAATTGCATGTGAGCAGCAGCGAATTAGCTAGAATTGGACCTTTGAATTTTATTTCATGCGGGTTTTTGGTTGCTATCTTGCTATTTAGGTGGCGTTATCTTACTACGCTTCTGTAAGTATTGGCAGGGATATAGAACGCATTGTTTTGGTAATTACTTTACTGTGTTGGTGTCATTACCTGCACTGTATACTCGTAAACGGTATGACGAAACCAACCCAACAAGGTATGAAGGTAGAAAAGCATCTTCCATAGTGATAATAGACCCATCCTCATTAATTGATTTAAGCTAATGTCATCGTAATCCGGCCGTCATGAGAAATATAAAATCAAATCGTAATCATACATGTTAAGAAGTGAATAAGGAAGACCACCACCACACTGGAACAATCACATTTCGACCGTAAGATATGCGCCGACCGCCATGATATGACCAGACCTGTTAAGGTATCGTAGAAAAGCTAAGAATATGAAAGGGAAAAAGAAAAAAAGGGGGGGAGAAGGCTAGCATTCTAGTCCACCTTGGCAAGAGCCAGTTTCTTTGGAGTGGTTAAGTTGTTGGAGAGGCGGACGTTGGTCTTCTTGTTCTTGGTCTGCTTCTTGAGCTTCTTGCGCGCAACCATTACCGGAACGGATGAGTGCATGACCAGGTAGTTGGAGAAGGAACCGAGGAGGACGCTGTGATAGCGGATATGTCAGTCAGTGTCTGTTTGTGTTAGTGGTTGGAAACCTGCTTACCCCTTGAGTGCGCTGCGGCCTCTGGCTCCAACGATGACCAGGGTGGGGTCGAGTCCATCGATCTGACGCCAGTTAGTAATTTGAAGCATGAAGAGCGAGGAGGACACGTACAGCTTCAGTGATCATGTGTTTAGGGCTCTTGCAGTGGATCGCCTCAACAGCTACGCGGACCTGAAGCAACGTCTTGCGCAGGAGCCGAACACAGGTCTGGGAGATAACCTCGACTGCGTGGACACGTTCCGACTCGGCCTTGGACATGCCGCGAGCATCCACCGAGCTCGGCTTGCTGTCCGTTCCGAGACGGCCGAACAATGCGCGAGGAAGGTGTGAGTTTGAATCGTTCTGCGCCTTTTCAGCAGTCTCTGCAGTCTGTGACCCAACGACCGCCGCCGCATCCTGGATAGCTTTGGCACCGTCACCAATCTGCACTGAAGCAGGCGTGGCGGTCTCATCGTGCATAGCGCAGACAGCAAACATGGTGTCACCGTCCCGGAGAATAGTCCCTATGGTCCACTCCAACGCATACACAGATTCCTCGCTCAGATCAGTGGCGACAAGGTATTTGCGTTGCCGTCGCCGGCTGCTCTCAGTCTCTTCCTGTGCCTCAGCGTAGTCTCCGCGGATGATCGTCCGGATGGACCGATGCTGGACTGTGCTGTCAATGGATGACATCTGGATCCCCAGCTTCTGGGCTCGCTTGATATCGGACAGCTCTGCTTCATCTTCGGAGCCAAACGGAGTATTGGTGGCCGAGGCCGAGTCAAAGCTGGTCCGTGGATGAACATCAGGCTTCTTTAGCACAGGTCCTTGTTTGGCCGAGTGTATCAATTCCGGCTTCTCCGCTGTATCAGGATTTGGTCCTGTGCATCATTATCAGTAACCGTGATGAGAATAGAAAAAGGGGAACTATACGTACGGAACTCCGGTGCAGTCTTAGTAGTGGTAAGCGGCTTTGGTCCAGTATTAACGGGAACTTCCTGCTCGACGGCCTTCTTCCGGCCACGCTTGACGTCTGAATCGTCCTCATGAACGGCCTCTTCGTCGCTGGAGGTGGATTCGTCGGCATCCTCGTCACTGGTCTCAATTGGATTGTTTTCGCTGTCAAAACGATCCTTCTCCAGTCGCTCCTCGCCTGGGGCCGACGATTTGGCTTCAGGCTCGGGAGACCCGGGGCGGGAATCCGAATTAGTAGGCTCCTTAGCCGCAGGTGCCATTGGGATGATCTCCTTTTTAGTGGTCACCACAGGTTGTTTCACCGGATCGGCGACCGGTCCACGCGTATTGGGATTCAGCCAGCGGCGCTTAGGAGAGCTAGAGCGAGCCGGTCTGAGAGAAGAAACACGAGAGTCGAGAGAAGTTCCGCGCGTAGCATTGCTGCGGCTAGAGTCCCTGCCTCTGACGAAACTTGGGAACCCGACTTTCAGATCCAGCCCTGACATCACCGCGGCCATGCTCGGCAGCCGATTGGATGGTTTCTCCTGAGGTTGAGCAGTCCGTCTGGCCGCATTGCGGTTGGCGACGCTGGGCGGCATATTTGTCGACAAATCCCAGCGGATGCTGGGTCCAGACTTATGTTCTGGCTTATTTTGCTGCTGGTTGCTGGTGCCGTTGCTGTTGTTGTCTCCCGGCTTTTCTTTGTCGCCTGACGCCAAGTCGGTGGATCGGGTGGGGGAGACTGACCCGTCGGATTGGACGGACCCTTTTCTCTGTGCAGAGGGCAAAGGGGGAGCGACAGAGGACGTAGTGGCGCGAGGAGTTGGGGGAGCAGTTGTCGCGGTGGCGGGCGATGGATTGAAGGTTGTTGCAGTTGTGGTAGCAGTAGCGGATGAGCGGCGAGGGGGTGAAGGCAGTGGAGAATGAGAGGAGGAATAGAGTGAATGATGTCGGACAGAAGAAGGGGGAGTCACGCCCACGCCAATACCGGCGATGGAGCCATGCCGCGGGGGTAAGAAGCCGGGACTCGGTGAGATGTCCAGCAAGCTCCGGCGCCGAGACGTCGAGGGCGCCTCGCCCATCTCTTCCAGCAACTCCCGTCGCTCTTCTTCCAGGGCCGTCTCCAGCGACATGTGGGCGGGCTTTCTGCTATAGTACGGCATGGTGGGCTGTGGGGTACGGCCTCGCGCTTGTCTTTGGCTTTGCGCGGGCGGGTTCCAAACACTAACCGTGGACTAAATTATTAATGTGAATCAGTTGACGAACCTAGCTAGCTTGCCAGCTTCTGCCAGTGCCCGGCTTTGGAATGTGGAGAGAGAGGGGGGAAATAGTCATAAGCTGATTCCGAGCTTTGTCCCCAGGTCCTGTCCCGCTTTTAGAACCAGGTTTCTCTTTCTTTCATTAAGGTTGCTGTTCCCTGCAAGAGAGCTTCTTACGTTGTGTGCTTTCTAGTTATAGTTATAGACCCAGCTGAGGTTCAAGTAGAATCCTGAGGGGCACGCGACAGTGATGGAGCTGGATGGAGACCGGAACTCCACGTGCGCAACGGCTGCAACTCAACGGCGATCCTCGCTCAGTGCTTGTCTACCTCGGATGATGCCGAAGAGAGGAGAAGGGCTGGCGTCTGGCCAGCAAGCCGACGGAGATGAGAAACAGCTCGGATGTCTCCGTAGATGGTGAACAGCTGTGAAGAGAAATGAAGAAGGATAGACAGCATCACCCAGCTGTGGGGGGAGGATGAAGAAGAGGAAGAAGAAGGAGGAAGGCAAGACGACCAAGTTGGAACAAGCCAAGGCGTCCAAAGCTCGGCATGGCGGGGTATCACGAACAAGAGGCGAGCAAGCTGGCTGATCCTTATAAAGCAACGAAGCACGATCAATCACGGTGACCAGGTGGTGCAAGGTGCCACCAACCGGTGATGAGCATCCCTTGCATTGGCCCTCCCCCAGGGCTTGATGCTGGCGATCATCCTGGGGGGAGGATCGGTTGGCTGTTAGTCTCACACTTGCACTCCTGCCTGGATGCAGCTGGAATGCGAACCCATCGATTCTTCACCAATCGAGGTGGAGCTGTGTACGCGGGATGCAGTAGACCGGCTGCTTAATTATGCTCAATGTGAGGTGTTTGTTCCTTCAATCACGGCCGAAGCTGTCATGGTCACGTTCTCTCCTTTGCCCCTTCAGCACCTCCTTCTCAATTACTAGCGGTCAACAAGGTATGTCTGTTTTATTACTGCCAGCACTACTACTGTGTATTGGGCACTCAATGGTAGCAAAGTGCCAGAATTCAGAAATAAAACCCAATGTGAAAAAGAAATTGAACGAAAAACAGAAGAAAAACAAAAAAACAAAACAATGCATTCCCATGCCTGACTGCCAAATCACTCAATGTACCATGCTGCAAAGGGCTCTGTCCCTACATGACCTGAACTCCCAACCTCAAAGATAAGTAGTAGTGATAAAAAAATAACGCATAAAGAGACAATCCACCCAAGGATAACACGCCTCACCCCTTGGTCCTCTTCTGCTTCTTCTTTTTCTCCCCACGCGCAGCCATAGCCTTGAAGGCCTCCTCAGGCGGACTCGACCTCCGCTTCCTCCTCGGCTCCAGAGGATTAAGCTTACTGTCCACGTCATACTTCTCCTCCAGTTGATGGCAGAGGACGTCAAGACGGGAGAGGTTTCGCTGTTTAATCATCGCAGCCAAGTCACCCACGTCCTCGGGGTCACCCTTCTTCTTCCTGCCCCCTTGGTTCTTCCTACCCGTCTTAGACTTGTTCTCCTCGATCTCCTTGCCCAATTGTTCCGCCTCCTTCGCTTCCTTCAGTGCCCGCTTCAATCTGGCTTGACGCTTCTTGACCGGCTCCTCTGTGTATTTCTTGTACTCCTGGGCCCTTCCATCCGCAATAGCCGAGTCAATGATGGCACGGAATCGCTCATCATCATCAATGACATTACACAGCATCACTGACTCGTAGATTCTATCCATATCGCCCCGGTGAAGTTCATAGGCCTGCAGTATATCGTTGACCTCTTCCTCAGACCCCTGGTATTCCTGCTTGAGCTTGTCGATCGCATCGACGTCGATGGCGGTCGCGAACTGCTCCCGGTAGAACTCCATCCAGTCGAATCCATCATCTTCTTGCAAGGCTTCCTCTGTGCTACCGGTGCGATCGAATATCTCGCGGCGACGTTCATCGGAAAGGACGGCGTAGGCATAGGCGATCTGTTGGAATTTGGTGTTTGCTTCTTCTTTTTTGCTCGGGGGTGCCTTGTCTGGTGCTGGTGGTTAGACTGTACATTCCACCGAAGTGATAGATAGATAAGAGTATAGTAAAGTATATACGCACCAGGATGATGCTTCAGCGCCTTCTTCTTATAGGCAGCTCTGATCTGGTCTTGAGTCGCTTTGTCATCGACACCAAGGAGCTCGTACAAGTCAAGGACTCTGTGCCGGGGTATAATTATTTCATCGTTTTCATCGCGTTCAATCTCTTCCTCCGAATAGTCTTCATACCATGGGCGGGCCAGAGGGCGGTCGAGGGGTGTCATGACTGACAGCTGGCCAAGGAACCAAAAAGTATCAAGTAAATGATGATGAGAAGAAAAGGAGAAGATCGTGTGCTAAGAACTTATGTAAGAAAGTGACGCAAAGTAGGTAGAAGACTTAACACCTCGGCCGTGAATCTCTCGCGTTGCAACGCAACGTAACCAAACCAGACAAACAGCCCGAAACGCGCGGGACGCGAATCCTCTTAGCTTTCCTAAAGGAGTTATAGCCGACCAGCCATCAATCAATATCAGATAAAAGTAACTAAACTTGATATCTATGCGGTCATAACCCCTCACTCTATCACTTATTCCCCTCCCTGTCTCTCTACACAGTAACACCTACAATACCCAACACAACCACACAACCACAAAAATGGCCACCACTACCACTGACCCCAACAAGAAGGGCATCCCCAGCACCCCCCACCTCCACTACATGACCCAATGCCTCGCCCTCGCCCGCAAAGCCCCCGCCCTCCCAACCAACTTCCGCGTCGGCGCCCTCCTCCTCAGCCGCAGCACAACCGACACCGCACCCACCTACTCCTCCGACATCCTCCTCTCAACCGGCTACACAATGGAATTAGCCGGTAACACGCACGCCGAACAATGCTGTCTATCCAACTACGCCTCTGTGCACGGCGTACCCGACGAGCAAGTCCACACTGTTCTTCCCCACAATGACCCCGAGAGGAAACTTGTTATGTACGTGACCATGGAGCCCTGCGGGAAGAGACTCTCGGGCAATGCGCCGTGCGTGGAGAGAATCATCAATACGAGACAAGGTGGGGAGGGACGGGGCATTCAGAAGGTGTATTTCGGGGTGAAGGAGCCTGGGACGTTTGTGGGGGAGTCGGAGGGGGTGAGGAGGTTGGAGGAGGCCGGGGTGGAGTGGGAGGTTGTGCCGGGCTTGGAGAGAGAGATTTTGGAGGTTGCGGTTGAGGGACATGAGAAGGAGAAGAGGGAAGAGGAGGTGAGGAGCGCGTTGGAGGGGGTGAAGACGGATATTGAGCCGAGTGAGGAGGAGAGGAGGAGGCAGGAGACGCAGCCGAGGAATCCGAAAAAGAGGATGATGGAGGGGGAGATGATGATGTAGACTTTTCCTGTACATTAGGTTTGGTAATGGGGTGGGGAGGTGTTGAGTTGATGCCGCTGGCGGTATTGTCTGTGTATACATGTGTATAGTGGGTGAAAGTTTGGATGCACAGCCTACGAATTTGAAGAGAAATAAACATGGATAGCTTCCGGATTGATGTTTGAGAACTATCTGTTACAAATATTGAAATCTAATAGTGTGAATGCGCTGTGGAAGCTCGGATAGAATGGTGTATCATTGGCATGCTGGACATGCTTCTGTCATTGAATCCCTCCTCCCTCACAGCACGAGGTAGTAGATCGGTATTATTGTGTCTAATGTACCTGTCTAATCTCTCTTCAGAGGACCACCGCTTGTTCCTGGAATCGGTATCAGAGATAGGGTAGATAGCGTCGGACTGCTATCCCATATTGTCCACTCTTGCGGTGGTGCGCGGGTGCATTATGCCCTCCATGATTCTAGCCACAGCTTGAGGCAATATTTTCAACCATTCGTCAACCAATTGATCAGCCCACCTGGACTCCCTCAAGACCCTCAAGGACCTCTTCACCAACACCTCCCTTCTGCAAGACCAGCTTGAGCATCTTTGCAATCGTGCGCCGCTTGACACCGCCCCGTCGGGGTCTCCAAACGCCCGCGACCTCTTCGCCAGTAGACGGGTCCGTCATGGCCGCCTCTTCCGCAGCTGCTGTAGAACCCAGTGTCGCCACATTCTCCGAGTTCGACACACCCGGCTGCGTAAGACGGGACGGAGGGTCGACTGTGCGAATAGAAAGTAGTTTCAGACCATCCGAGTCACTATCCTGGGTGATAGAAACAGCCAGAACAGTATCCGCGACAGTGATTTCCTCCCTGTTAGGATCAAAGATGACATTATCGCCCACTGAAATAACAAGCAGCGTCACGGGAGGCCGGACCTGCTTCGTAGAGGATAGGCGAGGCCCAGACTGCGAGCGGGGGTATAGATATTCAGCGGCATTCCAATCATCATCGAAGAAGGGATCTTCTTCTCCCTTGGACTTGAGCTTAGGCAGCTTAGTCGACAAAAGAGCCAAATGAGTCGTCAAAGACAGCAACGGCAGCGGATACGACAGAGGCTGCGACAGCAGCAGCACCTGTACGAACACCATTAGCACCACTCACCCCTAACCCCCTCCACCAGGAAAGAAGCAATCACTCACATCAATATACAACCTCCAATGCCACCTCTTATTAATAACCAACCTCCCCTTCAACCCCCCAGCCATCTCATCCTCACCCTTTCCATCGCCTCCAGCGACCGACTCAACAAGCGGCTCGCGCATCATCTCCGACAAGAAAACCGGGAGGGCATCATCATCCCGAAACCCCGGGATCTCAATAGACATCTGCACCCACGAGCCATGGCCATGACTGGATGTTTTCTGGCCCTCTCCGCCTTCATTATCGGCGTAATCTTCCTGCGTTTTTTGCGATAGATTCAGTGCTTCGGCCGCAACAACGGTCTTTTCCACCTCAGCCTTCACACCCACGATGGCTTGCGTACCGTCAGCGAACCCAACGCGCGCGCTACCGTTGGTGCCCGGCAGAATGTCTGTTTCTGCGGTCAATGGGCGGAATTGCGTGGGCGAGCGGCCATCGGGGCGGATAGGGCCGTCTGGGAGAGATAGTGATGTGTAGAGGTAGGAAAGCTCTGCTGGGGAGATGAGGGGCGTTTGGGAGGCGGAGGAGGCCTGGCGTTGGGCGGCCATTTTGTGGAGTTGTTATGGCTTTTGAGGTGAGGATTGGGTTAGCTGGTCGATTGGTAGGTCGGTAGCCTGCGACTTCTTCGCTGAGGATTGCCGCAAGTCTTGCGCGGAGTGGTGGACGAGGGTCAATAGTATAGCGTAAGTAGGAGGTAAAGGTGAGACTTTGATGATGGTGCCTTCACTCGTAGGGCGCTCTAGTTAAGCCTCCCACGCCAAATTAGAACCTCTATATATATCGTTCGCGACAAATCCAGTCTCGATGGGAACTTTTGACGTAGTGCTGCATTGGGAAATTCTGCCGGTGGGCGGGAAATGGTTGTTCCGTGATTACTACCGGGAGTACGAAGTACACCAGTTGCATACCAGCAGAGCGCTTTCGAGAGCATCATAATATTACAGGTTTACTTGCTTGCTAACTCCAGGAAAATTTGAGATTCGAGTGATAAAGTATTTTGACAGACAGTGGTCTGTTCCATTAACAGTAGATATAAACAGACGGGTATCCCGTCGGGTAAGTCCTATATTACAAGATTGTTCAAGCCCAGAACCAGCCACCAGTGCTCCTTCCCAAAAAGTGGTAAAATTGTACAATAGATGAATGGAAGTTCTTTTGTTCTTGTGGAGGAAGCTTGTGGCATCGCTTCCCATCCGCGCATCGAGACAGAAAGGAATGAGGGGGGTAGAGAAAGAATGATGAGGAAGGATCAATGCCCGGGAAATATACAGAGGGGTGAAGGGAGTTTGACAAAAGGAAATGGTCGACTGCAGGGGTCAGGGCGTATGCGGGGAGCTGAGTATGCAGGTGTAATGTATATATATCGAAGGAATGGTAGCAGACATTGCGACTCGCGCGATTGGTATCAGTGCAAACAGATGAGCAATGTGCAGGTGATGTTAGGATATCAAGGAACGAAAGACATATATGCAAGTGGTATACCGAAAACAAGGTGCGAGGCCGACGGTATCTATAAAAGGGCCTTTGGGGTATGAAAACAGAACCAGACAAATGAAAGAAACCCGGGCTGAACCATGGCCTATACAAACATGGGTACAAATCAAAGCGCAGGATACATAAGAACAAAGACACAATGAAATGGGAGGAAAAAAAACAAAATGAAAAAAAGATGAATAAGCTGCCAACCCTCCGTGGATAAAAGAAACAGAGTAGACACCAAATCCCATACGCCTTTGCTCGGTTAATTCGCCGATTCCGCGCGTGACCACCACGTTTTTGTTCTTTTGATTAAATATGAACAAGATCTGAGAAAGATGATGAAGAAATGAAAAGAGTTGTGCCTTCTCCAGCACGGAGAAGCTAACGGTAAGTTGCTGAGCCTGTCAGGAACTTGGCCGGAGCTGGCTTCGCCCAGTCACCATCTTCATATGGTGGGGTTGGCCATTGGCGACTGGTGTTTGCGTCCGTCTTCTCCTCCGCAAGGGGCAGGCGTCTGCACGGCGTAGCGTCTGAGTGACCGAAGCAGACGCCATCGCACTTGGCGGACGGGGAGGGGGTAGGATAAGGACTAGGCAGGGGGCGAGAGCTGTCGTTACCCACGGCCGGGCGGCTGTAGTTCGACGAAACTTCCGATGATACTTCGGTCTGTGCCAGACGCCTAGCAGCCTTGCTCGCCGAATGCAAGACTTCATCCAACAGCTCGTCCTCTTCTTCGGGAGTCTCATAGCGGTGGATTGGGTTGTTTGACATCTGCATTGCGCGCCTAGTCCGGCTGGAGATTGGCCCTCCCGTGCCACTGGTCGACACAGGGCTTTCTCCCATTGAGCGAATCGAGCCCTGCGGCATAGATTGGCGCTTGGTGCTCTCAATAGGGGAGGTGATTTGCACCGGAACATTGCCAAGGGCGGCCGAGTCAAGCGAATACTTCACAGTCTGGAGCGCTTTGTCCAGCTCCGAGAGATCAGAATTCTGCTTGGACTCGCTAACGTTGTTGACGGAGTCCAGAGCCAGAGAGGACCGATTCGACCAAGGCATGCAGCCGGCGTTGGCCTCAACATCGTCGGTACCAGAGTTGGCCTGGTTGCGACCGGATAGTCTGCGAGCGCGCTTGCGGAGGTGCGAAAAGAAGCTCTCCTTGGGGGTCACTGCGGAATACACGTTTCCCCCGCCATTGAGCGCTCGCTCCGCTTCTTGGCGGTGGATTTCGGCGTAGTGATTACCGTGCGAGTTGACAGAAAGCTGTCTGCCAATCTTCTTGCTCGCCTTGCTGGCGTTGGCACTGTCGCCAGAATGCGCGAGAGACGAATTGGCTTGCGCTGTGACCGCATTAGAGAGAGGAGAGACTGGCCTAATCGAGGGCAGGATAGGCATTGGAGCCCCATTCGCCCAAGTGGCACGCTTACTGGCCGCCGGCTTGCTCTTCCCAACCTGAAGGTCCGAATATGCCACCGATTGCTTGGAGGAATTCTCACTCTCCACAGGTGGCACCGGGCTTTCCGACCTGCCGATCAGAGACCTCCGGAACCACGAGGACTTGTATGACAAGGTCGAAGATTCACTTGCATCACGATTGGCGGACTTGAAGCTCTTGTCCGATTGCTTCCGGCCCAGAAGGCGAGCTGTAGAAGACTTGGGCCTCAATGGGTCAATGGCATCAGCGAAGTACTCGTGGTTGAGAGCCTGTGTCGAAGTCGGTCTATTCTTAGGATCCCACATCAAACACCACGTGACAAACTGGCTAAGAGCAGCGGGCCACTGGGGCGCCTGAAGGATGCTTTCCATGGAATGGGGCGCCATCTACGTTTCATTAGTAATCGCCTCGTACCGCGGGTAGCGCAGGGTAATCTTACCTTCGGAAACGTAAATCCCAGCTTCTGGGCAAGACGCGAGCCCTCTCTCCACTCACCTCCTCCGAGCTTATTCCCCGACTTACTGTACCAGTTACCAGGGCTTCCCATAATCTCACAAACGCGCCAGACCTGGTCGACTTCGTTTCCACCGGGGAACAATGGCTTCAGGGTAGCAATCTCGACCGCCATAGCCCCGACAGCCCACATGTCCACGGGTGCTGAGTACTCTCCTGCACGCAGGAGAACTTCAGGCGCCCGATACCATCTGGTAGAGACATATGTCGTGTATGGGAGCTTGGAATGAGTCTCTCTTGCGAGACCAAAGTCGGCGATCTTCACAGTATATGTCGGGGGAGTAGAAGGAGGGGTAACGAGGTTAGAGTAACGGCTGAAAGCAGAGTCATTAGGGGCGGATGTCGAGACGAGGATGTTTTCAGGTTTGATGTCGCGATGGAAGAAGTGATGGGCATGGATATGGTCGAGACCACCCAAGATCTGGTAAAGGATGCTCTTGACATGCTTGCCATCGAACGGCTTATGATCCCGGGCTTTCATTAATTGGTAAAGGTTGCCATCCATATACTCCATGCAGATGTGTAGTTTGCGTGAGAGCGGGTCGAGGAAGATATCGAGGGCTGGGACAAGGTGGGGATGGGGTGGCAGGGATCGCAGGAAGATGACTTCACGGAGTTCGAGGCATGGGGCCAATGACTCGAAGGTCTTTTTCATCGTCTTGATGGCAACCTAGGAACAGGAATCAGCAACCCAGCGGAAAAGAGTAAAGAGGCCTTGAGATAGCATACCATCGTCCCCCTCCGTGCAACATTGGAGCCAGCAGTCCGCACACGTGCGACTGCCACGCTACCAAAGCTGCCATCACCCACTTCCTTGAGGACCTCGAACCTGTCTTCGAGGCTGGCGACTGAAGTGGGTGCAGCGCCCCGTGATAAGGAGTGGTGGTCGTAGCAGACTGTCATTGTGTCTCTCTCTCCCTTCTCTTCTCTGCCAGCAGAAAATCCAAGAGAATCTTGTGCGGCGACGAGGGGCCTAAATTAGGAGGTAAGGAATGTGTAGAGGAAGTACACGGCTCTTCCAGTTGAGTGTCGGGAATGTCGATAGATAGGATCAGGTGCGCATCATCCGCAGTCAGGCAATGTGATATCCACGGGGAGTGTTGTGGTACTTTCCCATGGGTAGGTATGGGTAAGGTGCAGGATGCGATAAGGATTAGGTGCAGAAGAGATTCGGGACAAAATTGGGACCCAGAGAAGAGGGGAAAGGGGTAGTCATGTAGTTCTCAGGGAAGAAGCGAAGGTGGAGGAGTGGGAAGATCTGGAAACCAGATGGAAGACCCAGAGGATTGGACGTGATCACTGTAGTGATAGGAGCGGATCCGGATGGGTGGACACAAGCTAAACGAAAGGATGATCGGAGGCCGCCTTGGACAGAGAGGGGAGGGGGGTTTTGGTGGTGGGAGGGAAGAGGGAAAGAGAGAAAAGGGAATAACTAGACAAGCCCCTGACGCGGTGACAGCTTTAGCCTTTACCAGCTCCAAGACGAAGAGGAGAAGTTGGGTCCGGGCCGTGGGGACTGAAGAGGCGGTCGACGACGAAGCGGGTTTGGTGAAAAAGGCGATGGTGCAGATCCGAAATAAAATAATATAAATTATAAAAATAATAATTATGCTTCCAAAGGATAAAAATGATGCAGGTGGGTTTTTTTATTGAGGGGTTAAAAAGGTTCTGAACCGGAGGGACGGCCAGTGGATGGATGACATGGACCAAAGGGTCGAATTGTTTTTTCCCTTGGGAATTGACGGCAGATGCACGACAGAGAGAATGTGATGATCATGCAGAGCTCTGTTGTTGTCGTTCTCCATTCGAGGTTGGGGGGAAACGACCAAGGGGGAGGGGGGGAGGGGGCAAGTAGGAGGAGTGGCAGAAAAGAAGGCAACAATTGAGGTGTTAATATGAGGGCCGAACGGTGACGCGAGTGGTCCAGCGAGAGAGTAGGCGACGCGAAAGAAAAGCCGGAGAAGCAAGCCTAGAGAGGCAAGATTACCTATTCAAACAGGACCTCAAGTTGAGTCTGTACTACCCAGTCACCAGTCACTTACTCTAACTACTTTTCTACTAAACCCAAGCTACCAAGCGCCTAGTAATATTAACCCTCTCTGGCCATTCGTTCCAGTCTCCGTATTAGCCCGGCCGCTAAGGTATCCGCGCGAAATCGGACTCCGTAATCGTCCTCTGGAACAAGAGTCATTCATACCGACTGAATTCGTATTATTACTTAGCTACTACTAATAATAATACCCATGAATAATGTGGTCAACGCCATACCATGCTGCGTTTAGCGGACTTTACCTCCACTTGGGTCACTGAGAGAGGAATGGTCGAGGAACGGAGACCCACCCTTTTCACCCAAGGAATCCGAAAAGGAGGTTCAGGGAGTTTCCCAACTTACCATACACGGGCGGCCCAAGGGGGAAAAGGAACCCTCGAAGGCGGCACCTGGCGGTTCTTGGTTCATGGTACATTGCCGAAAAGGTCAAGACGAAAACATGGAAATGCACAACAACACTATCCCCGCAGCTAGAATGGAGAAATCTTGGGACAACGATGGTTTAGGAACATGCTTGCGGAGTCCATACCGTAAGTAGTGATGAGGAAACACCCAGTTCTGAAGTCTACACCTCTGGGGGGGAAGAGGAGGAGAAAGGAATAGATCCGTCGTTCTATCGAAATACCCCAAGTCAAAGAAGGAAAGAGACGAAAAAAAAAAAGGTGATTACTTTTTTCCTTCCCCTCAGGTAGTTTTCGGCGTTTACGGTTTGTTTGTTTTGGAGAGTCCCCGGTCCACGAAGAATGCCGTAAATTACTGTCTTCCTATTACCGACATTTCTTAACGGAAAGCCCCAGGATTTCCAACGAATGACTTTGAAGGCTTTTGAGCTGCTGTGTGATTGCTGGCTTCCCTTAAGCAATTGAAATCCTTTGCATAGGGCAGCTTAGTTGCCCACGAAGCGAGTTATCCTATCTTTCAGTATTAGACATAGCATTTTCGATCAGAACAGCAGTAGTGTTTCCAACCAATCGTCTCTGTCTAGATGTATCTTCCGAGGTACTTTGCTTGTGTTGACTAGGTGATGATAGTGATTCATAGTGTCCCGTTCCAACGGAGACTACTCGACAGACCAGTTGTGTCATATCTTTACATTACATCTGAATCGGGACACACCCCCGATCCTGTCGAGAGTTGTCATTCTTAACTATATCGAAATTATGTGGCGCAACTGTTGTCGTTTGAGCTCACGCCGGGGCAAATGAGATTCATCGCGAGTTGAAAGGATCTAACAAAGTTCGGTCTAAGATGAGGTGTAGAAAACAGTTTAGACTGTCCAAACATCCCGTCTTGGAGACTTTTGGAGGAGGGCAATGAGCAGACTTTCAAAGAGATCGAAATGAAAAACGGCCTGGGAGGAGCCTTAGGTACTTCATGCGACCAGTCATCATCACACGTCGCTTTGAAGACTCTGGATTCTGGCGAGGTCCAGCCTTAATCGACTCCACTTGGTCTCCGCCTCTAGTAATCGTTAGACGGGCGCTAGCAAGGTTGGCCAGGGGTTGGGCCGCGTCTCTCTTGCTTCAACCTGGGTTGCAACCTTTCCCAGAGTGATGCGACTTGCTCGGCCATCCCACTCAGGGTCTCGGATAATCATGACACTCTAGACTCTCCAGCAAATGTGACAGGTAGTGCTCCCTACGCCCCAAACTGTGACGGTTGTACGGCACTTCGCCTCGTATAATCCATCATTCAGGGGTCGCATGTGATACCCGCATTACCTCATCTACAGCACCCCAGAGAGTGTGTGGAAGAAAATAATAAAGAGCTGCAACAAAACCCAGATTTGAGTTAAGTTACAGCGCGAGCTATCCTTGCCGATAATATATGAGCGTAAAATAGCTTACCAGCCGAGGAAGCATAACTAATGCCTGTTCTAGGGCGGGTTAGTCAACTAGTAAGTAAGTAGCTCTGAGTTGCTGACTTCCGAATTAGATAGAGAGAGGTCAGCCGGGGATCCACAGAACAAGAAAAAGAAGATACGTACAGCCTGTGAGCAGTTTTACAGTTCATGCACGTTGTTATCTGGATCCATTTTTATTGATAGTTCATCTGTTGTCTTGAACAATGGATCCAGCCAACAGTGGCTGGACATGTATCCATTCCCCGTACATCCGTCGCCTGCCTGCCCCCTCCCCCTCTTTATGCTTAGGTGGCTGACCGCCAGCATGGCAACACTTACAGTAACTAAGTTATATACCCACAGGCTGCAACAACTGATCTTCAAATCGAGCCTGGAAACTGTTTATCCATCTGCCGGTACTACATCGATAGAGATGTGGCTTGCATGTCTGCCCCTCCGGGTATGCTGGTCCGGACTTTCCTGGGTAATCTACATGTGTAACACTTTTCCGAGGGTTGAAACGGAAAGGATTGCTCGGTCGAAAGTTGGTATGTTCATCAACAGCGGGAGATGGCCGAAGGGAAAACGTCGCTGTTTCATCAATACTATTGGTGCTTCAGCTGACAGAGAGGTTGACAGGGCAATGAAGAAAGAAAAGCAAAAAAGGAGAGAAAAATTTTCGTAGTGTGAGAAAAGTACTGTTACTCGGGGAAAGAAGGAACAGGAGTAAGATGCCGTACTACCATGGTCGACGAAAGGCAGGATGTCTTGTTCCAATCATCCACCAAGGTCTCCGCAACCCGTGCTTGACGTCTACAAGGTTCAAGACAATATTCCTGGTGCTCTAAAGAAAATAACTTGTAGCACAGCTCCATGGCAATCAACATATATGAGACGCTTCTGAGTACTATGTTTCTGAAGGTTACGCGTTTCCACATTTCTGGAGCTGAGATTTGTCTCGAAATATCGGGTCAGTATGGATATGTCTTCGGAGTACTATGGACCGCATACTCCGTGCGCTGAATCAAGTAGACGCTTCAACTATCCAAGCCAGTCGAGCCCCCGAAGATTTGCATTGTGCTTAGAACGCTATATTTACTGGGGGACTACCCCATATGGATAGAGGGCGATGCTCACACAGGTGCTTACTTACCTGATGCATACAGTATGCACAGGTATGGCCGATGCTGGATCCTTCTGGATGTATAGACTTCATACATCAAGCGAAGTTGATCAGCTGTAGCTAAGCCTGTGCATCTGCGAGATCAGATCCAGGACACAGACGGTGCCCTGTGGAAAGTACGGGGCACATTAAGTACGCAACATACCCATTGCTTGTGTAGGACAGTTGTTACCACAGTTACCATTTTCCATATTTCTTTTTTTCCCCTTCTCTTTTGCATGCAAAGAGTTGAGTTCGCCACTGGATGCACCAATTCTTGAGACTAGGAAGCCGCATATAGACTCATTTACCAGGCTTTTCCGTTCTACCCTTGCAATGTGGGGTGATCATAGCCGATCTTATGATAAGATGTCATCGCTGGATACTTTGATGACGGGGGGGGGATCATCAACCCTCACAGAGGGCATTAGTAGGCGGGCTTAATCGCCAAACTCTGAATTGGTATTGCTCCAAACCACTACATACTCAAAGCAGCATAGATAGTGGCTCCATGGGCGTGATCTTTTTCCATACACAGTAGTACTGTTATGCACGGAGTAGGGTGTCCTGCTTGATAGGAAGATTGGGGGATTCCATTCCTGTCACGGTGGCGGGTGATGGGTCATGGACGGAGAAGCCATGTCTTGAAGTTGGTCATGTCTGGAGCCGAGACGCGTATGATCAGCTACACCGCACCTACGACCTATGTTTACTCCGTACACTCGTTAAGATCCGGTTTTGATGACAGGCCATACAGATGCCAAAAAAGGGGTCTAGAGATGGATTGGTCACCGCTTGTGTCACTTGACCGGTGACAGGCTTCAATAAACCACTCGGTGGGAACGGCGAAGAATGGAGACAGTCAGTCACCGTCTTTTTGAGGTCCATCGTAGTATCCTCCCTCCCCTCTTCTTTAGTGTTCTTCACATTTCTTCTTTTCCATTCATGAATTGAATGATGAGAGGAGGGGAAGGGATGCGTGTTCTGGGGGGAAAAGAAGAAAACATTGAGGGGTTTGAGTACACAGTTGATGAGGACTGTGCGATGCTGGTGGGCCAACCAACCAACCACTCGAGAAAATACGACTCGTAATCTTGTCGGCATGACATCTGCTCCCTCCCCCATTGATGGTCTTTGCTCTTCTTGCCACGGAGTGTCTCTCCTACCGCTACCTAGGCTACGCGTATTATTGTTTATTTACCTCTTCTTTTGTTTTGATGTTTCCTTGGGTGGCATCATGCCATTTGGGCTGTTTTATTTACATAATCATGGTTCAACCACAACAATCGCGGCTGTTCTTCCAATAGAGAGAAACCTACGCGACATTAGTACAAAGTGACAACAACAACAACCACAAAGGCAGAAAAAGTTTGCGTGGGATTTGAGAAGGGGGGGAAAGCCAATGATTGCAATTTCTTGGAAAGTTTCGGGCACCAGCGCAGAAAGGGAAGGGTGGGTGACTGGTACCGGAGTCCTAGACGACTGGCTGATGGGCCTCCACCCCCAAAACGGATAGATCAGAGCTCGGAAGACGTGGTTTTTATGGAACCAACGGGCTTAGTCGACCGCCGGCCGTCTGAGTTACCAGCCAAGGGTAATTGGGAAGAACCAACAGTGGAGCAGCTTCATTCAAATGAGTGGATATTAGCCAGTTCGCATGCGGATACCGTGGACCTGCTGATTGCGCCGGGGCAGTCGGGGAATGCGGATCCCCACTCGGCGTGAGGCCCGTCCCCGCTACCCGACAGACCCGGCTATGGATCTAATTCTCTAGTCAGCCAGTAGTCGTTGCGTCCGGCGAGATGGTGAGGATTACGATGGAGTCCCCAAACGGATCCGTAACCAACAAATGGATCTCCTACTTTGTAGGTGTCTCGCGGCCCAGTTGACCTATCTCGCTAGCAGCTCCGCCGCTCCTTAGGGATCTCTTAGCCATGCTACTATGCCAGTAGCTTTCGAAGCCGGCTCATTCCACGAGCGTTCCAGAAGGATGAAGGACGTTCGTGGAATCGACGAAGAAGGAGATCAGGAGACGGAAATCTCGCAATTACCTTCTCTAGGCAGAGAAGCTCATCGTCTCAAGCGGAACCCCCGTCGGCTTGGCCGCTTGAGTCAACCGTTGGAACGGAATAACTATGGGTAATAATATTGAGGGTGGCTCTCTATCGTCGACGGACTACGGAGCGCCATGGAGGATCAACAAAGAATTCCCTGCAGGCAAAGCCGACTAAAGACCTTCTGGAACGCCACTAAGGATTCCACATTATTAATTCTCAATTGCCCCAGTCCATGAATCTCTGCGTGGGTGATCAAAAGTACCTTCGACGAGCTTAAGCAGGTACAGGATGTGCTTGCATCAGGAGGTGCGTTCTCCATATGGATGCCTCTGCCCAGTTTCTGCTCTTACCTACATGGGTGCCACCTTTCAGTGGGTGCGCTGTGTCTACTCGACTGTGTACAGACCCTCCTGTTGATCAGTCCCATCCCAGCAAAGACAATTTCATCGTGACTAGCCAATCGTGATGTGAATCAGGCTTGTCTTGACCCTGACGAAAACATGATTGCTGGATTAGCCGGCTGGACTTGCAGTAGTCTCAGGGTGTCTGCATTCCCGCATGCTAGATCTACCCTTTTCCCTCTTTTTTGCTCCTTTTTTATATTTCTCCGACGCGGTGTGCGGAAGTCTGTGTAGATCGATGGGGATCCTACTAGGATATCGGAGTACTGTGTAGAAAGTCCGGTCAGGATGTAATCTCGCTTCAGATATGATGCATCCCAGCCAACCTATGAAAAGGCGGGGTAGGCAAGTATACCAGCGAAAATGACTGACTTTTCAGTTCACTTCATTTAAGTGTTCATATTTTTCTTCCCCTCATCTTTGAGATTGTCTGTGCAGTCAGTGCATGCTACGTCATTGTGCCCAGCTTCATTTTCACATTAGTTAACATACTTCGTAGTGATTCGTGACTCAATGACACTTTCAGCTAAAGTCAGGTAGTGAGGTAGCCAGGAGAGTAACAATATCTGCCTACCGGGTTGATGAGAAACAAGCCACCAGCGATGCAAACGAGCTCACAAAAGCGCCGAGACATGCGTTTGGCACTGTCAGCAAACCAGTTGCAAGACATCTCATCTCTGACCACCGTCTATCTATCTGTATGACACAGTCATGAGAATCAAACTCTGAGGGGCAGATGTGTGTTTCTGACCAGCCCAACTTGGATAAATGACAGTTACAGCGCAAAATGAGAGAAACATGGCGTTTTCCGTACTCAACAATACAATCAGCCTCCCGTGTAGTCTGACCAGGTATTGACTTCCTCTTCGGACGGAACTTACCACTCAGGCTTCAGGATGTTGTCTACAAACCTCGACTATTAACTTCTTCTTCACCAAGTGTCTCGCGTCACTAACAGGTGGCTGGCGCCTAGATGCTCTTCGAATATCTTCGCAGGCGGTTTCCTCCATCTGCATTCACCGTCTCACTAACACTGTTCACTGGAGCTTACGTTGCCTGGGCAGGAATGCCAGTGATAGATTGTTCTGAGAGCCTATAAAGTCGCCTGGAAAGTGTTTCCTCTGTTTCTCCTTCGTTTCACCTCGCGTCTTCGACATCGTGGCTTGTATCTAGCTGGTCTGAGGCAACTTCATCGTCCTCCTGATTAGTCGTTCCCCCCGGATAGCTCTCACCATGGGCCCATCCAGACGGGCCACTGTGGTCCCAAACGCCTTTGCCGGTGGCTATAGCCAGACAGTCAGAAACCGGTCAGTTTTCTGCTGGATACGCTGCAGATCGGTCTCGCTGACTATACTATAGGCTTGACAAGGTTGTTTTCCCGGATAGGTGTGTCTACTACTTCACTCTTCAACATGTCAATATTACTTTGTTCTACATCTTACGTGATCTTAGAATCAAATGCGGAACATGCAAGAAGTTTCGGTACATCGGCACTTTCTCTAACAGACAACTGGACATTCTACGCCATGCGGTAGTGGCTGAGGGAGCTTCGGCTGCTACCAGCGGACGTGCTAGATGCAGACAGTGCACCGGTCCAGGAAATACTGAATTGAAATGCACACAGTGTGACCGCGTCAAATCGATTGAAGAGTTCGCGAAGAACCAGCGGCACGAGCGTGATTCTGCGGTATGCTTACTCAATTTAATCGCGGTGGATTTCAGCTGGGCTAATTTTCAGGGCAGCGTTGCATGAACTGTGTCCAGAAACATACGGAAACTGAACCCTTGATGGATGAAATTAAGCAGATCACCGGAGGCGATGATACTACTGCTAGCTCTGTTACTGTTGGGAATCCCCATGATCTCTACTACTATATCAATATAGTTTAGTTGCGACGTACTGACAAGCTCGAAGAGCCAGGCAGGCAGTAGCTCTTTGGCTACTTCTTTGAAGCGTCTCCAACTGAGCGGTGCTCATGAGGGATCTGTTTGCAGTGACGATCTGGATGACGATGACGATTTGTCCATTGGCGGTGGTGTCTTTTTGGAGCCTAGACACACCGACGAGAATAGCAGCACCAATAACAAGGGCAAGGAGAAGGTCTTCACCGGCTACGATCCTCAGGGAAACCCGCATGTACTCACCCACCGCGCAGAGGCCACGCAGTCCTACCAGAGCGAATGGTCTGTCTGGGGAGTTAAGAACAAAGCCCTTCGAAGTGAAGCCGGTCCCGCCAGATCAACGCCGAAGAGGGAAAGAAACTTCGCCAAAGTCCCGGTAAGTGCCACCGATTTTGCATATTTGCGAAGAACCAATGTTGATGACGATTGATTCTACGCAGGGCGCGCGCTATGAAAAGCACGAACTGCCGAGCATGGCCATTCCTGATTCCAGCGGCGCGAACATCCCTTCTGACGATGAGGACGAAGTGAACGATTTGGACGTCTTTCTGTGAGCAAGCTTGGTATACCCGGGCAGAAGGTCAGATGTAGCAGGGATCGTACTGAGTCTGAAGATATCGGGACTAATGAGATGACCGGAAAAGCTGTGAAAACCCATGTGAATTTCTTCTGTCCCCGATTTCGGGTTACTGTCTTAACTCTTCTATTCATCTAATCAACCTTGCTTTTTCTGAGTTGGTATGACAAATGTACTGTAGCAGCCGGAAACGATGAGCGATCACAGCTAGGGGGAGGCGCTATAGTGGCTGTATTCTCAATCATGGTCCCATTGCTGTTACTATAGTTGTCAGGTTCCTTTGTAGGGGCAATCTAAGAATATGGATGGTTCCACCCTCAATCAACCATGGATGAAGTGATCTTGGTTTCTAGGTGGTTCGTTCCCGCCCAGGAACCATAGACTGTCGGCCCGCTGGTCTATAGTAGTGGTGTCTTTATATAGCGGGTTAGGAAAGCATTGTGAATGACTGTAGAGAGCTTCGCAAAGTTGTCAAATAGCCATCGATGGAAATTTCATAAAGCGAACTCTTCGATTGCCATTGGTGAAGGATAATGATGATGGAAACTGAAGGTCATTAAGGGGTGGCAGAGGGAGAAGAAGCGAAGGCAGAGAGAATGATTGCATCTCCAAAATAAGATCCCCGCAGTCCGCCTGCCATGACGTAGGCGGCCATCCAGTCTTTTCTTTCCAGTGTAGACAACTCTGTGAACTTACCTTTTTATTTTTCTCTACTTGTCATCTGCTCTTTTCTTTGTCTTTCGATCTTCTGTTCCTTTCTGCATCAGACACGCGACGACCCACTTCAGCTGTCACTCCTCTGCTTTTCTCTGCCCAGCCCACTTCGCTACACACTCAGTGTATCCCGTTGGTTTCACCATCCGTCGCCCCTCTTCCTGCCCCGTCTTTTTATTTTCTACTGCTTTCCCTCTATCTCCGTGAAGACCAGTCGACCCGTTGCCACACGATTGTCGCACCTCTGCTTCCGTTTGCTTCAATATTTTTGGCCCTTGGCCCTCTTTGTAGCCTTTTATCCCCATCAGCTCGATACCTCATTCATAAGACTGCTCTGGTGATTACTCTGCGCTCGTGATTACGCAGGGCAAACACCTCTGACCCGGCGTCGTACGCCCCAGCGATGGCTTACAATAGCTTCCCCAACAGTCCTTCTTACTCGCAGTTTGGAAGCATGAACCATGCCAATCCAAACGAAAATGGCGCATCATCTTACACCCCTCCGTACCCTGCACAATATGGGCCGGAGCAGGTGAACATGCCTCAGCCTCAAGTTCCTCCTACCTCCTCTTCCCCGACGGGTTACTATTCGAAACCGCCTTACGAGCCAGCTCCATGGCAGCAGCAACCGCAGCAACCGCAGCAACCACCAGCCCCCGGGAGGATCAACGAGGCTGTGAATTCGGCCTTTCGTCAGGCTGACTCTCCGGCCTATCTGTCTCCAGAGGTTGTTTCTCAGATAACTGCGACGGTGATACAACAGCTGAAAGCGACGGGGTTGGACAACTTGCAAAGTGATCAACAGCCGTCACCACCGCCACCGCCGCAATGGTCTCATCCGGCTACAGCCGCCATGTATGGTGAACCGTCTCATTCACCTAGGCCGCAGAATACCCCTCCACCACCGCCTAAGATACCCCCGGGTAACCCGGACTACCAAGCACCTGTACCGCCTGTACATCCCAGCAGCCCTCATCCATTCCCCAGACCATCCGTGGGGCAGCCGGGTGAAAGACGCGGATCGCCGACAAGCCAAAGCCAGGTCAGCGATCAACACCAGAGTATGGAATCCCGACCAAAGCCGCCATCAAGGGAAGCTACGGTGACAGAAATGACAACGTTGGATAAAGTATGGGGCAAGTTCTTCGAGGACGGAAAGCCAACAGAAAAGCTTAGCATGCTATTGCGCGGCATCGCAGTCCACCTGGTAAGTGCAGTCCGCAACCGGTGAGTTCTGGACGCTAACGAGTTCGTCTGGTAGATCGAGAATTACCCGCCAGAGAACACTCTGGTCGTCGTTCCTGAGAAGATGAAACAGTTCTATGCAGATACAAGTGTGCCGTCTGATCCGTATCCCTGGGAAGGTTAGTCCCAATGAACCGCTGTGCTGCATGACACGGACCTTGCTGACCTATAACAAGACATCTTCGACGACCGTACATCTCAGATCTCGAGATTGTTGCGAAGGCTTGAAGTGGAACATCATCTCGTGCAACATAAACTTCATGAGAGACCTGACATCCCGGGTCTGACTACCCGTGGCTTTGCCCGATGGGCAACTTTAATGATCCAGGCCCATCCTGAGAAAGAGTACGAGCGCTTCCAAAAAGCACTGTTGAACATGCCCATCAACAACCCCGACAAGAGGAGCGAAAGACTACCCAAGGAGTTCTCAAGGCGCTTGTTTCCTGATGCGCCAGATCTCTCATTGAGAGAAGAGATCGACCAGAAAATCATGGAATTTTGCAACGTCGACTTGCCGCCCATCACCGAGGACGAGTTGAAAAAGGTTGCCGCACAGCGTCACAAGAAATCTGCTCACAAGGCGTCAGTGAGCTCTGTTGACTCGACCCCCTCGATGGGAGAGCGTGAGCGTCAGCCCTATCATAGCACATCATCTTCTGCCATTGTCGATGACGAGGACAAAGAGGTCCCATCACGGCCTATTGAACGCGAAAGGAAGCCCTACACTGCGCAGCCTGGAGGTGGTAAAGTGTACGAAGAGAGAGCACCCAGCCATCGTCATGCCAACTCTATGTCCGCAGGGTCTGGCTCCAAAGATGGTCCAATCGATATCGGACCCCGAATGTCGGAGACGTACCTCCACACCGGGAGTTCACAGCGTCCCACGACCACGTTCGGACGATCTCGAAGTCCGTCACGGGGTGCTCATCCAGGCGGCGACTACAGACACTCCGAGAGTGACCTCTTAGGCCATGGTAGTGGCTCACGATATGGAGGGTTGTCTGATAATGACTACTATTACCCCCCAACCACATCTGCCCTCCCAGGAGACATCGACGACACTCGCAAATACCACAATCTCAGCCCTGACCATGGCGATAGGAGACTATACGATGCCCTGCGGACCCGGGACAGCGAGCGAGAAAAGAGCAAGCGCAGCAGCTGGGGCGGCGACGAGGATTACTATCGCGCTGCCACCGGCTACGACTATAAACCGTATGGGTATAGGTGATATTGGTATACTGACCGTGTTTGACCCTTGAAAATTATCGTTTTGGCGCGTTTTTTGTATGAAAAGAGATATCCGTCTATGAAGTTATGACTTATGATAGCGTTCATTATTAGTCTGCTTGGCTGCACTCCTTTTTGCCTTATGTTTAGCCACTCATGACTTTATTCCATTCTGAAAGTGTACCACGAACTTCCCTTCAGTATCTGAACTTTGACTCCTTGTCCTCCCTTCCTCTTCTTTTATGAAATGTATAATATCACTAATACCACTTTCGGGATTGAACATTATATACCCCCAGCTCCACCAGAACCTACCCCCTCCACCCTCTTCCCCTCGATAATTCTCCTAACCCTCCCCCCTTCAACCCTACAAACCTCCGCCTCCCTCTCCCTCCCCCTCTCCTCTCTCTCTCGCATCTTCCCCATCCTCCTCCGATCCCTCTCCTCCCGTCTCCGTCTCTTCCGTCTAACCCTCTCCTCCTCCTCCTCATCCATGTCCAATTCCCTTCTCAACCTCTCCACCTCCTCCCTCCCCAACCGCCACGGCACATCCAACACCTCCACCAAAAACCGCGACCGCTGATCCAGAAACCGCATCTCGGCGTTCGTGTCCCGGACCGGAAATACCCGCTCGAGTTGGAGCTGGTTCACGCCGCGGAATGTGCTGATGGTGCCCTTGAGGTGCGCGAAGGTGCCTGGTGCGTAGGGGCTTATGTCGAGGGGAAGGGAGGTCGTGGGGGAGATATGCTGCGTGGGAGTAAAGGAAGTAGGTAAAGTAGATGAGGGAGTGGGGTTGGGGGTAGCTTTCTGAACGACCACGTCGAGCGTTACACCGCTGCTATCGTCAAGGGTGAGGATCGTAACGGTGGGGAATTCCGTTCGGGAAGTTATTAGTCCCAGTAGGGAGATGTATTGGATGGGATGGTTTTTGTAGAAGTAGAGTTTTGGATCTATATTTTTGTTTTAAATTCGGAGGTTAGGATGTACGTATGTATGTATGTCTTGGATGATAGAGAAGTAGGATTGGATGCATATGTGGAGAAACGAAAATAAATTATCATATGTGCTCTGAATTCCAATTTCAATGGGAGATGAAAGAGTTGGGGGAGATCTACCTGGAAACTCCGGCCGTCTTCTCAATCTTAGCACATCCACCGCGGCCATCTTCACCCAGGTGAAGTGGGTGGGGGACGCCTTGAAGCAATACGCCGGGTAGAATTCAAGGTCGTCATGGTTTTCTGCCGTCGCCATGGGAGTGGGACCATTTTCATGGTTGGGTGTTGGTCATTTGGGTTTGGTGCATGTGGTTGTAGTGAAATTGGGAGGAAGATGGGGAGATGATGGTTGTTTGTTGATTTGAGTGATGGATGGGGGTGTGGTGAGGGGAAACCGGCAGGTAGCTTTGTTATCGGTCACGTGGTGGATGGGGTCAGGTGGTGATAAGGATGTTCAGGATTTAAGATGTTGTGTGGTGCTGGTTGAATTTGATGGGTAGTATTTATTGCTGAGTAGGGATGTGTTTTCCAAATTGAAGGAATGGAATTTGGTTGAGTTGATCCGCAGCTGGGAAATGGTAATTGCTGTGGGAAATGTATGGATACCCCCTCATCCCTCCCCTACATCTGGAGATCGGACCATGATACACTACTACTTCTAAACAGCAATACAATAATTACTAATGGATTAATATACTGTCAAGCACTCTAAAACCGTACCGAGTGCTTATAGAAGGAACCTTACATAATTGACTGGGATTATGCTTTTGTGCACTCCGTGAGAGATCGAGACAGATATGGCATTGCTGTTTTCATAGCCCACGGCCATATTACTATTACTATATCGCAGATTGTATGCAGACAGACACAAAGAACTGGTACTCCGTCTGCGCTATCAATGACCTTTTCGCTACCTGCAAGAAGCTGAGAACATTCCCGTAATTCAATCAGATTGAGTATGAATCAATAGTCCTATTTCCCCAAATCAACAGATATCTTACATATTCAAATCAAATTTGATCGACGCCAGATAATCCATGTATACACGCATACATATAGTAGACCAACAAACAAAATCACTCCTCTTTCCTTCCATCCCCAATTACCCACTTATTCAAGTACCCCACCCCAGCATTCAAATACGTCGCAACCCCCAACCAAGCCGCATACGGCGTCATCAACCAGAACGCCACCCGGTCATGCTTCCACCAGATATGCATCAACGTCGCCACATTCCCGCTCAGAAGCAGCAGATCCGCCAACGCCCACGCCGGCTTCCGGAACATGAAGAACAGCGGCATCCAGAGGTGATTCAACGCCAGCTGGGAAATGTATAGGGTCTGAGACTTGACGGCCCAGTCTTGGACAATAGATGATGATGAGGAAGGTGGGTATGCGGTGGCTATGGTTCCTGATACTGTTGCGTGGTGGATTGCGAAGCCCATCATGCCGTAGAGGACGGTCCAGACGACCGGGAAGGCCCAGGTTGGGGGGTAGAGAGGGGGTTTTTTGAGAGAATGGTAGACTTGTTTGGTGCGACCTTTGCCTGGTTTTAGTTAATATTTGAACTCAAAGAGGTGGAATTGAGTGGTAGACATAGGTAGGGGAAGCTCACGGTTGGTATGGTACCCGACTAGAGAACCCGTCGCGATGGGCGTCACGACGGATACTAGGGGGTGGGCGAACATCGCCTGAGGGAGCGCGGCGGACCAGGGCATGTTTGGTTTAGTTCTCCAGCTTGGATGAGAGAATAAGGAGGATCTGGAGGGTTGAGTGTGGAGTTGCGATGTATTTATTTGATCCTCTGGATCGATCGATCGCGGATGCTGGAAGTGGTCGACGTCATCCGGATCGGACCAGGGAATGTAGGATCGCGTGGTATAGCCGACTGCCTGCAGTGGGGAGGATTCGGATTGGGGATAAGAACTTCTCCACTAGAATCACAATTAACCAGGCGATTGATGGTTGATCATGTAAATATCTTGATGGTTAGGTTCGTTTCTGCTGGTCAGTCGCTCGGTTTCCCCGCATCTGGTGAACCACGGCGTGTGGAGAAGCTTATCACATGCATTAGACGATATATCTATAGATCATTGAGAGGATGTCTACATTGATTGAGTGAAGAATAATCATCTGTGGAGCACTGTTCACATTAGTAGAAAAGGAGTAGTCTATGACTACTATCTCTTCAGGAAGGAGATTGACAAGCGCTGTGAGGCCTTGCATGTTGACTCCGCAGCGCTTGGCTCTGAAGCATCAGTGGAGCAGATAACGAACGCGACATTTGTAGACCTACATCCTTGGGGGTTTGTGTAAGTGTTTTCTAGGAAGACTTGCTGATGCTTTGGTAGTGCATCAAATACAGCAGGCACATCTCAAGAACCATGACTTTGTTGCATGGTATATGTGAATCGACACAGTAAAGCCCCACTGGACCCAATGTAAAGCTTCATGTGCCTGCATTATCTGGAAAGCTGTGCAAGCTCAAGTTATCATGGAGACCGGGGCTAACAGTGACACCATACTCTGAATTTTCAGTATTCTTTATTGACTGCAGCTTTCTAGTTGGGAACATTCCAGGCACTTGCTGGAAGATGCGCAGCTGGATAGAAATCGTATCAGACGAATGCAGAAAAATAGCAAACCAATAAACATTGCTATGGTAAAGCCCTTGACTGAATCTATACAGGGCAGAAATACATGAGATGAGAATCAAAGGCTAATATACAATGCACAACGGTAACGGTCTGAACGTAATGCCTTTTCCAGCAAGTCTCTCCGAGTGACGCTCTTACCAAATCCCCAACCATTTCTTAACAGGCCTCTTGTTACCCTCCCAATCAACATACACATTCTTATCATCCTCACCCTGCTGCTCCTTCGCCACAGGAGATTGGTCATCCACAGCCACCTCCTTCCCATCAGCACCAGCAAGATCCTTCTCATTAGGCTCCTCCAACCCATGAGCAACCCGATACTGCCGTCTCTTCTCAGCATCATCCACCCGTCTGCGACGCTTCTCTCTCGTCTCGATCGAATTGTGCTGCACATGCATCCGGAACACCGAAATAGCCTGCCGAACCGTATCAATCGGATGTGACAGCAGCGCCGACCAAGGCGGCAGCAGATGAGCGAAAGGCGACGAGTGCTTGAAGTTCGTAGTGAATGTGAAAGTAGCCAGGGAGGTCAGTACACCCTACACATATCACATATATCGTTAGCAAACCCAACCCAATCATATATTATCTTGCAATCGAACACAAAGCAAGGATGGAGGGATATCTCACCATCGCAATCCATATATGAATCCACCGATTCGTCAAGAACTTGTGCATGACTGTTCCCTCAGGCGGGAACATATTCGGGTACTGCCTGTGCTTCTGCTCCTCCTTCTCCTTCTCGCTGAGCTTCGGCCCCGGGTAGTTGATCGGGCCGCTGTTGACAACCTTCCCATTGCGAGTTTGGACGACCCGGCGCGCGGGGTGAGACGGAGGACGGAACTTGTCGGGCTTGGAGAGCACGCGGGGTTTGCTGTCATCGGGCGTAGAGGAGGCGCATCGCTGGGTGGTGCTGCTGGTGATGCGGTAGGTGGTTCGTCGGTTCAAGGCGCGGAGGCTGAGCGGGGAGGGAGCGCCCCGGGGGAGGAGAAATTGGGGGATTGTGACAGGCGGCATTGTGTATATAAGTCAAAGTAGGTGGAAGTTGACTAGTGAGGTGCACCACAGATGAAAGCTGAATTGGCCGCTGGGAGTGCCTGGGCCTGTTTGGTGTTGCGGCGCGGGTATTTTTTTCCTGGTGCCGCGGAGGATATAGAGATCACGTGATTATAGTATGGCTGAATCTACGCTGTGCTACATTGATGGCAGGGCAAAGGTTCCTTTACTGTGGAACTTGTCAGTCAGGTATAGTGTAGAGCTGTCAAGTACGTGGTTTAGAATGATTCAATCTATATGTGTGCAGGTGCGTGCAATAAGCCAAGTAAACATGGGTTCCTGTCGGTACCTGTTGAGGCTATTTTCCCTTTGCCTCAGGCCACCTCGGGATGTCCCCGGCGGAGCGGAACAACACGAATTCCCATGACAAGTCGGCCAAACTCGGAGGACAAATGATGGCGCGCGAATTTCCAACGCGATTGCTATGCGGGACCAGAAACAGTCAATTGCGGTGGCCCAACTCCGTATCTTCTCCGGGTCTTCTCCGTAGCTACCGGCCTATTTTTGTGCGTGTTACGTAGGGAACTGGGCCACCATGACGGAGGCACAAATATGGCAACTATGAAAAGAGGATGAGATCATTCGGAAGCGCTACGTCAGTCGCGGACGGAAAAGCCGCTATATGCTCTGAAGGAATCTGCGAGTATCATCTCCTATAGTAGAGTAGTGTAGGGACTCGAAAGAACATTGACTCTCAAGCCTGGCATGCACAAGGGGTTCAATTGACCAGAACTTGGTCAGATCGATCTGGGTAATGGGGACAATTCTTGGAAAACATGGAGCATGGCTCAAAAAAGACACCGGCATCTTGTCCCGGAAGCGCCCGTTGTGCTGAATCATCTCGTTCCTGATTGGCCGCAACCCGGATCACGGGAGGCGTTGGGGGCAAAGGCTGGCCGCTCTTGTACAAATTGATCGCAAGTTTTTCTTCCCTCGTCCGATTTCTCTCCTCCATCGCTTCTATCTTCCCCAGGAAATCCTCCGCAGGTCCAATTCTTCTGTATATTACTCTTATACCTTTTAATACCTCTTCAATCCCTTCACACACATTCAAAATGGGCAAGGACGCTTCTTTCGCTCCCGGTAAGCTAACGCAGTTTTCCTTGTTTTGGCCGCTCCTTGTCTCCGGAGGCTTTTCATTCACTGGCCTTTCGAACACTGCATTCATTCAATGCCGTGTTGGTTTCCCGCTTTATGATGGCTGGCTACTGGCGCTCGAAACTTCTGCCTGCTGTGACTTGATTCATCGCATTTGCTGTCGCGTTTGCTCTACCGTATCGCAAACCGCACGCTTTTACTTGTCCAACAACGCTACGTCGGAAGACAAAAGTCGATATCACAATTACAGCATAAGTCGAGCGTCACACCTGTCATCATGAGCTGGGACGCATCTGTTTTACCTTGCGTGATCCAATGGCGCGAGGAAATTGCAGAAAGGGAAAAGAGAGAGGCCGAGGCGGCAGACAAAGCCAAACAACAGCTTGCTAACATCGATCTCGATTCAGGTGACTCCGCCAAGGGTGCTAAGCTCTTCCAGGTGAGTTGTGATCGCTCTGCGTCGGAAGGCGCCACTTCTTGAACAGAACAGTATCGACTAACATCGCGTTCAGACTCGTTGCGCTCAGTGCCACACTGTCGAGGCTGGTGGTCCCCACAAGGTCGGCCCCAACTTGCACGGTCTCTTCGGTCGTAAGACCGGTCAGTCCGAGGGCTACGCCTACACCGACGCCAACAAGCAGGCTGGTGTCACCTGGGATGAGAACACTCTGGTATGCTCCGGCTCACTTATCCGTCCATTGTAATGAAGAATCATGGCTAATGCTTTCTGCAGTTCTCCTACCTCGAGAACCCCAAGAAGTTCATCCCCGGTACCAAGATGGCCTTCGGTGGTCTCAAGAAGGGCAAGGAGAGGAACGACCTCATCACGTATGTGTTACCCCGGATGATCAGAAATGACGAAATGCAGAGCGCTGACAATTGTACCTTCTATAGTTACCTCAAGGAGAGCACCGCTTAAATCACCTCACCGTTATGAACTCTTCTAGAACCCGCCTGCCGAACATTGCCCACTTATCCGTGCTGGAAACAGGCGGTGAGTCGGCAACCCGACAGTCAGGGACTGTAACATTACCACGCCCTTATTTACCCGCGATAGACCTTTGGCGTTGCTGCGTTGGAACGATACAGATACAATAGAGTCCTGTCTCCCTCCGCGACCGCTGTCTACATATTCCCTTCTTGTTCCCTTTTTTTACCCCCCATTTCCTATGTGTCCTCTACGAATGTGTTTCTTCCAGCTCTTGTGTGTATCATGGTTTTAAAACAATTTGGTTGCTTGAGACCATAATGAATTTGAAGAGATCTCCTCTCACATGACAAACTAAACAATGTGTGTGCATTGCTTTTACACAGTACTGCTTCTTGATTACTTAGTTCTATTTTCTTTCTGCCTGACGGACCGATGGCCGTGCGCTGGGCCGGTCCCGAGTTTCAGAAGTATCACGTGCAGCCCGTGCTGGCCGGGGATTCGCCCGGCGGGACTCGCGACCACGTATGCGCTGCAGAAGGGGGACCCCTCGGGGGAGTAAATAGATACAGTAAATAGATAGTGTCTGGCTTCGAGTCAGGGAGGAAGTAACGGTGGCCACTGCACCGGCAATCTGGCGGATGATCCTTGCAGGGCCGTGGAGGGCAGCGCAGCATGATCATTGGGCCTGGCTGTTGGGCCAGTTGTCAGCCAGCCATTGATAGGTAGGTTCATGGTCCCGAGAAGGTACCGTTCCTCTAGTAGTAGTAAATGGCTTGGGAGCCAACCAACCAGACTGCCGTCGATCGGAGGGTAAATTAAGAGAGCCCAAGCACCAACAGATAGGTACATACTACCGTCCTGAAGGAGGGGGAGAGAGGGGAAGAGAAGAAACCAGTCTCCCATGGGGGGGAACTGACTGACTTCTATCGGAGATGATTGCGAACTACGGAAGCGACCGGTTTGTTGGAGGCTTTGATAGGTAGGATTGAGGAACCTTTTCGTAGGGTGGTCATGTGGCCATGACCTAGGATGGATGATGGATGGATGCGAGTCACGTCGATATCGTGGTTGTCGAATGGTAGGTTATCTTGGTGGGCTTATAGTTTATCTAGCTTTATAGCGGGGGGAGATGAAATGCAGACAACTATCGATAGAAGGTGCAGTAAACTGCAGTAAATGCAGCATATCTATCTGCTACGCGAAAGTCGTGAGGAAAATGTTCCGAATAGGAGATGTCTCAGTAACTTGTGGAGTAGTGACCGGGGGGTTAAATCGATCCGATGAGAGGCGATGCGATGCGATCCAACGAAGTACGTAGATAGTCACTCAATCAGGGTTGCTGGTTATCGTTTGGAGGATGGATCGGTCTGTCGGTCAAATCCTAGTCTGGCTTGATGAAACGCAGTCGTTGTGGAGTTCAGTTTGAACCCTTCGAAAAAGTACAGGGTGAAGTGTAGTCTAGTCCAGTCAGTAGTAGAGTAATTCTGCGCAAATGAATCCTAAGCATCGGTGGTTTCTGGAGGGGAGCCGATGGGCCCGATAGATAGATACCACCAGGAGGCTTTTTTCTTTTTCCCCTCCATCAGATGGAATGTTCCTATTTTTCCACAGGAACGAGATCCATGAACCAAGGTACGTTCCCTTTTTTTTACGAGAACAATTCTTTTGAAAAACATAAATACAGGAAGAGGGGGGGGGGGAATGTTGCGACAGAAGGTTAAAGAAGAAAAGGACATTGTCGACTGGGGAGCGACCGGGGAGAGAAAGTCTAGACAGAGAAGGACAGTCGACAGACAGACTGGAGGCTACGATGGGCCTGTAGGGATGAGCATCCCATGATCCCACCTGACCCGTGGCGCAGCGATGCTGATTGGACCAGCCACCCAGCGGGGCCCCTCCATGGGTCGCTCTTTCCTTTTGATTGAAATAAAAACCCCAGCCGTGGAAGGCATGCGAGGGGCGGGCCGGTATTATCCTGTACCTTCTTGTACTTCCTGTACCTGGCCTGAAGACTCCAGAACTCCCATTCAGAATATCAATCCCTATATAATCTACTACTACATTACTCGTATCATTATTATTGTCTTATCCCTACTATCTAACTAACGGCGCAACAGCTGCTCCAATAAACCTTCACCCCCTCCCCCTTCGAGGTGGCCCCTCGTGTGGGTGTCTGCAAGCACCTTTGTAACCCGCCGTGACTTGTCGCATTCCCGTTAGTCCGCTGGTCAGTTTATGACATACAGACAGACCAGGCAGACAGACAGACAGACAGAAGAGTGCAAGCAAGAAAGGGAACTGGCTTAGCCAAACACATCTTCCATTCTATTCTGAGTTCTGACTGATTCGACGGACTGGACAGTCTTTCATCTTGCTCTCCACACCTCTCCAGTTCTGTTTCGTCGGACCGGCCTGATCGCTCGCCGTTGCTGGCCATTCCTCAGGCACTCAGGCTTTCCCCCCCGGGTTCTCGTCCCGCGTATCTTCTACTACTACTACTACTTACTACCCTCCCACCATTACTCAACCTTCCCATGTCTTGCTCTCCCTCCTCCCTGCTCTGTCTTGGATTCATTCGCAGGGACATCTATAACAATCTACACTGTAATCTTGACCCTTCTTTCTACCTTTCACCCCTGCCATCATCTGTTCCTTCCCCCTCTCCCCCTTGGCGCATAGCTTCTATTCTCCCTTCCTTAACCGGATCTTAGCGCGCCCGCAACTAACCCTCGTTCTTCTAACACCTTGATAGCACCCACCCTCTGAAGTTATTGTCTATTGCTGCGCAAGTCGTTCACGACGTCGCAGCGATCGAAAGTGGCCTTGACTTCTTTGGTGTTGCAGTGCGCAACGCCGTCTATCATGCTAGACGAGCTGGAGAGCGCCTTCGACGAGCATCCTTCATTGGATGCGTCGCTCGAGGACTTTGAGAGCAATAGTAACGCTCGTCAATCCCCCGTTTTCGGTCTGCCTTCCCAGCATTCGGGCTTTCGCTCTGAGGAATCGGATGGGGAAGACGACGACCTCACGCCCAACGGAGATCGCTGGTCGCCTCCGGGCTTACGCAGGTATGACTATGTACAAGGAAGTGGTTGGTATCGCCATCAGCCCTACGTGCGCAATGCCGATTACGACCGTTTCTGCCTTAAGCCCTCGGTCGGACTGAGCCCGTCGCAATCGCGCGAGCCTAGCCCGCAGTATGAGGATGCGCTGGAGGCACCGACCGCAGGGAAACGCAGCCAGTCCGCAGAGACAGCTGACATTACCATCGCCGCCAATGTTCCCCTGCCAGCCGACGCAGAGACCCCAGAAAAAGGTCGGTCGCCGAGCCCGGGACCCAAAGGCGCAAGAGCTAGCCCGGATGGCGAGGGTCTGGACTTTGGGTCGGGGAACAACCTCAGCAATTGTAGGCTTTACCTTGGTTTGCTACCCTTTGCAGCTTCCTGGCCGGAATGAACTAATCCATGACGCCTCAAAGATATCCGGTTCGCTGTGCGCGCGGAGGTTCAGCACCGTGAGCCCTTTGTCGCATTCTTTAGTTACTTGCGGTCCAAATTCGATAAGATCACTAGCTCCAAATCCAACGCAATTCTTTCTGTAATCGTTGCTTTCATATCGATCGCGTTCATGCGCGCCTTATTCTTACCCAGCGTTCCCGAAGCGATACCCGACCTGGTCAAGCTGTCAGGGTTTGCGCGCTCGTTCGAGCCCCTCATCTACTATTCGGAGAATGGCGCACATCAAATAACCGCCTTGCAGGAGACAGGGGTGGCCGTCTGGGATCTCGGAGAATCGGTGCGCGGGACCAACATGACCAGCGCGCCGATCATTGTCCGCCAACTGGATGAACTCTCCGAGTCGCTCAAGTCGCTCTCTCTGGAGCTGGCGCGCTTCTTCTCTGATGTCGAAGGGGACATTGACTCTATCCTACTCGCCATGGACTGGGCCAAGCGTGAACTAGAGGCCTTATCGTCGCAACCGCCTAGTACGTTGCCGTCGGTCGTCTTCGATAACCTCCACGGGATCTTTGCGCGACTGGGGGCGCTGGAGCGACTTAGCGCCACGAGTGGGGAAGGGTCCAGCACTGAATTGACCAGCACCCCAACCACCTTTGGTAACTTCGTCACCGCGGTCTTCGGCCAAACCTCTGCCCAGCGCACGCGCACCACCCTCACTCGCACCTTTACCGAAATGCTCTCCGTACTAGAAGAGGCGATCAACAACGAACTGACGCACTCAACGGCGCTGTTCGCGCTCTTTGAAGCGATCGACCGCCAGTTCCTGAATCTTCAACGGACTGTCGTTCGCGAGTCGGACGTACAAGAGCGGGAGGAGGGCGAGATGCTGGAGTCGCTGTGGACTCGGCTCGTGGGAGCCAATGCTGCTGCGGTTCGCAAATACGAGAAGAACAAGCGGCTGCTCGCCAATGTCCGTAGTCGCACTGTCACTAACAAGCACCTATTGGTGGACCACCGCGGCCGTCTACTAACCCTCAAGGTCAATCTGGAAACTCTGCGGCGCAAACTTGTCAGCCCGCTAGTTCGACGCAACGACTCGGTGAGCTTCACGGGCATGGAGTCCAGTAGTCGTAGCAACGGTCGCATGTTGGGCCATGTTGAGGCTGCGATCGACGGGCAAATCCGCGGACTCGAAGGCAGCTATGATTACCTCAAATCTGTTCGAGACAAACAGAAAGCCAAGACCCTGGAGTTCTACTACGGATTTGGGCGGCGATTGCCGCAGAATCCAGTCTTGGCCGACGGATCGGACGATCTGGGAACGGACGCAATTGACGGGGTGTGATGAAATAGAGTCGAGAGATCTTGCATGCATAGGCAGGCGTTCCTTGTCTTTCTGCTCCTTCTTTTGTCTCTGCACCTGCATCACGTGGACATGGCGTTGTCGATCTGATCCATTCGGAACCATTGGTCTTGTGTGCTGTGCACATGGTGGGCGTTCATCTACAGGTCCCCTTTCTTCGGTTACTTACATCTCGCTTCTCTCTCCTCGCATCGCTCTAGCTAGCTGGCGTACACTGGCGTCCATTGCGCTACAGATTCTCATTGGCCTGCCCTATCTTCTGCCTTCTTTCACCTCACCTCATCTCCATCTCCCTCCATCTCGGTGACACGACTTCTAGGGCTTTCTCATGTTGTTTGGCATCACAATCAAAAGCGGGAAGGGAAAAAATAGACAAGATTTGATTTGATTCCTTGTGATCTATCTACCCTACTGCAACCTGCATCCCGTGATATGTCTTGTCGTTTGTCCCCCTCCATTGGCTGCCATCCATACACCCGTTTCTTGTTTCTCATATTTCCTCCCCTCTCATTTCCCCGAAGGTAAGAGGTTAGCTGGCTGGCTGGCTGGTGTGGTTGCCTGCTTACATGCTTGTTCATCTACTGTGGCGCATGTGGTCTTTGGTTTTTCGTTTTTTCGTTTGGTCTTCTCAATTCGGTTCTCTCCTCTTGTCAATAGTTGATGGACGGAGTGTGCTCGGTATGGGTACATGGCTGGTTGGTAAGGTATCTTTGACGGTAGTACATGGTGTTGTAGTGTGGTTGGTCTAGCTGTCATCTATCTATCTACCTGTCTTTTTCTTTGGATCTACTACTACTTATTCTTTTCTTTACCTGTATCGATGGTATCCTACCATCACATCATCATCATAGTATATATGCGAGCTTACTACTACTTACTCTTTATTACTAGCATATATCATTCTGAAACATTTTCATACAGCTTCGTCTGTAAGTATCAATGTAACTTTATATGTGACACCCTTGCTAATGAGGTAACCACCCCCGGCTCAGTCCTGTAGAACACCCCAAACTCATCCCCGTTTCCAACAGCCCAATTTTAGCATACAGCAATTGAATGCGCAGTTCACAAAATAGTAGTAATAGCCATAGAAGGGAGAAAAGAAATCTAATATCACAAGGGAGACCAGCCAAGTTATGACTAGGCAGACACGGAGCAAGCAAAGCATAGTGAATACTGATTGCAGTGCAGCAGTAAGTTTGAACCCAGAAATAAAAAAAAAAAAAAACAAAGACGGCAAAAAAAAGTAGAAATAAGTTTGTGAAAATATGATATGTGAATTGAAGAATCAAGCAAGCAAGTAGTAATTCCTCACGCCCGGCCGAAAATCGAGTAGAAACGAAACTCCCCCGAACTCCATCCGGATGCTAACTGATAGGTAGTAATATGGTCTTGGTAGCAAGTGGTAACTAGTTAGTGGTTATGGTAAGTTTGGTTTTTTGGTGGCTTCATGCGAGGCTGCGTGATGGGTTGTGGGTGCCACTGTCTGTCTGTCATGGTCATGACCATCCGTCACTGGTAAGGTGAGTATGAGCATGAGCATGTGACTAGACGAGGTTTGTTTTTGGTCTTTTCCGTTTTTTTCTTTCATGGTGGGTAATGAGATGGATGGAAAAAGGTAAGAGCATGCCCCGCTTCTTTCCTTGTCAGGTGAGAAGGGAAGGTGCGACGAACTGATTCCACCTTAGAATCCATATCCACCCCCATACGGCGTGACTCCATACGGCGTCGTAGCACTAGGACCCCATGCGCTAGCACCTCCACCATTCGCATACGCCGTAAAGCCACCGTCCATACCCTCGGGCGGTTCGTAGGCATCCGGGCTGCGCACACCCATCATATCTTCGTCGTCACCGCCCATGACGCCGTTGCGGTCTGCGCCTTCGGTGCCTGATAACGAGGATATCACGGAGGCGAGCTTCCGTTGCAACACTGTGATTCCTTGCTGGATGATCATATCCGGTTCAAGGGTGCCGATGCTCTCGACGTCGATGTAGAAGCTGTTGGGCTGGGCGTCATAGTCGAATGGTTGGTCTGGGGGAGCGGGCTGTTCCCATCCTGCGTTGGCTGAGACGGGCCTGTATTGGTTGTACTGTTAGCTCATTGATCTTTGCTCGCTCATGTAGAACTCCCTTGCTCTGTAGGTTGCGATGCAGAAAGGTGCTGGAATAGAAGTAATGAAAATGAGGGTTTGGGATAAAACATACCATTCCTTCGCCGGATCCTCCTCATACCAGTAATCCACATGTCTCAAATTATTATGCGGATCATATTCAAACCCAATCGCCGACGTGGGCATCCACTTCGCATGTTCCTTCGCAATACCCTTCTTCGCAATACACGTCATCTTCAACTCCTGGCCGCGTCTCAACTTACAAATCAAGGGCCCGTTTCCCTCCGGATCCAAGATCACCGGGTTTCCCACCCACTCGTTCGCCCGTTCTCCTGATACCACGAGATCGCGCGCATACACCCGCATGATATCGTCGCCTGTGCACCGCGCATGGAGCGACAGGGTCACGGAGCAGCGCGCGCAGTGGTCCTCGCATTCGCAGTCGCGCGTGTACTCGACGTCTTGGTCGCAGTTTTTGCTGATCAGGGGGATAAGGCCGAGACGGTGAGCGAGGAATTCGTCGGGCAGTACGGAGGTGTTCTTTTCCACTTCGACGAGGTCGATGGCCATCGTGGGGATTTCGGAGAGCATTACTCGGCGGAGGGAGTTGGCGAAGGCGAGGTCGACGGAGGTGAGTTTGAAGTCAACGCGAGTGGGTTCGGCCTATTAAGATTCTGAGTGTTAGTAAGGATGGTTGGAAAGGTTCGATGGGGTGATTGTGTTGCATGGGCTGGTGTTGGTATAGATGGTGGATTGGTAGATTGGTCAGAGGTCAACTCACTTCGCGGACGGTGACTTGGGGCCCGGTGGGCTCGATATCCATCTCGTAGTCCATGGTGGGTGTGGTTAGTAGCGCAGAGGCGCTACCTATCGAGTGGAGGGATGGTTGTGGTGGTGAGGGATGGAGCAGCGAGGGGAGAACTGATGCTGGAGGGAATGATGGATGGCGAAGGAGCTGAGGTCAAGTTCGTCGCCGACCTGCAGCCCGCGCTTTGCCTGTTCGGGTAATGCGTCTGCTGCGGCGATTACCGCAGATCAAAATTCTGAGGTTAGTTCAGATGAAGATTCAAGAGCAACAAAACATTCAATTATGGTGTTATATTTAGTAAGGGTTTAACTGTCTTCCAATCTACAGGTCTACGATCTCTACAAGTTTACTATAAGTTACACACTGAGCAGACAGCCAGCCCCTATGGTCTTCTGTTGCCTCGCAAATTGAGGAGTATGCTTGCTTTCTTCCTTTGCAGGTCAGATTCCTAGCTTGCATGAGCAAAAGGCAGTTCATCCCAGCACCAACGGAGGCACCTGTCGACAGCTTTCGAGCCAGAATAGCTGGCGGGCCATAGTCAACCAGCAAGTCGTCGCAAGGGTATATCAAGTCGAAGTATAACGAAAAAGAAAAAAAGAAATGACCCTCTCCAAAAGCAGATGCCCGCTCCAACCGTAGGATGCGATCCCAAATCAAGTCATGCTGACCCCAACAACTTTTTGCTCCATCCGTCGGCTGTACCGCCGCCAGACCGTACTCCTCTAACATTCTATGCTGACGCTCCGTCATGGATTCTATAGTGGTAAGTGCGCCTCACGCGCGAAAACCGTCGGGCTGCCCAAATAGCCCGAAGAAGAGAATTAAAACCAAAAGCATTATAGCCAACCAGAGGCAGAAACTCAGGCAAGTGAATCGAAGCAAGAAGGGAAAATCGAGAGTAGCTTTTCTTTTCGGTTTCAAGAATCATGTCAAGTCGTCATAGAGCTCTAGCCCACAGGCCAGTCTCCATCATTTCAACTCCCCTGCCCTTTTTGAGCGAGGGAAGAGAAATGATACGCCATCGCTACCTCCGCATGGAGCTGCGATTCAGCGCTTCCAGAAGTTCGGGACGACTGGCAAGCGATTCGGCCGCTTGCGCATAAGTGACCCATTGACGCTTCCGCTTATGCATCTCGGGCCACTGGTCCTCTTCCCGGTCCACAGTGACCTCGAAGAACTGATATGATGCTTTCGGTGCCGTGGACGTCAATAACGTCGACGGCCGCATATCCGGGATCAATCCCAGGTCTTTGTGCACCGTACATATTATTCCACCCTCTTCCCAGGCTTCTCTACAGGCAGCTTGTTGGGCGCTTACTTCATCGGTCTCCCAACCGCCTTTAGGAAGCACCCAACCGCCTCGCCCCGCGGACTGGATCATAAGCACCTTCGTCTTGTCCGCGGACAATGGAACCACACCGGCCACGAGTCGTTCACCTTTCGGTCCGTACCCTATACACAAGGCGGGTTAGCCACGTTGCGCGACAAATAGTATTACATCATAATGAATGTTGCGTTGCTGTATGTGCACAAATCGACGGAACTGGCATTGGGGGGTGATTTCAAATGGCCACAAGCCCGGGGATGTTAACTCACGTTGGTTTTTGCGTCCCACCCGGGACTCCATAGAGCGAGGATGATCCGCCATTTTGAACATTGGAAATCAAAGAATCGGAAAAAGAATAGAAAACAAAAGAATAAGAAAACACCAGGAAAAAGTCTATAACGCGGTCTATATAGCAAGAATTCGAAAAACCAGTGCGACACTGCCAAGCTGTGCTTCACGCGACACAGGTATGAAAGGAATGGAGAGTTTCGAGGTGAGGGAAAAGGTCAATGACACCGATTCTAAGCCACGATCGGTGTGACGACACTATCGGTGCTAAGGGAAGCGTGAAATGTCCAACGACGGGAATTTGAGACAAGAAGAAGGCCCGGCCTTGTGGATGAGGAGCTGGCCGGTGAGCCGTGAGTTCCTGTCTTGTTCCCGAAGCGAAAATGGGCCAGGCGGTCGAAGTAGGCCAGGGAAAATTTTTGGGAGGGTAAAATAAAGATTAAGACTAGAGGGAAGTTTTTAGGAACTAGGTATCCCCGTTCACTCCCGCGGCGGACGGGAACCTGGAAGGAGAGGTGTGAAGGTAAAAAGACATCATAATCGGAGGGATACCAGGAAAAATAAGGGAACGGATAGGGAGGAAGAGGGAGGGGGGGGGAGAGGCGAGAGGACGGAGGGGGGGGGGAATCAGAGACAGCTTTGGGGATAGTAATGGGCGGCGCGATCCGGTCAGGAAGGTCGCTCGCTCTCTTGCTCTCTCGCTCTCTCTCGCCCGGAGCGGACTTTGCGCGCGCGCTCTGTTTCCCTCTCCCTCTTACAGTCCCTCTTCCCTAATTCTTTCTCTGTCTCTGCACTGGACGGTACCGTCTGGGTACCACCCCAATACTGTATCGCCGGTCTCCCCGTCCGTCTGCCCGGCTACCTTTCCACTGCTTTTCCACTGCTTTTCCACTGCTTTTTGCCATCAACCCGACGCGGTGGGCTCCCGTATTACTGGAACCATACGCGTTCTTTCGGTTCTTTCTGCTAGGTACCAGTACCTTACTGGTACAGGTACCGCCGCTACTCAACTTACTACTTTTGCCCCCCCCAGTCAGCCTATTGCGACTTGCTCTTTTGAACGCTTACTATAGTGTCATCATCCTAATCGCTGGGATCTTTTTTTCCGGTGGTACTATTGTTCGGTTTCCAGGGGTTCTCTGCTTGCTCTCCCTCTCTCCTAACTGATCCTTTTCCCTTAACCATTGTCTACTCTCTCTGGTACTCTAAAGTAAAATTAGAAATTAAGAAATCCCCAGTTCATACGTAGCTCTGTGGAGTTGTGTCCGAGGATAATCCATCAACCTAGACTACTTTGCACTATATGGGCCATCCTACCGGACATGCTGATACCTCCCCAAGCGTAATTCTGGCGGTTCCTCTGGGTCGATTTGGTTCCTCTTCGGTGGTTCACGCGTCCGCGAGTCACAGACTAGGTCTGTTGCCCTCCCCATGAACTGCTTCCTGAGTCTCCCGAAGGTATGCGGACTCCTCGGAGGTTCCACAACAAATCGCCTGGACCAAGGGAGCAGGAGTTCTCTTTTCCACACACACACACACAAAACGGGAATTAAAATTGCTTGGGACACGGTATTTTGGAGCAGCAGAAGAAGCAGCAGCAGCCTAGAGGGTTACTGCAGCTTCCGTTGTCCCCTAACTCCCACCTCGGTCGAGTCGGTATTTACGGCTTTGCAGTCCATCCATCATTTCCCAGCAACCAAACGCTGCCCGCTCATCAATTACACTCAAGGCCCTATGACACTATCAAAATTAGGGCCCCAGACTAGTGGAACGGACGGTTTCCTTCCCTTCAATTCATACTACTGCTATTTACATGGATCAAAAAATAATAATAATTTATCTTACTTTTTTAAGTCATGTCTCCATCAGTCTAGTCTACTTGTTATTTTTCTCCTTCTGAAGGAAGCAACCAGGCCCTTGTGCTCTCCGCCGTAAGCGCTGGTGTGTTCGAAATGACGAGGTTTCAGCGTAGAAATTATATGGTTATTGAGATGAATACTCTTAAATTCATCGTTCGCTCACACCGGTCTCGAATGGCTTATTACCAACCCCTTTTTCTTTCGTCGGGGTTTAAGCACACCGTTAATATTTCCCTAGATGGTCATACTAATTAATATTATTCCTATTCCTGCCCCCCCTTTTTTTTTCTGATATAGCCTACATATTGATAATGTCTGGTTCTAAAAAAGAAGTCACGGTGAAGAAAGAGCAAAAACCGAAGCAAAACCGGGATCGGTCCACCTCGTTTACCAACTCTGGATGCGGTACTCCGTGCGACGGAACCCTGTGTCTGTTTCTTTCTGATTAGTTATTTGCTGTGGAATACTAATCCGTTTTCTCGATGTGGAACAGTCCGCGACTCGCTGTTCTCCTTCTCGGTTCTAATTACCCACCAGCAGATCTACGTATCTACTAATTTATGTGCGAGATATTCCTTCATCTGACTGGGTATATACTACTTAGTTAAGAGTAAGTAGTGGTAGTAGCATCATGCAGTGTAGAATATCTGCATGTAGCGCATCGATGTCTGCACGCTATTCAACGAATGATATCAGAACCAACTACCACATGCGACCCGGCAGTACCTTGCTACGTGTTGTGCTATTTCCGATGGGATGATTTTGGAGCTTCAAGCTGCATCGACAAGTGGTCATCGAATGATCCAGCTACATTATAGCTTTCATCTACCTCTTGATAAAATTCACTTTTCTTTTGTTTGTTATTCTTTCTTCTTCTAGTGTCCCCTTCCTTTATTCTCCCCGTACCTCCTGCGCGCAAGCTACGGATTGGATACCATCTCATGCGACGGCATGCCCTGCATACATTAGGCCCCTCGGATCCTGGCGGGCTCATTGGAGGAGAGCACACCGATGTCACCGAACTCAACCAGTGAAGAGAAAGAGGGAAATACTTCGTAATAGTAGTAGGGGAAAAAAAGGTTGATTTTGGGAACGGATGCGGGGCAACAGCAACCACTCGGCCGCACCAAATCCTCGAATGGTTGGAAGGGTGGCTTCTCTGAATTTTCCTATTTACTCTACTATCTACATTCTGTGACCTCTCCGCCGAACAAAGAACAAGGGATGATGCGGATGCGACAGCCCAACAATGAAGGCAAAAGGCATCCAGACCGACCTGCGCGTTCGTGATGATGTATGCGGGCCAGGGCCTAGATACTTACATGGTACTTGCTTCACACCGCGTACCTTGCCCACCGCTGAGGAACCATGGAGGGGGGAAAAGGGTGTGTGTGGTCGATCAGAGCGTTGATGTTGCTCGGACGATGCGGTGACTTAAACTGCAAAGGAATGGAACTACTGAGGTAGACTGCGCAGGAAAGACTAATAGTGGCTTGAGAAACTTCCCGGTGGCGATTGGATCTGGACGCGACAACGCAGCAGCGATCTGTCGAGGTGCGGATCCTGAGATCCTAGCATCGACAAGCCGTGATGCTGCCGATGATGCTTGGACGTTGGGGGGTTCCTGCACGTGATGTCATGGTCCGGGGAGACTTTTTGGTGAGTGTTTTCGCCTCCTGGTCGCCGATGCTAGGAGCATTTTGATTTGGACGAGATTCCAGGATCGGCCAGCAGCACACTCACCGTGTGCCACATTCCAATAACTCTTAGCACCCACGACATGGGCAAGATTTCGTCGTCAGAGGATTGACACTTGGCCAACTTCCGCTTCGATCGAAAGCAAGTTCAGGTACCGTCGGCTTTACATACCCCGTATCGTAATGGAGGCTGTCCATACGAGGCCAGACCGTATGGTATTGAACCCTTTCCCGCCTCAAGTCAAACCTGCCCAGCAGTTTCTACTATCTACTACCAGATTTTCTGGGAAGGGGTTTCTCCAGTCTACTATTCACCTAGTCGACTGTATCTGGTTGGAAATGGCAATGGCACCTGCTGCGAGAAGCTATGGCCAACAATCCCCGTAGTGAACTCATTTTTCTGGAGCCGTGCTTGCTCCGCATCTCCTTCATCTCCCGAGGCACCGAGCAATTCGGTGGCAAAGAAAACTAGATCCGTGTAGAAGATACGAAGTACAAGGGTCAAGTAATCAGGTTGGACTTGTCTACTTGACCAGGGGGGTCAGCAGTTCTGACATGCGGCAGCGACAAGGGCAGCAGCCGCTCAGGTCTTTCTTCTAGAAGCATCATCACCTTCTGCAACTTGAATGGCCCCCCTTCAACCTTGTTTCTACCTCCCGGCAGCAGTGACGGGGACAGCTTCCCCCCAGGACTAACTGGGGAGTCCTATGATCATGCAGCACCTTCTACTGAAGCGGGCAGTGGGCATGCTTTATATCTTTCCCTTGTAGAGTCTGATCTTCTTTTTGTTGTGTAGACCCAAAGCTGAGCGTATTGTTTTAAGTATACGTGAGATTGCCCCTGCCTGGACGAGGGAGTGTTTGACGGTGTTGCCTTGGGCTCACTATCTTCTTGTCCCGCATCAACTTGAAAACCAACAACATCAAGCCGTTCAGCCCACTCCAACTACCTCAACCCTCTCTCCAAACCCCTTGGTTTCCTTTCTCCTCAGACGGACAATTTATTCCCGCTATTCCCCTTGTTCTGTCTCGGTTTGCTTTTTTTTTCCTTTTCTTTTCTGCCGTTCCCGCCGTGAGCGCTGCCAGCTAATCCCTTCTCCATCGCACTACTTGCCCGCGACGACACGCCATGGAGCCCATCGTCGATGCCGAACAGGCGAGGAAGTTGTCGCTTTTCCGACCTCTTGGTAAGCAGCCAGTCAGATTAGCCTTTCAATCCCCGTGCGATCATCATTGGTCCCAGTTCTCCTGCTCGGCCACCGATTCTCTGGATCGGAAATCCTGTGCCCCTCTTGTCTTGATGTAACTCTTTTGGCTGCCCCTCATTCCCGGCCAATTTCCCCCTCCCAGTTCCCGGCCGCTATGGCAAAAAGCACCCCCGATACACACACACATAGTACTCAGTATCCTCCCTCTCTTGGCTTCCTTCATTCCAATTGAGCCCACCCTGTCTCTGCAATGGGACGGTTATCCTCCGATCAACTAATGACAGTCTTCCTGGGACTGCTCCATCATTATCACTATGGCTGCGCCAACATGGCCTAACTCGACCCTCTAGGTTACCAGCGCAACTCCTGTGGTTACTGCAAATTTGATAATGGAAGTGAGTCTCTCCGGACCCACCCTCAAATCCTCCTCTGCCGTAGTAGTCCATTGCGGATATGTCGTCGTGCTGCCGGATGGGACCGCTGATGCACGTCTACTGCAGGTGCCTCCTACTACGCTAGCTCGGTTTCTGTACGCCCGGCGCATTATGAAGCTCTAGTCAACAGGGGCTGGCGAAGGTACGGCGGCTCGCCTTCGTAATGCGAGCCACACCTCACCCCGTCTGGCTGGTCAATCGCTAATCTGGGTCTAGGTCGGGGACACTGTACTACAAGCAGAACCTGCAACGATCATGCTGTCCTCATTATACGATGAGGTATGTCATTGGTCCATCATTTATCCTTGACTAGCTTGCATTGACATTTCTGCCAGGCTCGATGCCTCTGCCTTCACGCCTAGGAAGGACCAACGGAAGGCAATCAACCGCTGGAACAAGTTTGTTCTAGGCCCCGAGTATATCCGTAGAGCAGCATATCTCTGCCCCAAGACACGGGAGTAAGTAGACCGTCTAATGTGGGGAGGATGTGTGGGCTCACCAAAGTATGATCGTAGGGAGAAAAAGCGCCGAAAGTGCAACTTTGACCTTCTCGGTGCAGTCCATGAGGCTGAATACAGCAACGTGAAGCGGCCCATTGACCCAAAAACAAAGAGACCTTTGGAACCCGCTCACCGATTCGAGGTTAATCTAGAAGGCGACTCTATCTCTCAAGCCAAGTAGGTGTGCAGCCGTCTCTGTTATCAACAGCTTAAGCTGACCTTGCGCGAGATACGAGCTCTTCCTCAAGTATCAAACCAAGGTTCATAAAGAGGATGCTTCTAAATGGGCAAACAAAGACTTTAAGCGCTTCCTCTGCTCGGGCATGACTCGATCTCCGGCCAATGCGGCTAAATCGGACGAAAAGAAGTTGGGCTCATGGCATCAGTGCTACCGACTGGATGGCAAGCTCATTGCGGTGGCAGTCTTGGATCTCATGCCAAATGGTGTGAGCTCAGTCTATATCTTGTAAGTTTTCGACCGTTAGCAGCAAGAGTAACCACTGATAAGAGAAGCTATGACCCGGAATTCGAGCAATGGGAGTTTGGGAAACTCAGCGCGATGCGGGAAATCGCTTTTGCGATTGAAGCGCAATACCAGTACTACTACATGGGTATGCTCGACACAGTCACCTTTTCTTCCTATTTTATCCACTAATTTGAAACAAAAAACAGGCTACTACATCCACTCATGTCAGAAGATGCGATACAAGGGAACGTTCCGACCGCAGTACATCTTAGGTAAGGCCTTCAATAGACTATTAACCCAGCCCAATGAAGTTCTCTAACAATCGACATGTACACAGATCCCGAAAGCCACACATGGGATCCTCTCGACGGCGAATTATCCAAGAAGCTCGACGAACGGCCCTACGTATCACTTTCGCGGGACCGGCAAACTTCAACTACAACCGGAGACGACAACGCGGCGACACAAGAAGCAGACGCCGAGATCAACGATGAAGAAGTCTCCCTCTTCGACCTAAACATGCCCGGTAACATGACGCTCGACGAAGTCAAAGCGCTGGATCTTGATCACTGGCTTCTGCTGGTCCATGGCACTTTCGTGCATATGATTGTAAGTCCACACTTAAATTCTATCTTCGCTCCCGCTCTGGCAGCATACCTGTATATCTGGATGGATGAATGGACGTGTGTGTAAAGTGTATGCTAACTAATCATCCTACAGGACCTTGTCGGATGGGAGAAAATGCCCATCGATAACCCGCAGTCAGTTAAAGGCATTATCGCCGAGTTGGCGGCCGTGCTGGGTCCGGAGGTCGTTAAGAACAGTGCTGTGGTGCTTTTTGACTAGGGATTGGGTAGGGTGTGTAGTATCTATCATGCACGTGCCTGTTCATGTGGTGGAGGTCGTACAGCAGTCAATAGTATCTACAGGGTAAAAGCAGATACCAGTCACATGTGAATGCCGAAATGCTTTGTTATATACTATTAGTAGTATATGTTTGATCTGATCGTGAAGTACAAGTTCGATTAGGAACTCCAACTCAGAAACCTTTGAGGGACTTGATTTCAGCTGTAACATCGGCTTTGGAACAGCTGGTGGGTTCTTACTAGTAGTAGGCAATTGATTTGAGTGTTTATCCGAATTTTTAGGTATATTTGCATGTCACTGTATATAGCCGATCGGTCTGCATATTCAAGAGTCGATCACAAGAGAGAAGAAAAAGAGTACACATGCTTCATAAACACAGAATGCTGAACATATATGCACATAAGACAAGACAATCTCCCCATCCCAATCCCAGACGCCATTCATGATTCAAAACATTTACTGCAAGTAACCATAGAAAGCATGCTGGCCAAACGATGCATCCCAAAATCGAGTCCAATATCAGAGAAATCCAATCCCATGCACCACATGCGCCCAGTCACACCGAGGACTGTACATTAAAACGGAAGCGATAAAAAAAGATAGAGCAGCGAAAGAATATTGCAACTAATTCCCTCCCATCAGCTCCACTGGTGGCCGCGACGTCTTGGGCGGCATCTTCTTGACCGACATTTCGATCGGACTCATGTCCATATCAATATCCTCGTCTGGGGAAGCACTCGTGTCCTCGACCATGACAGCGGGCAAGTTAGGGCTACCTCCATGGTCCTCGGGGTGGTAGATGAGGGTGCTGCTCCGGCTGCGAGTCTGCGATAGCGACACGGGCCAACTGCTCGTCCTCTTATCCGAGGTCATGGACATCGGGGTACCTGGTTGTTGTTGTTGTTGTTGCTGCTGCTGCTGCTGTTCGATAGACGAAACGACAACTCCCGTCGCTGCTTCCTCCACACCGGACTGCTCCGTCTTCAACTTGGCCAAGGCCTGTGCGAGATCGCTGGCGTGGACTTCCTTGTTCGGGGGATCTTCTTGGCGCATGACCCAGCCGTGGGGCGGGGAGGGCGGCGGTGAGATGAAGAAGAGCTTGTCGACTTGCGGGGCCTCCAGGAGTTTGGGGCGGGATTCGAGGTCGTCCATGATGGGGGTTGGTTCACCGAAGTAGATCTTAGGGATGATGGGGCGGTTGAGCAGTGGTGCGCCAGTTAGGAGTTTGCGAATGCGGAGAGCGTCGGAGTCCGTGTGGAAGGAGCAGAGGATGCGGCGGAGGGAGGGGAGTGGGGAGAAGGAGTTGAGAGGAGCCAAAGATTCGAGGTAGGCTTTGAGGTTGGCGAGGGAGTCGGGTTGGAAGAGAAGAATGTCGTTCAGGTCGGTTATGATGAGGGTGTTGGAGGGAGGTGTGGGTTGTGTAAGAGGGGGAAGGTTGGACATGTCGAGAGTGAGGGAGGGTCGAGAAGAGCGACGGGCTCCGAAGGAAGGAGAAGAGGTGAGAGAGTGAGGCGGTGAAGAGTTCATTTTGTGAATGTCGTTTTAAGTGTGATGATGGTCGATAGTTGTTTTGTTTGTGTGTCTGTGTTGAGGAAGGAGAGAGAGATGGAGGAGAGAGTTGGTGGTAGAAAGTGCTAGTATAAGTAGTTGGCGGTGGTTGGAAGTGGAGGAGGCGATAGTAAAGATAAGCGGGAAGAACGTCAAAACTGGCGGGCGCTTATTCAAGGAATCAACCACAACCTCATGAACCAACTAGATTCTTGTGATTGAGAGGAGTTATTGTTCAATTGATGTTCTAAGAATGAACTGGAGAAGTGGTTTAAGAAGGAATTCTGCAGCAGAAGCTGCTTGCATCTTATAGGCAGCGACTGAAAAATCCGTCTTCGTCGCGGGCGAGGCGCAGCCAACGCCTTCGTGTCGCAGTGGAGATGCAAATCTGCTTCTGGCCTCGTTGCACTTGCACTGCCTTCCACTCACACTTCGGCTCTTGCCCATTTTCAGGCAAATTTGGCTCCGTTCCTGTCGATCTCCGCACGCAGTCCTCCTCCTTTCTGAATGAATCCTCTTGTCTGCTGCAATCTGCATAGCGCATTCGCCACAATCTCTCGTCCTCGCCGTGTGGCTGAACTGCCGCTATTGCCACTAGATGCCCCCATTATTGGTGTCGACCACAACCCATCCCAACAATGACGATGATGCCATTCGCTGCTCTCTGCTGTGGACCTCCTGATGATTAATTCAACTGTGGCTTGACTCTCTCCTTCTCTGCCTCCTTGTCGAGGCTATTGACTCCTCCTGGACTAGTAACCAGGGTCTTCCTACGTGATGCTCAACTCGCTAGTGTCCAATGACTCCATCACCAGCCTTGGAATGCTTCACATGTCGTTGTCTCCACTACCTCTGACGCACGAATGCCCCTTATGTTCCATCCCCTTGTCCTGACCCTTGAGTCTATGTCTTTTGTGTAGGTACATCTCGGAGGATCCCGCATATCCATGGTTCCGGTTTCTCCGCAGACTCCATGATCCATCGGGTATGCAGCTCCGCCCCGACGGTGGAGAGCCGGCGATGAATGGCAGATCGCCGAATACTACGCATACCTGTCCCCAGCAGCTGGCGAGTTCTATGCTAGCTGCGTTGCAACTCCAGGCAGGCAATATTCTATGTCTTGGCTCTGGCACAGCATACTCACTCTTTACTGCATGTACTTGCTGGCCACGTATTCGGCTCACATACCAAGCCTCCCTTTAGGTGATGCAGCTCGGCTGTCACCTTCGCCAAAGCCCCGGGCCTAGGACCCTGCAGTGTCGAATATCACCCAGAGTTTAATTGTAGCTTCTTTGCCTTGTCATGCCTCTGTCATGCTATGTCACACGTACGATGTCCTCTTGAGTCGTGGCCTTGCTCGTGCTCCTGATCCGTAGGATGGCCTTTGTTTCATTGAAGTTTGTTACATGTTGGCTTCCTGCGAGGCTCATGATGCCTTGAGACCGTCGGATCTCTGCTCAGCTTATCTCATACCCAGTCCCAATCCCCCTATCCGGAGTCAATTTCTGTCTGCCTGGAGACTCTGCGGGTAACACTGCATGAACTGATCTAGCTAAGCCCTGAGCTCTGACCACATCCCGTCTTTGGCATAGCCACTCACTGTCCCGGTGTCTCCGACATGCAATGCAACCGCTTCCTATAGTCTAATCTGCAGCCATGTTGCACACTGCCATTCTGACCACAATGATGCATATGGTCAGCCGAACGTGATTTGGCACAATATCTATATAAAGGTTTTCTACGGACATGGCGCCTTGTATGTAGCCTCTAGCAAGGCTATGACTCTGCCGCATATACTGTTGCATGACCGTCTTCCCACAGCTTCCTACAATCAAAACAAGGCTTCCTCGAAGACCTCGACTGGCAGGTGCACATGAACTCCTAACAGGATTGGGGCTAGGTAGATGAGCCGCGTTCTGCACAGATGTTGGCGGCTGCGCTTACAATAGCGCAGGCAAACGCATTATACAGGTATACTTCAGCGAACATCACTGGTTGGTTACGAACCATTGTTTTGGGGGCCGTATCTAGAAGATCCTAACTAATGCATCTCTTGTCATTGCTTTTGCTGTTTTTGTGGGCTCATATCGGATCCATCCTTGGCGTTAGGGCGCAGTTACCGAGTGATCCTTCACCGACAGTCATCCATACACACGATGATATTCATGTGCGTTGTCATGATGCTTGGGTCAACGCCTCGATGTCTCCTGCTAAGCGGTAGTGACTCGGAGTTCAATTAAATCTACTGAGATGGTTTTTTTGGCCGTCCTTCGAACTCTCTAATTAGCCACACCGTGAGAGATGGCTTCCAATTCCCCTCTGGCACAATCGATCTGTCGTGCCATTGAAGAACAGCTGTCATGCCATCCGATGGAATCTTTCCAGCCTACTCACAGACTAGATAATTTACCAAAGGGCATCTTCCCCTGTTAGACTTAGGAAGTGGTATCCGTACCAGGAGTCGTAAGTGCCAACAGCAAAATGGTCGTCTTGCTCATGGAAGGGGGGAGTCACCAGATCACTGGCGCACATGTTAATCACCATCAATATATGGCATAGACATGATATTCCTCGCCTCAGAACCATTTTAGTCATGGTGCACTATTGAAAGAGATTAGTAGTCTAGCCAAGGCCTTCAATTGAACAAGTTCTTCCTGTAAAGCACAGATTGTTCACCGGTGATGACCGACTTCGCACATTGGTTATTGCAGCAGTATACTCTCACCGCCCTAATTGCCGCTTTCCTAGGTGGTATGAAGCTTACTATATTTAATGCGCCATAGTGGACACAGAGAAAGACCAAGCATATAGACAGCACTAGAATACTTGAGAAAGCAGACAGGCATGTTCTGAGACTGATGAGAACTGTATTGAGTGTCAGTTAGAGCCTTGCAATGCTCAGTTAATGGAAGCACACGATCATCCGGCCCGAGGTTTCTCCCGGTGAAGGCGGTCAGATCAAGCCGCCGAAAGTTCTGCTTTCCAACGATATCGCCGATTTTGTTCAACCTCTCACGCCTCCAATCTTTACCATACTCTATTATCCACCGTCACCATCTTTCACATCCTCTTCTTCCAAAATGTTCCAGAGAACCTTCCTCAGACAGGCCCAGCGGTCTCTCCGCTCTGTGCGCCCTACCTCCATCAACACCTCCGCCTTCCGTCGCACGCCGCAGCTTCCCCAGTCTGTCCGCCCGATTGCTCCTCAGTCTGCCTACCGGTTCTACTCTACCGAGAACAAGGCTGAGAACGGCGAGAAGAAGGAAGGTGAAGCTGCCCAGGAGGCTGAGGACCCTGTCCGCAAGGAGCTTGAAGAGAAGAAGAAGGAGGTCGTTGAGCTGAAGGTAAACCTTCCCATCTCAACAGGAGCGCCCGGCTCAACATTTGCTACGCCAACCACGGTGGTAAATGGTACCTTGCAGATTGTCTAACTCTTTGAATAGGATAAGCTCCTTCGCTCGAAGGCCGACTTCCTCAACCTGCAGGAGCGCACCAAGCGTGACATGGAGAACTCTCGTAACTTCGCTATTCAGCGCTTTGCTGGCGACCTTCTCGAGTCCATTGACAACTTCGACCGTGCCCTCCTTGCTGTGCCCAAGGACAAGCTTGATGCTCCTCAGACTGAGGAAAACAAGGACCTGTTGGAGCTCGTCTCCGGTCTGAAGATGACTCAGAACGTCCTTCTGAACACCTTGAAGAAGCACGGTCTTGAGCGCTTTGACCCTAGCGAGCCCACTGAGGAGGGCAAGACCCAGAAGTTCGACCCCAACCTTCACGAGGCCACCTTCATGGCCAAGGTTGAGGGCAAGGAAGATGGTGACATCATGTACACCCAGAGCACCGGTTTCCGCCTCAACGGCCGCGTTCTTCGCGTAAGTGATTGATATAATGGCTTGTATACGTGGTAAAACATGCTAACTCATCTTTCTATAGGCTGCCAAGGTCGGTGTCGTTAAGAACTAGACACTCCGCAAACCCTCTTAACCATTTTCTCCCCCTTTCCGCCACCCTGTCTTATCTTCTTGTTGTATAATATACCAAATACGTCTTCGCTATGATGGGGGATCGACTTACGTTAATCCGACAGGCTGGAACATCTGGAATTGTTCCAGGTCTCTGTTGCTTTGTCCATGAACGCATGTGTGTATGATACACCTTACCTGTGTTGTATGGTCTTGGTGCTCTTGTATCTTTCTGTTTATTGGCGTTGTTTCTGAACTCTCTCCTCCCTACTTTGTATATTATATCCCTGGCTGGTGTCTTTGTTCCTTTACTTCTCTCATGAAAAAGTGGGATTGTGTTGTTGGGATTGGCATTGGCACGGTTGTGGATGACATTTGCATGGCATTGGATCATGTTGACTTTTATTGCATCACTTTGCTTGCCCAGTAGGCAATGCAAGGTGTTTTGATCTAAACGACTAATAGAAAGTCTCGATCATCACGATTGATGAACCTACAGTGTGCACCTCAGTAGGAACCAACGTAAGATATGTATCTGCGACTTGATGGTCCGCGCAGTCATCGTGCAATTGATACAAATAATGTCTCAATATAGCAATATATATATATATATATCGAGAATATCCATTCTCCAGCCATTTCCTGGTGGCTGGAAATGGCGAGTTGCAATTGCGCATCTCCCTCGGTGGCTCATTTTCCCGGCCCGATGTGTTTTGTAGACTCGGAGCTATCGAATGCCGCAACCAGCTGTTGACTGCACTCGGCGTCGGTCGCTGAACTACTCACACAGCACTCCGAGATGCGTCTCTTTGCCACTGGGAGGGCCCTGCGTGCAAGCAGTGCCCGGTGGGCAATTGCTCCCTCACGTCGGAGCATACGCATCCCGCTCTCGCAGTTCTCGGAGCCTTTCGCCGTGAAGCGGAGAGACTGGAGTTCGACGGCAATCCGCCGAACAAACGAGACCGCAGATGGCAATAAAAAGCCCTCACTACGGCCTTCAGTGCCGCAATCCTTGACTATCGAAGGTCAAGCCTACCGTACAGATCAGTGGACGAATACCCCGGATACGATTCTCTCCCACGTCGGCCGCCGGCTCTATCTCGATGAGAACCACCCTCTAGCGATTACACGCCAACTGATCGAGAGCCAGTTCCCTGGCCCGGTATACGGAAACTACACCGAAAAGAACCCTGTTGTTTCGACGGCGCAGAACTTCGATGTCCTGGGCTTCCCCTTGGATCACCCCGGCCGGAGTCGCACGGACACTTACTACATCAACGACAAGACGGTCTTGAGGACACACACCAGTGCTCATCAGCAGGCATACTTCCAACAGATCGCTCGCAATGAGAGTACCCGTCCGGAGGAAGTT